TATTGCAAATCCAAAGATTAATTTTGTGAACAAATCAGAAAGACATGTAACAAGATTTTCACCCAATAGTCAGTTTTAATGTATATCTTCACTATCCTGACCCCATGGTTTATTTGTATGAACACAGATCATTGAGTTAGAAATTCCTGCAAGTCAGAACCCTACCAGAAAAACCAGCAGAGGAAACTAATGGTTTTGTTTGTGTCCATCTGAAATTTTGGGTTAAGTTTTATAATTGTTTACCATTCACTGAAAAATGATTTTCGAATGCTGATAATTTACATGTAAGTTCTTTAGAAGCCTGACACTGAAGACACAGAGTGAAACTTGATTTTTTGTTAATTTTTTCCCCTTACCTTTAGGCAATTTAAGTAGAAAACTTCATTTTGGTCAAAATGTTCACATTAATTTTTTTTAAAGATGGCTCATAATCACTATTTACTTATTAATATCACAGTATAATGATGCTGACCATTTGTGAAAGCATCTGAATGAATAAATGATAACAGTGCACCGAGGTAATAGTTTTAGGGGCTGGTAGGGAGCATGCTTTGCTTCAGCAATACATGTACTCAGTATGCTTGTTGCATTTGATTTGATGACTACAGCTATTGCAGTAAAACATCACTATAACAATCAGCAGGAATTTCCTCTACATAAGGTATTATTTTTGTAGATTTAGATTTCATGAGTAAATCCTATGGCAGTTATAAAAAACGTTCATTTGGTGAAAGAATCAATGTATTTGTGGTACATTTGTACATATAAACACCATTAGAATCATATATTTACCTGATGGAGGAAAAGGAGGAGGTGGAGGTGGACCACGTAATGGACCTTCAATGGAACCTCGCCTTTTAATTTTAGCTTTTTGAACAGGAGGTGATGGAAATCTTTCAAATGAGAACTCTCTCTTTACTGAAATATAACAAATAAATAAATCAACAAAGTATAAATTGATCTTAATTAAAATCTTTCTATTTCTGTTTAGTAACCTGTCACCAGTGCTCAATTTTTGCTTTGAAATATGACTTAATAGACCACAGATGATTCAGTGGGCCAGAATTTAATTCAGAAACTTTCATGTTCATCCCTTACATCTTTTTGATTATAACATATTTGACCTTTTGATCTTGACAGAAGGTCAATGTATTTAATTTGACTAAATGTCTTCATCCCAGCATGCTTCAGCCTATATTGATGACTAATTGTGCCTTTGTGACTAAAACATTTGTTTGTAGGAAAGGTTGATGTCAGATAGATACTATAACGTGGCATAGGCTCATTTGTCCTCTGGCCAATAGAAAAAAGACAACTACATGTAAACAAACAACTCTTATACATGACCCCCTTAAACAGAGAAGAAATTTGAGAGAAAATTGAGAGAGCCACTCAGGAAAAAAAATCTTTTTTCTAAGTTTTATGTCCTCTTAATCTCTCTTTACATTTATGGAAATTCATGCTAAACTATATATGAATTGACATGGGTATATGGAGTTTTCTGCAGGGAATCCTAATACCCTTAAAGCTGGGCCACCAAAGGGAGAAAAGTAAAAACGCTGACTTCTTCAGTCATTTAAAGATCTTGTTTTACTTTTATAATGCCTATTAAAATTTAAGCATTTTCCCTGTTCTTTTTGATAATCTTTTATCTTATCAAGTATGAAATAGAATCTCTATATAACTCGTAAACAAAACAAAGCAGCTCGTCAAAGTAAACAGTGACTTTAATTCCCTTTTACTGAGAGTTAAAAGTAGAAAACAATTATATTCTTTGATCTTAATATTCAACACTTTCAATTTCTGACATGACTTAACATAACAAAACAGGTGTCATTTTTTTTAATCTAAAATTCAAAAGGATTATTCATGTTGCAAATGAATAAGAACACAGGGACTTGGCACCATCCCAACCAAAGAATATAGATATTTATATGTTCACTATGCTAGCTCATGGTTTATATTGTACAAATACAGATCATGGTGTTAGAAATTGCTTAGAAAGCCCCTGTGAATCAGAACATAAAGCACTTAATTTAACAACCATAGTCAAATAATGCCATAACAATTATCAGAAAATAATTCTACTAAAGGTAGAGTATTTGTTGTAGATCTAGATTTCTTTGGTAAATCCTTTGCAAGGTAGACAAAAGGGAATTCATTTGGTAAAACATCAGTGTATTTGTGTTATATTCAATTATCATCAATACCATTAAAATCATATACATACCTGACTTTTTTGATGCCATTCTCTCATAATCTCTTATTTCCTATATCAGATGATCAACAGGTATAGCTTCAGCAATCCATTCAGGAATCACACATCAGGTAAGCTGCACTTTATAAATTACAGAGCTATCAGGTAACATGCCCTGAAAAATTTTCAGTATCAAAAATCAGCTGTTTTCATACAGAATTTTGTAAACTGGGTTTTCTCTGATTTATACAACTTCAAATGAATATTTATCTGAATGTTATCAACATAACTCTTATAGTCTTGAAGTCATAGAGTACGTTTTTCTCATGCAAGAAGGAGAATTAATGTTGAAATGCACACTATAGAATATTATTATTGCATTTCTGAACAAATCATGGGGGAAAGTGGCTTATATCTACAGAGGGTTGAAATTTCTAAAAATAGCTCTACCAAATAAGAAAATATGTACAGCCCCCTCTGGAAATAATAGTGACCCAGATCTGTAAAATTGTTACTGTTAACCAATTCAATCCTTAACTTTCAAAAGCCAAAATACTGTAGAGAACCTAGGATTATTGGTAACACTGAAGGTGAATCAATCAAATTTCCAAGGCATCTTTATCAAAAATTCTTTTTAAACATTGGACAATTGAAATAAGTATATATATTAGATATCATAACACAACTGACAAAAGAAGACAATTTTTTATTTTATTGCCCTGTCAGGGCCTAAAAGACATCATCTTTCACACCAGATTGTCTACCAAAGAAATTCGAAACCGCCTAACCATTAAAAGTCAAAAATTGCTTTCCTTCACTAGTTGTGTGATAATGTCCAAAATTTGAATGTGAAGGTTCCATATTTGGCTTTCCTGTCATAATTGTACCAGAGTTTGATGTTGACATGTTGGTATTTTCTTGATGTTTATATATACTGTATATATATCTAATATAAATTCTGATATAAATGAAAAATAAACAGTATATTTTGTTAAAAACTTTATCATTAATTTGTTAAAATCAGAAAAAAAAGTTTTACTGGCCCACAATTTATATTAAGTGCTAGACACTTAGACCTTATACTTCAGTGCAGGTCTGACCATATATGTGTTATGTTCACTCCTTCTCTGCAGTATCTAAGGTCTAGATTACTTCTTTAATAACATTTTGAATATATAAAATGTCAAATAAAAACCCAATTTAAATAAAGAAAGAGTAGTCAAATCTATAACACAATTCATTCCAGTTTTATTGTGTATATAATAATTTTGTTGCATTAACTTTTACATCATGTTATCATTACTACCAAATGTAAATTGAAATATATACAACTGCATATCTGAGATATTTCTTTTATTGGAAAAAAACACATATTTTAATGGGGATGATGAAATTAAAATATTGTTAAAAATGTTACTTTAATTAACCACATTGAAGAAAAAAAAAAAACTTGAACTTTTAAGCTGTGTAACAAGATGTGTTTATCGTTTTTGAAATGTGGGCAGACCAACTGGTGCAATTTTCCTTTCTGGACCTAATGATTTTATTTTGCTTTATGCTGAGCTTCGACTAAGCTTTACGGGACATGTGTCAATATTTGCAGATCTGTACGATTTGTTCTGCGCTGAAATGTTACAATTGAAGTGCCAGCGAACCGGTGTCCATATAAATGAACAGTCTCTATATCTATCCTCAACTGGGAAATATACTCCTTATTCTCCTAATTTTTATTTGAAATTATAGAGTACATCAAAAGCAAGAGCACAAACCATACAATCTCAATGCGTAACATTACATGGGCCAAGATCAGTTCGAGAAAACTCAGAATTCAGCAACTTTACCGCATGTCGGCATGATGTTCTGGATCTATTCGTTATCAAATGGTTTTGACAAAATCAGTAGTCACTGTCAGTACCGAGATCATGGTCATCTAGTATTGCATGTACAGATGATATCAGCCTATGTTATTTGCTAACGAAGAAACTTACATTAATGTTTATAGTTACCTGTTCAAATTGCCAACATCCGAACAGGTGCCATTAGCTTGTTACTAAGACGCCATGTTGTAAATAGATGAAAACCCAATCCTTATCGAAGTAGCGCTTTTTTAAATTTTCTCATCGACTTCCCTTCCAAACATTGCTTTGATCCCGACTATAATAGTCTCCAAACTCGGAGTTTTCAACTTTTTTGCTTTTGGATCATATCCTATCATGCACACACACGCACGCACACGCACACACACACATTTATATTCATAATAGTAAAATATATTCATTTCTGATTTCGTTCACAGTATATTTTAAATCCACCTTGGATTTTCAGCAACGCGGCACGACTTTTATATGCTTTATTCACGAATGAAATTATAATAGATATTGTTCAGTACATTATCATTGCCTTAACTTGCATCTGTCCGATTCCTCTGATTCGATAACTATATAAATATACGTTCTTATTAAGTCATGCCTACAAAACTTTCTTCACATTTTTGTTGTATAATTCAGACGGAAATCATCATAATGTTTATACATTTTAAACTCTTCCTTAATTGTACAATGTTGCTTTACACTTGTGTAAGTGTTTCTGTGAATCCTGTTAGTCACATTGCGAAGGATGGAGCCTCCTTAAAGTAACACTAAACGTTTATTCTTGACATTACTATGTCCCTTTAATTTTCAAACACTGATATCACCGCGATCGTATCTCAATCGGAACACCTTAAGTGTTGTCTTTGGAAAGCACTCATTTCAGTCTTTCGGATCAAATTCTTATGGCGGCAACATAAATGCAACAGTATGCAGAAATGATTCGGTTATATATGTTTCTTAGGTATTTCATCAAAGCAATCAACGATGTCAGGCGAGAGGGGTCTTACTAAACTGAAATCACTTTCACACAGAGGTAGTAAATCTGATAAAAATGAGAAAAAACAAGTGACCATCTCGAAATTCTTCGCATCAAGAGCGGTTAAAAATGATTCTGAACTAGTCATTATAGATGACTCTTCGAGGGATTGCCCGCGTGTCGGTGAGGAAAAGGTAGGAAACCTAGATATGGCTTTATTTCCACAACGTTTACTTACTGCTTTCAATATCCATGACATGATTGACCTAAATATAAAGTCCGTGAGTGAATGTGGCTGATGATGTAAACAGATATCCATGTTTATTGCACAGGTCGGGCACTTGTTAATTTATTGCTATTACGAGTCAAGCATTGCTTGGAAAGAGCAAAGCTTATATGCCACAAGGACATTCTTGTTTGAAAGTACTAAGAAAATAAAACACCGATAAGTTTTGGATAACTGGTTAGTGCTTCAAAAAACGAAGAAAATTTGGCGTGCTACAGCGAGCGATTGATCACGCATAATTATTGTGAAGTTGATGTTTTATGCGTTCGTGTACATGTAGATATGATGTCAAGGTAATGGTTGGCATTATATGCCATGTACTTGGAGGATTTTTAATTCATGCCAAGTTCATTTGTATAAATTCATTGTTTTGTTTAGTAAAAATTAAAAGTAAGTCAAACAAATTCGGGAAAGCAAAAATGCTGTCTTCATATTTTTGATTAACATTAGCAAAGAGTAAAGTGAAGAGCACCTATGCTCCATGTCTTTCACTTCCGGAAGAATTTTTGTAGATGGATAAATCCATGATTTGATAATCAAGCGAACATTTTATATAATGAGTTAAACATTTTTAAAATACAATAATGTAATGTTAAATACAGAATCATGTTTACATATGAACTAAGATACATGCTGTAAGAAAAATGTTTTGACATACGAAATCTCCGAAAGGAGGAAATAAAGAATGTCTGTCTGTATGTCCCAACTTTGTTCAAGAGTTCTTGTCACAAGTTCCAGACCAGATTTGGAAAGTTCTGTCAGCCTCTTGACACCTGAAATTTACTGCTGCAAATAAATACCATTTGGGGAGGAATGCCTACTGTTTCCTCTGCAGTAGCTCTTCCATACTCCATTTTTTAATACAGACACAGGTATCAAAAGGTGATATATCTTTTATTAATCTTCCACTCTGTTAAATGGGGCATTTCACTGCCTCCTGCAGTAATGTATTCAGACTCACTTATATCCATGATCATTTTCTTCTTATCAGAGAATCCCACCTTGGGCCTTGCTCTTAAATCTTGTGACTTGTTTCATATACAGGTACATTTATAACACTAAATCTTGAATCTTTGTATATATTTCATTGGGTTGTCCATGTTGCTACACACTGGCTACACCAGAATCACTACCAGTTCTATACCCTTTTAACAATTTGGCGTTGACTACTGGAAACTCTTGTTAATTTTGTCTCATTCCTGCTTCAGATCAGATAGCTGGGTCAAAGTCGGACTTTTTTCCCTCATTTAGGATATCCTTTTTACAATAATGAGTTGCAGTAAGCTCAAATACTTGTATAATATATCAAATTTACAGCAGTATCGAATTGCTGTTAAACACACATTGATATCACCTGCAAAGAGTCTGATAGAAGATTATATCCTGAGAGTCCGAGAACTTAGCCTTGGGGAATGGGGACCCCCTGATCTTACTAGGCTAGAATCAGACATTTCCACCTTTACTACAACAGTACATTTTGATCTGTAATAGTATGAGTTTTTTTTTTGTTTTTGTTTTTTGTCAGTTTGGTAAAGCTATAAATAGCTATTATAGCAATATCAAGCTATAAAGGATATATGATCCAGTGGAATTCTTTTGTTTTGTGTCAGAAGGAAGGCCTAATGTTACAGAAAAGTACCAGTTTATATGCGGTATTCATCAAAGCATAAACCTGTCAAAAACAGGAGTTGAATTATAATATTTCTTCTTTTTAAGGTTTCCTCACCACTGAAGAAACGACGTAGGATAAATTTGTCCAACGTGAATGGTGGCAGGCCTAAAAAGCAGTATTCTGATGACAGTGATGATGATGATGTGGTACCTTGCCACACACATGTTTCTGAAATGGAAGTTGAATCAGGTCTCTCTTCTGAGATCAAAATTGGCAAAAATTTCGCAGATGAAGCTTCAAACTTTAAAAAGTTAACCGTATGTAAGACAAATGATCAAAGCTGTGGGACAAGTTTGACCCATCCTGTTTTATCTGGTGTAGACAAGAGAACTTCACTGACTGAAAATACAAAAAGTAAACTGCAACAGTTTGAATCTAGTGCAGTCAAAGATGAGGGATCTAATACTAGAGAAGTAGTAAGTTTATTTGAACTAAAACAGATTAGACATTTATCCAATATTTCTTCAGTTTCCACCAGTTTGTTAAAAGAAAATGACTCGGAAGGAAAAAAGAGTGATAGCGATGATGAACACAATGTCCCATGCACTTCAAAATCAAGAAAATCTGCAGGAACTAGTGATGAAGAATACAATCTACCCTGTACATCCAAATCTGTACCTTCAGCATTGATGAAGACCAGTCATAAAAGTACCTCTGCTTTGAAATATGATAAAAATAAAAGATCTCCTACAACTACAGAGAAGAAGAACAAGTATACTCCTCTAGAACAACAATTCATGGACATCAAAGAAAAATATCCACATGCTGTACTTTGTGTGGAATGTGGATACAAATACAGATTTTTTGGAGAAGATGCAGAGGTAATTAAGAATAGCTTCTTGTTATTTTTAAAATATTGTTGTTTTTTTTTACGTATGAAATTCCAACAATTTGAGGAAATAATCAAGGCCCCTTTTTGGCAAGAGAAGGCTACATGTTAGTGATTGTATACTCATTTTGACTTTAAAATTTTGAAGAAAAAACACAGGCTTGAGATTTCTTCCTTGAAATCTTTAAGTTTCATAAACTGATTCAAATAAGTGCTCTTGATTCCTTTTGAATAGAAGAAGCTTTAACCGCTTTTAGCATTAAACGTTTTTTTCTTTCAAAAACTTCAGTAAACATTTGCTAGTTCAAATTGCTATTGGTGAAAAACTCCTTAGCAATAAGAATGTATATTATAGTTAGATAAAACATATAGAGCCCTCAGGAAACATGCTAGAACCCTTACAATGCCTATTGGCATGTATTAAACATTTTGGTTTAAAAAGATATTAAATTCTATAAGTTGGGCTTACCATATATATCCTGCAGTAAGCCCAGGGAGCTTATATACAAATTTTAACAACAAATCTGGTAAAAGGCTTATAACAAGGCAATAAAATAGCATTTATTCGCAAGTCTACTGAACGACTTTAGACATGGACGAGCTTATAACAAAGTATGAACTTATTGAATAAATATGATACTATCTATGAATGAAGTTTTTTACACTTGAAATTATTGCTTTTAAAGATTGCAGCTGAAGTTTTGAAGATATTTTGTCATCTTGATCATAACTTCATGACTGCAAGCATCCCTACTCATCGCCTTTTTGTTCATGTTAGGAGACTGGTTGCTGCTGGACACAAGGTTTGTATAAGAAGACCAAATGATAACAAATTTTGGTATCCTAAAAGTCAACATTCCTGAGACTTTTTAAGTATTGAAAATGTTTTAATCCATATGATCCTTTTGAACGAACTACATTTTTTTTTTTTTTTCTAAATTGTAAAGAAGAAACAATTTGTTAGGTATCAATTACAAAGATGCTGCTGTAGGCCAGGAAAAGATGGACTTGTATCTCGCTCCATGCTTTGGTAAAAGGCAGGTACAATGTAATGTTTGTTTTTCTGTGAAATCAGAGTGATTTTCCTTTGTAATTGTTTATAGATATGGATTAAGTTTTTCCATAACAATGTTTGGAATTTTTGTCCGTATTACATTGCTTATCCTGCAATTAAAAATTTTCTTAATTAAAGTAAATTAATTACAGAAAAACAACTTGTTTTTGGCAGTTTTTAACTTCTGTGATTTCTATCTCTCAAAAATTTTGATTAAATAAATCTTGTTTCTTCTTTTTTTTCCACATTAATTCAAAAGAGAATAACTCATGAATTTTAGTTTGATCACAAAATCACCACAGTAAGTTGAACACGTGAGAAAGTTAGTTTACAGTATACTGATTATGTGATATGTTAATGTCTTGACTAAGAGCAAATCTCAGTGTTTAATTTATCTGATTTTATTCGCAATTGATTGGTACACATTTTGTTCACTGTCAATGAAACTGAAGTTATGAAAGTGTGGTCAGTACAATGAAATTAGTCAAATATCCTCATATCCTTCATTAATTTTTCAGAATTGAAAAAAAAAACATAATAACTTTATAATTTTCACAGGTTGGAGTTGTAAAACAGATGGAAACAGCGGCATTAAAAGCTGCAGGGGACAATCGAAGTGCACCATTTACTCGAGAGTTATCTGCCCTTTATACAAAATCAACATTGATTGGGGAAGGTATATATCAATAAAGGCTAAATATTTTAAGTTATAAAACATGTTCTCAATTCTTGCTTTAATCTATAATATTGATGTAGAAAAGCTTTGATAGTGCCACGAAGAAAATGTGTATTGGTCATAACGTATAATAGATTTGATAAATAGATTCATTGCCTAGTTTTCCTACCTGTGGGGAAATGTTTTGATTGCCTTATTACCTAATCTGCCTTCATGAGAAGGTTCATAGTCTGTGTTATGAGTACTTTGATCTGAACTCTTGTTTTATATAGATGTGAACTCGTGTTTTATATAGATGTGAACTCGTGTTTTATACAGATGTGAACCCATGTTTTATATAGATGTGAACTTGTGTTTTATATAGATGTGAACCCATGTTTTATATAGATGTGAACTTGTGTTTTATATAGATGTGAACTCGTGTTTTATACAGATGTGAACTTGTGTTTTATACAGATGTGAACTTGTGTTTTATATAGATGTGAACTCGTGTTTTATATAGATGTGAACTCGTGTTTTATACAGATGTGAACTTGTGTTTTATATAGATGTGAACTTGTGTTTTATATAGATGTGAACTCGTGTTTTATACAGATGTGAACTTGTGTTTTATACAGATGTGAACTTGTGTTTTATATAGATGTGAACTCGTGTTTTATACAGATGTGAACCCGCTTTTCCAAGTGGAAGATGCTGGCAACTCGTCATGTGATGTTGGTGCTTCTTATCTTATGTGTGTCTATGAAACTCAACCGAACAAAAATAGCAAACAACGAACTACTGCCATCTTTGTAAGTTCCACTCTGAGAAGATTTGAGTGTGTGATACAGTCCTGTATAATAATTGTTTAGTCCTCAAGATTTAGTTTTCTTTGAGTTGAACTTCTGTATAAACCAAAGGTAATTATATTTATCTTATAAACTTAAATGGTGTATGTAGTTTTCACCATGTTGGTTGATTTTCTTTGTGCCCATTTAATTTCAACAGAATGTTTTTTTATTCTCCTGTAATTATTCAGCTATAAATATTTGAAGTTGAACAGATTTATGTGTCAGCAATAACCTATTCACAGCTCTATCCTGCATCAGGCCCAGGTGCTGAAATTCAGACCTGAAATCTCGCCATTACAATGGGCTTATATCAGGACACTAAAATTAAATAATAGTTATTTTTGTAATTCTACTGAACAGTGATTGATACGGTTGGTTTTTGATCAGGCAGCTGGATAAACATGGTACATACATGTGTTTATAAGGAAATCTGTATACATAGGCAATACAGCCCTCCACTGGGGACGTTGTATATGATAGCTTCGAAGATAATGCCATGCATGGAGAGCTAGAAGCTCGACTATCACACATTCAGCCATCAGAAATCCTTGTCCCAGACAACTTGCATGAAGATACAGACACTTTCATACATCGTCTTACATCTATCAGGTAAGTGAAAACTGTATGTGCATACTTTTTTTGGAATTTAATTGTTCAAAACTTCAATTTCAGAAATTAATTGTATGTATAAGATTAAGGTTAAATATTGCAGTCTCCTGGTAAAATGAGGAAGAAATACAGAGGCTGAAAGCCCAATACTTGCTAATTTTCCCTGTGTAGGGTGGGGGGTTGGGTTGGTGGGAAGCTCTCATTTATGGCCCCTCTTTCTGACATAAGGTATTGACCTTCTGAAATATTAAAAAAAGTCCAATAGGAATGACAGCCTAGTTAAGTAAGTCTGTGCAACTCAGAACTAGAGAACTTGTTTTATGTTGTTCTTAATTTTTTATACTTTTCATGCTTGAAAAAAATCACCTTTAACTGGTAGAAAGTGGGAGTTTCTAAATTGATTTGATATCTTGATATTTGAAACCCCAAAAAAACAAAAGAATCAAACCTTAATTGATTTGATATTTTTCATTCAGTTAACAAATGAAGTATAGAAAAATACCTTGTTAAAAGGTGATTATTAAACATTATTTATCCCTTGTGTAAATTTCAAAATTGATTTGAAATTAATAGAAATGATCAAATATTAATTAATTCTGTGTAAGGGGAAACAGGTAAATGTTAAAGGGAATATGAATGATATTTATAATTGTATATGTTGACAGTTCCACCCCTGATGACCGTATGCGGGTAGAGAAGATTGACGGCCACCAGCTGGAATATAACACAGCCTTTCAGACTGTCTCCAAATTCTACACGTATGAAAATAAAGCTGGTAAATACACACATTTGCTTTAAGACATTATTCTGAAAGAGAAAATATTTCAATGACAAATGAAAATTTTGCAAGAGTAGATTTTAATGAAAAATTAGATCTTGCACCATGTTGTCATTATAAGTCATTGATTACATTCACTTCCTGGATTTTGAAAAGGAAATATCCTGCAACTAAAATATCAGCCTTACAATATTAATTTGACTTTCAGCCCATGCTTTGTAATAAGCCCACCCATGTATATTTCAGTGTTGCAATTTTACAGAAAAAGGTAACAGTTTTGTATCATTGTCCATGGATTAACTTGTCCCTCTTCTTTGTATACTAAGTTGTGTGTTTGTCCCCTGGACATATATAGGATAATTGTTTTCTTGAATGTATTCAGATTTGAAAGAAAATCAACATTTTACAGAAATATCCATGAAAAATGTCCCTATTTAATGTTTATGAGAAATGATCTGTTTTTTTTCTGTAGGAATTAACTTACTACAGGAAGTGCTACACCTGCCACAAACAGTCATCTCCTGCCTGGCTGGAACAATCACCTACCTGTCTGATTTCAACCTAGAAAATATCCTTACACTGACCAGGTAAAGTCAACTGAACTTATGATAAAAATTGCCCATGTACATTGTACCTATGGCCATCAGATCTTTTATTACTGCTATGTTTAACAGTTGAAATACATTAATTTTTGTTTTTAGGTTATTGGTAATAGAAAAGACATAATGTAAACTTAATTGATCTTTCAAATTTTATGTCATAAAGATACTCCTTTATCAAAATATCTTTCTTCTTTCACTGGAGTTTATCAATATACATTTAGCTTTTTCTCTTTTTTTTTTTAGCAACTTTACTCAATTTTCTGAAAAGTCAAAATTCATGCAACTTCCTGGAAACACTGTACGAAATCTGGAGATTTTCCAGAACCAGACTAATGGACAGGAACAAGGGTCACTGTTCTGGGTAATGAACCAAACTGTGTCCAGATTTGGGAGTCGAATGCTTCGAACTTGGCTAGGTAGACCCTTGCGATCAGCATGGTGAGTTTGTATTTGAAACAGTACCGTTGTTGCAACCAATTCGGTTTTTTGGGAGAGTTGATTAGGAAAGTAGGGACATAGGAGAAAGTCTATAATTACTATAGGAACATTTATAAGAGAAGACTATGGGTATGAGGGTAAGGACTTTCAATATGAATACATGGGGTATATCTAAATTATTGAGAAAGAAATAAGTCATCCTTGATTCTCCAGGGGTATGATCACTTTCGCTCTCCTCACCCCTGGAACATGTCGTGGCAAAATTGAAGGCACAAGTGAAGTACTTTGATTGGTTCTAGGAGAAAAAACAATCACAGGCTGTTAGGCTTCTTTTGATGATTAGAAACAAGCCACACTCAAATTCAAAGCCATTACAATTTACCATTATGCAACACAAGATTCATTTGATGGTCATCAGAGGATCAAACTTACCTTTTTTGTTTTGTCCACAAGGTGTTGCTCATGGAACCTTCAATTTTGCCATGACATGTTCCAGGGGTGCAGAGAGTAAAAGTGATTGCAAATCACTTGAGTATGGAGGATGAGAATTAGTGTACTATGTTGTTAGCAGGAATGTGGCTTGGAAAAAGGAAAACAGAATTTAAAAGTAGAGGCTTGGTAAACATATTTATGAAAATGTATCTCTTAAACATTTAAGGTAATATAGAAGGAATGATAAGGGTACTCTGGACTTCAAAATAAATCACTTCTATCCCTGATTTGAAGGTAAATATCTGTCAGATTCTATTAGTGGTACCTTTAAACAAACCACTGAGTCTTGGGATGGGATTATTGTTTTATTTGATTAGCCCTAAACAAATGTTTTACTAGAATAGCCCTAAACAAATGTTTTACTAGAATAGCCCTAAACACATGTTTTACTAGAATAGCCCTAACACGTTTTACTAGAATAGCCTTGAACACTTGTTTTATTAGAATAGCCCTAAACAAATGTTTTACTAGAATAGCCCTAAACACATGTTTTACTAGAATAGCCCTAAACACATGTTTTACTAGAATAGCCCTAACACGTTTTACTAGAATAGTTGAACACTTACTAGAATAGTCCTAAACAAATGTTTTACTAGAATAGCCCTAAACAAATGTTTTACTAGAATAGCCCTAAACACATGTTTTACTACAATAGCCCTAAACACATGTTTTACTAGAATAGCCCTAAACACATGTTTTACTAGAATAGCCCTAAACAAATGTTTTACTAGAATAGCCCTAAACACATGTTTTACTAGAATAGCCCTAAACACATGTTTTACTAGAATAGCCCTAAACACATGTTTTACTAGAATAGCCCTAAACACATGTTTTACTAGAATAGCCCTAAACACATGTTTTACTAGAATAGCCCTAAACACATGTTTTACTAGAATAGCCCTAAACACATGTTTTACTAGAATAGCCCTAAACACATGTTTTACTAGAATAGCCCTAAACACATGTTTTACTAGAATAGCCCTAAACACGTTTTACTAGAATAGCCCTAAACACATGTTTTACTAGAATAACCCTAAACACATGAATAGCCCTAAACACATGTTTTACTAGAATAACCCTAAACACGTTTTACTAGAATACTAGAATATCCCTAAACACATGTTTTACTAGAATAGCCCTAAACACGTTTTACTAGAATAGCCCTAATCACATGTTTTACTAGAATAGCCCTAAACACATGTTTTACTAGAATAACCCTAAACACATGTTTTACTAGAATAGCCCTAAACACATGTTTTACTAGAATAGCCCTAAACACATGTTTTACTAGAATAGCCTTGAACACTTGTTTTACTAGAATAGCCCAAAACAAATGTTTTACTAGAATAGCCCTAAACACATGTTTTACTAGAATAGCCCTGAACACTTGTTTTACTAGAATAGCCCTAAACACATGTTTTACTAGAATAGCCCTAAACAAATGTTTTACTAGAATAGCCCTAAACACATGTTTTACTAGAATAGCCCTAAACACATGTTTTACTAGAATAGCCCTAAACACATGTTTTACTAGAATAGCCCTAAACACATGTTTTACTAGAATAGCCCTAAACACATGTTTTACTAGAATAGCCCTAAACACATGTTTTACTAGAATAGCCCTAAACACATGTTTTACTAGAATAGCCCTAAACACATGTTTTACTAGAATAGCCCTAAACACATGTTTTACTAGAATAGCCCTAAACACATGTTTTACTAGATAACCCTAAACACGTTTTACTAGAATAGCCCTAAACACATGTTTTACTAGAATAGCCCTGAACACTTGTTTTACTAGAATAGCCCTGAACACATGTTTTACTAGAATAGCCCTGAACACTTGTTTTACTAGAATAGCCCTAAACACATGTTTTACTAGAATAGCCCTGAACACTTGTTTTTCTAGAATAGCCTTGAACACTTGTTTTACTAGAATAGCCCTAAACACATGTTTTACTAGAATAGCCCTGAACACTTGTTTTACTAGAATAGCCCTAAACACATGTTTTACTAGAATAGCCCTGAACACTTGTTTTACTAGAATAGCCTTGAACACTTGTTTTACTAGAATAGCCCTAAACACATGTTTTACTAGAATAGCCCTGAACACTTGTTTTACTAGAATAGCCCTGAACACTTGTTTTACTAGAATAGCCCTAAACACATGTTTTACTAGAATAGCCCTAAACACATGTTTTACTAGAATAACCCTAAACACGTTTTACTAGAATAGCCCTAAACACATGTTTTACTAGAATAACCCTAAACACGTTTTACTAGAATAGCCTTGAACACTTGTTTTACTAGAATATCCCTAAACACATGTTTTACTAGAATAGCCCTAAACACGTTTTACTAGAATAGCCCTAATCACATGTTTTACTAGAATAGCCCTAAACACATGTTTTACTAGAATAACCCTAAACACATGTTTTACTAGAATAGCCCTAAACACATGTTTTACTAGAATAGCCCTAAACACATGTTTTACTAGAATAGCCTTGAACACTTGTTTTACTAGAATAGCCCAAAACAAATGTTTTACTAGAATAGCCCTAAACACATGTTTTACTAGAATAGCCCTGAACACTTGTTTTACTAGAATAGCCCTAAACACATGTTTTACTAGAATAGCCCTAAACAAATGTTTTACTAGAATAGCCCTAAACACATGTTTTACTAGAATAGCCCTAAACACATGTTTTACTAGAATAGCCCTAAACACATGTTTTACTAGAATAGCCCTAAACACATGTTTTACTAGAATAGCCCTAAACACATGTTTTACTAGAATAACCCTAAACACAATGTTTTACTAGAATAGCCCTAAACACATGTTTTACTAGAATAGCCCTAAACACATGTTTTACTAGAATAGCCCTAAACACATGTTTTACTAGATAACCCTAAACACGTTTTACTAGAATAGCCCTAAACACATGTTTTACTAGAATAGCCCTGAACACTTGTTTTACTAGAATAGCCCTAAACACATGTTTTACTAGAATAGCCCTGAACACTTGTTTTTCTAGAATAGCCTTGAACACTTGTTTTACTAGAATAGCCCTAAACACATGTTTTACTAGAATAGCCCTGAACACTTGTTTTACTAGAATAGCCCTGAACACATGTTTTACTAGAATAGCCCTGAACACTTGTTTTACTAGAATAGCCCTGAACACTTGTTTTACTAGAATAGCCCTAAACACATGTTTTACTAGAATAGCCCTGAACACTTGTTTTACTAGAATAGCCTTGAACACTTGTTTTACTAGAATAGCCCTAAACACATGTTTTACTAGAATAGCCCTGAACACTTGTTTTACTAGAATAGCCCTGAACACTTGTTTTACTAGAATAGCCCTAAACACGTTTTACTAGAATAGCCCTAATCACATGTTTTACTAGAATAGCCCTAAACACATGTTTTACTAGAATAGCCCTAAACACACGTTTTACTAGAATAGCCCTGAACACATGTTTTACTAGAATAGCCCTGAACACTTGTTTTACTAGAATAGCCCTGAACACTTGTTTTACTAGAATAGCCCTAAACACATGTTTTACTAGAATAGCCCTGAACACTTGTTTTACTAGAATAGCCTTGAACACTTGTTTTACTAGAATAGCCCTAAACACATGTTTTACTAGAATAGCCCTGAACACTTGTTTTACTAGAATAGCCCTGAACACTTGTTTTACTAGAATAGCCCTAAACACGTTTTACTAGAATAGCCCTAATCACATGTTTTACTAGAATAGCCCTAAACACATGTTTTACTAGAATAGCCCTAAACACATGTTTTACTAGAATAGCCCTAAACACATGTTTTACTAGAATAGCCCTAAACACATGTTTTACTAGAATAGCCCTGAACACTTGTTTTACTAGAATAGCCCTAAACACGTTTTACTAGAATAGCCCTAATCACATGTTTTACTAGAATAGCCCTAAACACATGTTTTACTAGAATAGCCCTAAACACTTGTTTTACTAGAATAGCCCTAAACACATGTTTTACTAGAATAGCCCTGAACACTTGTTTTACTAGAATAGCCTTGAACACTTGTTTTACTAGAATAGCCCTAAACACATGTTTTACTAGAATATCCCTAAACACATGTTTTACTAGAATAGCCCTTAGAAGGATTTAGTTTTAAACTAGCAGTATTTGAATATCAATTAACTAAAAAGATGAATTGTTTTAATAGGGAGTTTGAGAAGTATGGTAGAGATGTAAATTAATTCACATTGTTGTGGACTAATAAATTACCTTCTAGGGACATCACAGAAAGGCAAACAGCAGTACAGGATCTAATAGATGGACCATGTGCTGAAACTTTGGCCAAGCTACGGGCGCTCCTTAGCAAGAGTCCAGATCTAGAAAAGGGACTTGCATCAATCTATCACAAAAAGGTATGTATTGTATATTAGTAAACAAATTCAGTTGAACCTTGGTTTTGTCAATAATAAGCAGGGTTTTCATGATTTTGTTAGTAATAGGCTGTGTAGTAAAAGTAGGAGGCTGGCAAAGCCAGCCGACCCGAGCCGCAACGCAGCGAGGTGGGTGTGGCCTGCCATGTACATGTAGTCGTGTATGGGACATAATTACGGAACTGGATTGGTGTAGACGGACAAATGATCAAAGTAGCCGTCAAATTGGCCGGCTCCCAGCTCTTATGGAAAACCCTGAATAAGATATTACAGATATGTGAGTAATTTGGATTCATGTCAAGAAGCGGTACAATTTTTAGGAGGTTGCATAAGAAAACCCAATCATACAGTAATCTGGCCTTCACATAAATGCTCCCTTGTAACCAAGCTACCACCAGTATAGCCAGACGTATTACAGTCACCTCTGATTTTGATACAACTGTTATAAAACTAGTTTCCTCGTCTTGTATCCATCTTTCTTGTTGGTAGGGTATATTGTTTGTGTGTTGGGTTTACTGCCTTGTCAACAGTCAGGGTCATTTTAAGGGGGAGTGTCCTCATAGTAGCTGGTAGCTATCTCATTGAATGACATACAGGAGGCCCATTGCATGTCACCCAGAGCAATGAGGATGAAGTGTCAGGCCCAAGGACACAACCATAATAGTACAGACTGGTCTGTTTCTCAGTTTTCTGATAAATACAAACTGCTATGAGTTGGTAGCACCAAACAACACACAACTGATTTTCATCTGATGTTATTAAGGCCATCGCTGTACCAACTGAGCCTTCATGGCCTCCAACTGGCTAAATAGGTCTTCTTGATTATTCAGAGAAGACAGTGGTCAGGGAGCTGACTTTGCAGCGTTTATTGGACTATACAATGGTATCCCAGTTACCTTGGTGAATGACAAATGCAATTTCTATTGTAACACATTAAAGCTTAAGGAGTAAAGTTAAAGTCATACTTAGACATAATTGGAGTTCTTTTGAAATTGTCAAGAAAAACCTTCATCTCTAAACTTTGATTTTTTTTGTTTTTTTTTTATCACTTTGGATTTTCCTTGGTCGCCTCCTAGGTTTTAAAAATTAGGCCTGTAGCATCACAGAGGAGTCCAGGAACAAGAAACAAGTATATGATGCAGTAGAACTATTTATTTGCCTCTACTGTCTTTAATTCTAAATTTGTATTGTAAGGTATTATCCACTTGTTGTGTCTAATGAATAAATCATAGAACAAAACTTAATACTGTAATTACTGTTTGTATGTATATGCATGTAATTTTCTATTATCCAGTGTAGTGTAGCAGAGTTTTACTCCGTTTGTAAGGCCTTTAGCCAGCTACAGAGGGACATTAGGCTTCTGGCCGAATCACAATGTCCACAACTAACCTCTGACCTTCTGAAAACCATTCTGACCAATGTACCAGACCTTTTAAAAGATATAAACTCATATGTGTCTTCCATTAGGGAAAAGTCGGTCAGGTAAGTACAGGAAGATAAGTGGACACTGGAACAAATATAGATAGAATCTTGCGTGAGTTTCTATGTAATAAATGATTTATAAAACAAGTCTCTAGAATGTCTAATTTTGGCAAGCTTTCGACATGCTGAAATGAAAAAGTTTTGACAAATGTCATAATGCACATATCAAATGAAAACAAGAACAGACATTTGACAGTCATTTCAGTTTTATATTGGGTAGGTGTCTCCATTGTTACATCACAATTACTGAGTTTGTGATGTCATCTCGTTATCTTGTTAATAACAAGGCAATCGTATGATAAAGGTCTTTATTTTTTTCATGATTTCTGATTTATTTCCCTCAGTATTTCATTACTGAATTAGTAACCATAACAACCAACATTTTAAATCATCTGTCACTCTAGTATTACAAATTTAGTTTTTTTATGATGCAGAGATAAGGACAAGACAGGGATATTTGCAGATGAAAGTAAGTTTCCCATAATCATACAAAGGAAACAGGCTATACAAGATGTATTGTCGGAGATCCAGGCTCACAGACGGGATGTACGCTTGATTCTACGCATTCCTGGTCTAGAATATGTCACTGTTATGGGAATTGAGGTAAACTGTGCATAATCTCACACTATTTTCTCTCCAGGAATCATCAGTACATGATAACTGTATGATAACTTATAAAATCTTGTTATGACTTGGTAGCTGTTAAGTCTGGAGTCAGTGACGGTCATGGAAATGTGTAAGCTTTATTAGATCATTTAGGAACATCATGCATGACATCCCTGCTCAGTTATGAAAGAATTTTACTAATCATTGTATGATATTTGACAGTTGACAGTCAATGGCCACTTTTGTGTAACTGTAGCAATAATGCAGCTTCCACACAAAATATTCCTCCATGAATATTCCACCTGAAATAGATTCAATATAACGTGGAAGGACAGAATTTGCAGGTTCAGAATTCTGTGTCAATCTGATATCATTATAATCAGATATAATGACAGACTGAAAAGACTACAACCAAAATCCACAGTAAACCAAAACTTTGTATATTTATCTTCTTTTTAAAAAAATAGGGATTTTTTGTTACATCTCAACATTATTCATTTTACGATGATGTAAAAAGATTACCAATGCAACCAGGTTACATATTTAAAGCACTTGTGTTTGTCACTTTAATGGAGTCCAAACAGAGGATGAAACTAAAGGACTTTAGGAAAACCTAAGTGGTTATGTGGTTGACTGCCATATTCCTTTTCATTTTTCATTGGGGAATTGATTTCTTGCCTCATTGTGAAAGAAAGTGTATTTAAGACAACATTTTCAACCTATACCTGGATCTTGCGACTCTGGAACATCGAAGGATGAGACATGATAAACACTTCTAAAGTTATGATCAATATATATGATAAGAGAGCTACTGAAAATTTATTTGAGATGTGTACCACAACCACAAGAGGGCATTCTCAAAAACTGTATAAAAAGCATATGAGATTAGACATTAAAAACATTTCTTTAGTCAATGAACTGTAAAATTTGTGAAACAGCTTGCCCCAGTTATAAATGCTACTACAGTCAGACAGCTTGAACTTTTATTTTATGAACATTATAAAAATTAATAAAAAATGTTAGCGTTCAATGAATTCACGGAATAGCACCAGAAGTAATATTAACACAATTTTTTCATGAATTGTTGAATATTGATATGGCCAAGAGACTAGCATGCCTGCATCCATCATGTATCATAATAAATCGTAATAAATCTATCTATGGTGCAAATTTGGCATGGCTGGACCTCTGATTTTGATGAATTGTCCTTAATATCAACTTTAGTTCTAAAATACAGCTGTTGTTTTCTTCTAGGTTGTAACATTATAAACTAGCTTTCCTTACTACAGAGTTTTTATCATCGGGACTGGTATAATTATTTTGAGAAGTCTGAGGATATTACTAGTGTATTGGTTTTCTCAGCACAGATTTGATCATACACACACCCAACTGTATTCTATAGCATTTCTTATATAATGTCTTCTATCTGTTTTAATAAATATTGTTTCCTTTCTTTATTATTCTAGTTTCTGATCGAGGTGAAAAATAATTCTGTCAACTTGGTGCCACAGGATTGGATAAAAATAAGCAGGTATGAAAAACTTACATCATATAAAAAGTAACGGAAAATTTGTGTATATCAAGATAAAATATAGAGATGTATTTTATTTTTTGATGAGATAAAGTTACCCTGGAAAACTTTAATTAATTTGATTAATACTGGATAATTTTGTAAGATTTTTATTGGTCCATCATTTCTATACTTACCTGATAAAACCAGGGATATTTCAGAAGAATCTGTGCCCATCAGGTTTTACATAAGGCAGACGAGTATACTTATCTGGTATTATTGGATTTTTTGCGGTCATCTGACCCGAAGGTTCATGATGACCTACAGCCATTAAAAAACATATTTCAAACATCTTCTCCAGTTCCACTAGTGCCATTGAGCTCAGAATCGGTAGAAATGGAAAGGATAGGTAGTCAATAAAGTGTTATTTTTTTACCTGGACAAAACTTTGACACGGCAGTCAGGGAGGCCATTTTGTAACGTGGTTTGGCAATTACGGTTTTCCTGTGCAACACCTATTTCAAACTTCTTCTCCAGTTCCACTAGTACCATTGAGCTCAGAATCGGTGGAAATGGAAAGGAAAGGTAGTCAATAAAGTGTTATTTTTTTACCTGGACAAAACTTTGACACGGCAGTCAGGGAGGCCATTTTGTAACGTGGTTTGGCAATTACGGTTTTCTGTGCAACTCCTATTTCAAACTTCTTCTCAAGTTTCAACATAGGGATTGAGCTCTAACTTCATTATCAAAAAAAGTAACACTTGTTATAGTTACCACTCCTCACCAAAACTATCACCTGCATTATGGAAAACAGCTTCTTAGTAAGATTTCATTCAAAGTGCTGGAAGTTTTTGTAGTCAGATGATCTTACGGCCCATGGGCCTCTTGTAATCATCTTACTTGCCCGTTATTTTGTATTGATAGATGTATGATGGATGTGATCTTATAAAAGGATACTTGTACCAGATTTACTTACTGTGTACTGAGGTAGTGCACTAAATACAACTCACTACAGGAAGCACTATTTCATTTTGTGGCATTTCTACTGAAATTTCAGAAGATCGAGGCAGACTTATCACAAGGCCTTGGTTTAATGCCTTAAATATGGTGATTTCTTTAACCATATCTTATTCTTTTCAAACACTACAGCACTAAGGCAGTGAGCAGGTTTCACTCACCTTTTATAGAGAAGACTTATCGCAGACTGCAGCAGCTACGTGAACAGCTGAAACTGGACTGTGACCAGGTGTGGCGAGAGTTTCTCAGGTAAGGTGGCTGTGTTGTTCCGTTTTCAATAACTCTCATCACTTTACTTAGACATGGAGGGGGATAGTTGCCAAATATGGTCCAAAACATGCAATATTGGATAAAGGCATCAAAGTTGGTGTTAAAATTCTTTGGACCAGAACTAAATTTCAATTTTGAGGCATTGTGAAAAATACCTTCTTTGATTATTTTTTTTTTTCAAGATAGCAGTCTTTTTACAGATGAAATTAATTAAATTATTAAAAGCCCTAATGTTTCATATTCATTATCATATTCTGTAATTTGTTATTACATTCTATATTTCAAGTATATTGTTACAAATTTCGTTGGTTCTGTCAAAATGTACAAATGTGTAGCTTTTATTTGTTATTCAATTTTATAGATTACTTAAAACTTTTCTAATATCATTATTTTCAAATGATCTGCAGTGAAATAATATTTAACATTTTCAAATGCCTCAAAATTCTTCTAATGTATATGTATCACTGAGTCTGCCATACCATTGGATGACCAGTAATTTGTATGTGTTGACAGCTCGTTCGGAGAAAATTATCAGAGTTACAGAAAAGCTGTCCAACATTTAGCTACTCTGGACTGTTTGTTTTCACTGGCAGCTACTGCTAAACACCATGACTACTGCAGGTAATATCTTTACCTTATTAACCATCTGTGGAAAAAAAATGAAATGTTGAGAGGGCTTTTTGCAAGCAGCATCCTCTGCCTATTCATAAATTTTCTCCATTTCAGATAATTTTGACGACGTTACAAAATGTATAAAAAAATGTTCAAAAGAATAAAATTGAAATGGAATTTTTATAACACCACTGCAACGTCATGGGGATTATCATATCATTGACAGCAAGTCCTCTTGCAGGAAAATTATAATTGGATTTTGAAATTAAAAACTTTTATACAATGTTGGGTACGTTTTGTGTGTTAAAGGTCACACATGTTAGAAATTAAAACTAATATTACATGGCAAATACAAAAGTAGATTATTTTTCAGTTTCTTTTATAAATCTTTGCAGACCTGAAATTGTAGATGAGGATGATTTCTGTATTCAAATTGAAAATGGACAGCACCCAATAATTCAACAGTTAATTGGAGAGCAAGAACAATATGTCCCAAACCATACTAGGTTGTCTGTGAGTACTCGGCCACTCTGTTAACATTTACAGTTGATTTTCATGGTGAAGATAACGTTTTATTATCTCTATTTGTGATCTCACATGGAGAAATGTAACTGTTGAAAGGCCACCATGTTTCCATCCTTGAAATTCCAAGGGTTACGATCGCTATTGATCTCTTCTGCAGAGAGCGAAAGTGATCGTAATTCCTGGAGCGTTGAGGATGCCACAAGTGATCGTAATTCCTGGAGCGTTGAGGATGCCACAAATGATCATAATTTTTGGAGCGTTGAGGATGCCACATTGACGAAAGTTATGAAATTATTAACATTGAAATTTCTTGCATTAAGAATGATTCACATTATACTGAATATATAGTCTTGATTTTGGGCAGATAGATTGATGCAACATTTAATGTCAACAGTTGATATTGGTCAATTTGCATAGGAAAACGTGAATAATGTAGTTACTTTCCAAGATAAAACATCCACAACAGCTTCTGAGTTTGAGTTTTTCAATTTATTTTACTCGTCAACATGTTTTCCCCTGTTCAGGCTTCATCAGGACCTTGTTACAATTATGGATAACTATTTTGTTGAAATCAATATTTGCATAAAAAGCATTGTTTGTATTTACATATTATGTAATTGTTATGCGATTTGATTTATTTCGTAGAAGGCATCGACCAGGGTGATGATCATTACTGGTCCAAATATGGGAGGAAAAAGCTCCTACATTAAACAGGTAGCACTCATCACCATTATGGCCCAGATTGGGTCCTATGTTCCTGCTGAATCAGCTAAGCTTGGCATCTTGGATGCTGTCTATACAAGGTATGAACTTCTTACATCAACAGTTCCTGAAATTTTCTTCAAATTCTTCGGCAATATCAAGAGACACGTTTAAGTAATAAAACATACTACCAGGTTATGTTGTCAGCAATATGATAAAAATACAACTAAACACTTACGCCTTAACGATAATGGCACAAGTTAATTCACCAATAAATCAAGGGTATTTTGATAATTATAATTGATGGAACTGATTAAATGGTACATAATACAGGTTATTTGTTGTATGTTACAGAATATTTGTGTTCAAAGCATAAATTGCTATAAACTGCTATATCTTTTAGCTTTTAAGTTCTTTACTTTGATAGCAATGAGATGAATTTAAGACATTTTTACAAGTTGTTGTAACAGGACAAAGAAATGACAGTGATTTACAATTATACTGAACAGCAGTATATATGGGAGGGCTCATTACCAGGCATGGATTTATTACGGGATAAATACAGTAAAAACTACACTGTAAAATTAAAAGTATGTGTTGTGTGAGAGATAATTAATTACTGCTGTTACATATTCACTCTTCCAAGATTTCATTTTAATAATATGAGGTTGATATTTAAGTGATGGTAATTAGATTTTGGAAAAGTTAAGATCAGTTATCAGCCAGAAATATTAAACTATATCCTATGAAAAAATACAGGGGAAAAAATCATATAAAGATATGCAAAATATTATGTACAAATAATAATACGGTGAAGTAAAATCTTACGATATTCTCCATAACATATGTTTCAAGGAGTAAATTTATAATGGAGATGGGATATCATGACTAAATTTAATTGATTTTTTTTTTAATAGAATGGGAGCCACTGATGAAATCTACAGCAAGCGAAGCACGTTTATGGTTGAACTACAGGAAACTTCAGATATCATAGCAAATGCTACTGAAAAGTCTTTAGTTATCTTGGACGAGTTAGGGAGAGGTACTAGTACACATGACGGAACAGCAATAGCGCATGCTACCCTCGATTTCTTCATTCAAAAGGTGAGTGTTCTAATCTAGAATATGAATTTTGTGCCAGAGTGAACAGCTGCTCATAGTATTTACCAGGTCCTGTTGAAGCCCAACTGGTAGGGCGAAACCAGTAGACAAACTACCCAATAAATAATTGAAGAACTCACCTCTAGTCTGTTGGATTGATCCATACTTACTTCAACTTACCCCTTCTCATCAATCCCCTGCATACCTTCGGGTAACCGGGCGACAGGAGAGGAACCTTGATTCATCCACTGAAGAAACCACGGTGTTGGCTCTAAACTTCGTGCAAATTTATCTGTTTAGATGTGTCGCAAACTCCCACCTAACTAAACTCTGTGGTTTATTTACAGGTGAAGTGTTTTTGTCTATACTCTGTGGTTTATTTACAGGTGAAGTGTTTATATCTATACTCTGTTGTTTATTTACAGGTGAAGTGTTTTTGTCTATACTCTGTGGTTTATTTACAGGTGAAGTGTTTTTGTCTATACTCTGTTGTTTATTTACAGGTTTAATGTTTAAATCTGTAATCTGTTCTTTATTTACAGGTGAAATGTTTATATCTATACTCTGTTGTTTATTTACAGGTGAAATGTTTGTGTCTGTACTCTGTTGTTTATTTACAGGTGAAGTGTTTATATCTGTACTCTGTTGTTTATTTACAGGTTTAATGTTTAAATCTGTACTCTGTTGTTTATTTACAGGTGAAGTGTTTATATCTATACTCTGTGGTTTATTTACAGGTGAAGTGTTTATATCTATACTCTGTGGTTTATTTACAGGTGAAATGTTTGTGTCTGTACTCTGTTGTTTATTTACAGGTGAAATGTTTATATCTATACTCTGTTGTTTATTTACAGGTGAAATTTTTTTGTCTGTACTCTGTGGTTTATTTACAGGTGAAATGTTTGTGTCTGTACTCTGTTGTTTATTTACAGGTGAAGTGTTTTTGTCTATACTCTGTTGTTTATTTACAGGTGAAGTGTTTTTGTCTGTACTTTGTGGTTTATTTACAGGTGAAATGTTTATATCTATACTCTGTTGTTTATTTACAGGTGAAATGTTTGTGTCTATTTGTGACCCATTATCCGGTGCTTTCTGAACTTGAACATCAATTTGTTGGGATTGTTCAGAACTTCCACATGTCATTCTTTTTGAATGATGAAGAAGGTAAGTACAATTTCTGGCTGTAGATTAAAACTAGATGAAATAATTTACCTCATAATACAGTTTAGATTTATTGTGTTCATTGGGATATTGCACTGAATTATGTAACAGAAATAGGTGCTAGAAAGTGATGTGTTTGTTGTAGAGGCTGTAGGAGATGCTGCACAGTCAGGAAGCGATACATCCGCAACAGAATCCATTACTTTCTTGTACCAGTTAGTGATGGGCGTGGCTGGGCGGAGTTACGGTCTCAACGTGGCACGATTGGCTGGAGTACACCCTAACATCATCCAGCGGGCAGCATGTCAGTCACAACACTTTGAAACCAAGATCATGGAAAGGAGGTGAAATGACTATTAATGTATTACTACTCAAAATAACACCAGCAAATTTTGTATTTCATATTTTCTGTTTTAAAGATTTCTTGATTGTTTTTTTGACTATCACTGTCAATGAATGTGCACATCTTTTCTTTATGGACTCAACTGGTCCAAAGGTTTATTTCTGAAGAACTGATGTTTTGTTATTGCAGAAATCAGCTGAAATTATTCCAGGCATTACTTTCCTGCCCAGAATCAGAGATGACCGACATTTTACTGGAACTTCAGAAGAGTGAGGACCAGAAGCCATTTTCCACTGCAACATAACAATCCAGACATATCTTGAAAGCTTTGTACCAGTCCTTGTCACTGAACCCTCTGTAGACAATATAACAATAGTCTTGTGCTTTATTGCATGATGGTCTTTTTACTGAGAGTTATTTGAAACAGACATTAAGATCTGATTTCATTGTGATAGAATTCCTTGGTATTGACTAAATGAATCAATGGCATTCGAATGAAAAATAAAAAATAGTTGACATACATATGTGCTTCAAGATCTTAACGTTTTAAGCTCATCTGCCTGTAGGACATATGAGCTTGGGCAGTGACTGCTGAGGTGAAGGTTACTAGGTTTATTCACATGATTTACCTTGAACCACTCTGAAGATTACAAGAGTCTTATGTGTTAAAATCTTCAAATTAATTTTTCATGGAAATTGAAAATTAACCCTGAGTTTTGAAGAGAAAACGTATGTTAGATTTTTAATGAAGTCATTGTTCCACTAATTGGAGATTTTCTTGACTTTGGACAACACAAGTATGCAGTGTTATGAGACGAGTTTGTATTGCTGTGAGAAGATATTCATGTGTGTGTATCTTTAATGGTATTGATGCAGATGATTACAGTGGTACAAAATAAAACATTGTATTTCAGGTTCATTTCTAGTTTGGTTTTACTCAGCACAAAATAAAATGTTTGTAACATCTTGTTTATTATCCTGTGTCTGTCAGTTTTCCCCATTTACCACAAATGAAGGTACAAACCTTCCCAAATTGGTGAAATATGAGATTTGTACCCCCGAAGTTATATCTCATATATAACTTAATAGTTAAGAGTACTGCTTTTCAAAAGAAAAGGGGGAAACTCTCAGTTTTAGTTTGTTTTATAAACTTGATTGAAAGAGAGAAATGGGGTCTTGGTATATGGTCAGTAGCTAAATTGAGTAGAATACTACAGATAGCAGTTACATGTACACATACCAAATGCTTGGACTTTCAACACTGTTCAACACTTGCCGACCTTTCAAAAGGTAGTCACATTGTACAATGTACAAACAAAGTACACATTTTCTATCCTTATCATTATCCCCTTATTTATAATGTAATTGATTCATATGTCAATAAGTTGAATCTTGTGACAGTTTGTGTCTCGACATTTAACACATTAGGGTTTAAAATACCATCCAATTGGTAATGCAATAAGTGTAAACATTCCCTAACTAACAACACACAATTTAAGAGAAAAAAACCCAGCAGATATATCTGAAAAATGTTATTTTGTATCAAGAATGAAGGCTATTATGAAGGACAAGTTACTACCAAATTTTTCAATATTTGCATTGTGACTCATTTCCGATCACAGATGTTGGTACTGAATGTTGATGGAAGGCATCAGTCTTAATCATCTACCATTTCAGAAATGAAGTTTTTAGACTCTTATTGGACTTCAGTGTACTTAAAATACCAACAGCAGAAAATGAGAGACAACTACTGTATTTTCTGGGTTATAAGCTCGCTTTTTTTTAACTCAGTGGTCGGGCATGCAGCTTATATACCTGTGCTGCTTACAAGTGGACAAAAACAAATTTGACAGAATGAAGAAAAAAAATACCTGACGATTTGGATAAATTGCCTTCTGTTGTCTGTTATATCAACGAACCTAGGTAAACATAATGGTTACCACTCTCTAAGAAAGAGTGTGTCTTATTTGTCGATCAAATTGAAAAAATAGCTAAAAAACAGACCTGCGGCTTATACTGAGGTGCGGTTTATAACCACAAAAATATGGTATACGTTCTGCTAAGATACTACATTTTACATGTTATAGATAGCTGAAACATGTAAACCAATTATAAAACCATGGAATCCAGATGTCGATGCTCCATCATCTTTGTCATTTGCTGATACCACATCATTTTAAGATAAACATTTGAAATACTCAAGCTGCTTTGTTTTGTCATAAAGAAGTTAAAAATGGACAAAATCTATCCGTATTTGAATGGCTGTTACATTTTGTACACCAATTTGATGTCTGATAAATGCAAAACACTCAAATGAATTACACACTATATACAAGATGAAATATTGTAAACATCAGGATTAATAGTCAGTTTTCAAGGTTGTCTATGATCTGATAAATGCAATTAATACTCGTTAAATTTTAGTAAAAGCTTTGTGTTGTATCAATCACATCATAAATAAACAAAATTTTAATCTTCAACTGTAAGGAACAGGCATCCATTGAATTCTGAATTTCAAATGATGCATTCATGTCAAGCAGTATGCAGTGCAATAAAGATAGGTCAAATTGACTTTCGCCTCGAGGTCAAAGGGCAAATAAGTGCAGTATTACCAAGACTTATCTTGGCAATAACTTCATAGGAAATATACAGATACTTTGCTGTGGTGTTTGTATAAGAAAGATTATAACAGAAACTAAAAGTCCATTCATTCTGCAAGCTTCTTACTACATGCCTGTCGTTTATAATAATAATATTACAAAGTAAGAGAGGAGGGGGGAAGGATTCACTTCTTCATAGCTACATCCACAAAACGAGACCCATTGTGGATGCAGCTATGGAGAGGCTTAAGATGATCTAGAACTTAGCGACTGTGAATCGGACGAAACAGCGTCGGAAGGTAATCTATATTTGAAGGGTAATTATGTACAGTTGACTACAAAGAACTTGTATATCAGAGCGACGGAACAGATTGCCAAGATGAATTTTAAGTATGAACTGGGATTGATTATTTTATAATTTTAATGCACAGTTAATTTACCAAACATTTCTTCTTATAAAAAAGGGATAAGGTTATCATTTTTATTACAACAGGCGTACAATTGACATTATGAGTTACCAAACTTTATAACAATGATGTCACGTGAAAAAGGGTACCACATTTAGGGTACCTTAGGGCTGAAAATTATGTTGTCTTTGCCCTGACGAGCCATAACTGGTGACACCGGTCAGCAAATAATGAAAGTATTCCACCTACTGAACCTTGTGCAGCTGGTCGATGTTGATTACGCTCCTACCCACAATGTTTTAATAATATTACATGTACAGACCTTATATGTCTACATATGATCGACAGTGTGACATTATGAAGCAAAATAGGAGGGCAGATCAAATTTTTGGATGTCTGATGTCCATCCAGCATCAATTTTTACCTTCAAGCAAATTCATATCAATAACCAAGATGCCCAGGAAACTGATATTAGGCATATAGCATGCTGAGATGATGTCCTACTAAGTTTGTTCAAATATGTGACCTTAACTGACTTTCAAGGTCACAGAAATCAAATGTGTAAATCTTTATATAACTTCTCAATAACTAAAAGGACATGTTACTGATATTTGGCCTGTAGCAAGCTTGGATAAAGGACTATCAAGTTTGTTCAAACAAATGACCTTGACCACTTTGAAGGTGACAGGCATCAGATGAACATTTTTGAACCCTGAGTATTGTTATTGACATTGTAGAATGATGGAAAAAAAGATTACCAAGTAAGTTCAAAAGAATGTCCCACATCCACTTTCAAGGTCACATGGGTCAGATATGTTAAAGTCTGGAATCAACATCTTCTCAATAACCAAGACGTCCAAAGAAGTGGCATTTAACTAGTTGTGTATCTGCATTCAGGGCTACCAAATTTGACCTGAAATGACCTTGACCTATATTCATTGCCACAGGAGTAAAATGATTGAACATCTTCTAAATACAAAAAAAGACAGAAATACATGTATATGTGTTTTTTTGAAGAAGTCAAATCATATTTGAAAAATATGATCTTGACTTTTCAAAACAGATGTAAAATATAAATTTTAACCTTCTCTGTAAGTCTCCATTATAAAATGTGTTTGCAAACAACAGTGATTAGTGGGTGATGCAGGCCGATTAGTGGGTGATGCAGGCCCGTGTAATTGGGTTTCCTGTTTAATCATAGTGTATGATTTGTTATATAAATCAAAGATGACTAGTGTTAAATTAGTAGAAATATTATCAAAGTCTAGTTATAATTACAATCTCTCTGCTGATTATTTTGTAATATACAGTAGGCTGTGATTTTATACACAACATAAGAAATGCCATAGTTAAGGTTTACATACTATTTATTATTTAAAACACTACATAACAAGATTTGTCATAAGAAATACATTTGGCTCTTCTTTGGGGCTACTCACCATGTGTATACCTTATAAAAACATTCACATAACACCTTTACTTCCTATAATTTAACCTGATCCGAAACTTGAATGATAACATGTTATTATCCGAATGAACATGTAAAATTTAGTTATTATCTGAATGGGGAAAAGAATTTCCTGGAATTCTATTGGCCAAATGAATGAATTTTTGCTATGTGTACAGCAACAATGAGTGAGAGCCCCAAGAATCTGTGATTTATTGTTTTTGTATCTGTTTTGCATAAAACTTCACATGCTCTCACAGCCATTTTGATACATCTCTTTTAACAGGGGCCAAAGACATGATCACTCTTAATGCAAATACACATAATACATATTTGTGATCTCATCACATTATCATTTCTTTTACAGGTCCACTGTAATGAAACGTGACACTTGCTTACAACAAAATTTCATGGTCAGTATTTCTGTTTAAATACATGTAGTAGGTAGAATTTGCATTGAAGCTCTCAAACTTTGTTATTTAATCATCACCTCGTCCTTTACCACCATAACTGAAACATTAGTATTGTACAGAAGACACATAGGTGAATAACACCTTTCAATATAAATTTAGAATTAGATATTGTAGAACCAAATAATGTACTAAGTTATGTAACAGGTCTAAATTTTAAAACTAAGAGACAAAGGACAGAAAAATCCAGTGACTGAAAAAAGTGTTTAATTCTACATGGGGAGGTGAAATTGCCCCAGAATTCAATAAACTTTGTAATTTCATTTATCTGATAACTTTTAAAAAAAAGTCAAGTTTATACATGTATACAATCTGTATGCTACTATTTCACTGAATTAAAACAAGGTCATTGTTTAAGTGCACCAGGAAATCAAATATATCCTGATGACGTATCAATACCACCATAAAAATTCCTTGGAAAGTGTCCTCTGTATTTGAACTATCGCCTATTATGGAAAATAAGATATGGAGACCATGAGGCCCTCCGACACTTCAAATGTAAACATAAACAGTGAAACAATATTCATGTTACCCAATAATCAATGCCAACTCAGTACTGGTTTTGTATCAGTCATAGGTGTGACCTGGGGCAGTTGGGGTTTCTCATGATCAGGAAGCTAGCTGAGAAGCAGGTCCTTAAAAGCATCTTTCTGAAGCTTGATATTTGAACACTCATAATCGTCTCTATAAAATCACATTAAGTTGGCAAGTATATGTTGACCATCAAGGAAAAGAAAGTTCACTGTTGGGATAAGATTTAATTTATGAGTCAATGAAGGTATGAAGTCAATCAAATTTCAAAGTCTGACAAGGTGGAGTCACACTTGCATACCATTTTCAGGTTTTTATGCTCAAGGTCAAGGTCAGTCACAGACGTTAAAATAGAAATTCGACCATCTAAGATGTAATTACCACATCATGTGTCTCAATGAAGGCAAGTTGATGAAATATCAGAGAAATAGACAAGGCAGAGTGCTGGGTCACATGCTATTCTGCAGATGTAAGGTACAATTTGTTTTTGCTCAATTTAGTTAGATTCTATAGGTAAATGATATTACTAGGTCATTGAAATTTCAAGGATGTGTTAAAGTGTATGCAGGATTAGTTGGTGTATAAAGAAACACTTCCATGTGTGTATTTTAGGTCAACGCCAGGTAGACTCATCAAAGTTAAAATCACTGATTATCATTTTGCTTTTTCAAATCTTTATTCATGTTCAAAAAATATTGATGCATCTTAAAATATATTGATGATGATTGAAGTACTCTTTAGTGTTTAAAAAGTATCAGTTTGTATGTAACAGGGTTTATCTGTATGCATTAACCATTCTCATTAAAATCAGCTGTTGTGTGACTTCGTTTACTAGGTATTTACTTAGTACATAATAAACAAAGCAATACAACTGAATAAAAAAAACTAGATTGGTTGGTTGCAATTTTATTTGTCAATTGGTTGACAGTTTTTCTATCTCCGCAACTCCTTCCGTTGCCAGATATTGTTTCATTGATGAAAGTCAGTGCTCTAGCGATGTGCAGTACTCGATCCCATAGGTTGAGGGTTGCTACATATACCTCTTTCCAGAAAATCATCCCCATTGCATAAGTACTTTCTTGGCCAAAGGTGAGTGTCGTTGATGAAGCAGGAGACACTTACTCTCCCGAAATATACCTGATCACATTCTCCTCGTACATTTTCATATTTTTTTTCAATTCTCTTACTTTTGTTCATATTTTCGTCACAGTTTCGTCGATTTTGAGTTCGACTTTTAAGATTCTGTTGGCAAGTCGGTATTCTGTATTTTTGCGTTACAGTCATCTTTAAAAGAGCGCCTCGATGATCTTGTTCATACAAACGCTTCGCTTTAGAGCCGAACCGAAAGCGAAGTGATAGGATAGGAAACGATTTATCTGTGAAATGCTGTTTCTTTTTATTAGAACGATGTTGTGCTCTACATTGATTTTTTGGTGACTCTTTTGTGTTCTGCGTATCCAGGTAAATACTTTTAAAACTAGTTCGTTTGTAACAAGGTGAGAGAATCAACTTTCGATTTGTTGCCTCGGACGACACGTGATGCTAGCCTAGAGAATGAAGTCTCGAATGTCTGTGTGATGATAAATCGGACAGTGTATTAAGACAACTTTTTGGGTGATGACGGAATCTTTCTCCTCATATAGTTGAATTCGATCAAATCAAGATAAATTCTCTGAATTTTTGTTATGGGAAATTCTTAAAATAAATTCTTAATATAACAATGGGAAATTCCGTTCTTAGCCACCGTCAGAACAGTTAAAAAATTGGGATTTTACGTGTTCGGTTGAGTCATTTTCAATTTACTTTAAGTAAAGTATACATTTATTTAATGGTCAGGTAAGAAGAAGCATCTGTTTCAGGATCAGAGACACCACTGAATTGTGTTTTCAATGTATTTTTTTTGTATAACAATTTATTTATGAAAAAGTGGGGGAGAAATTTCATGTAAAATGTACTAAAGCTTATGAATAGACGAAGGCAAGCAGCAACACATCCCATGCAATGTTGTCTCTGGCTGCTCTCAACCTTTTAGTCGTGAGTAACTATAGTCTGAATTATTCCATAGTTGATGCCATAGCAAAGAGTACTTGATGCAGTTGTAGTTGCAAATATGTTCTAATTGATGGTGACAGTACAATAGAGAATTACTTTGTTATTGGAATATTAGTATGTCAGCGAATGGTTAAAGCTATGTACGTGTGGCTAGTAACTAAAACAGAGAAACAGAAGGGAGGTCTGCAATAAAAGTATCAATTGGACAATTAAGTTACATATGTATGTCAGCAGGGGTGGAATTTCCAGTTATTTATACTGATCAGTGTTTATGGCAATCTGATGGAGTTTATGGCAATCTGATGGAGTTTATGGACCCTCCTCAATCTCCTGTGTTCTTGTGATAGGTAAGCTGATGAAGGTATTGCTATAGATGACTGTCAATACTTTAATGGAGAAATTTTTTTGTGGTCTTAGCCCTGTCAATCTGTACTAAGGGTTCCAAAGTTACTGACTTGATTATGGATGATTGGCCACAGCCAAGCTCTCTGGACTTGAAATTGTTAAAAACATATTGAGCAGTTTGATGCTTGACTTCAGCAGCATATGATAATGCCTGTAGTGTGTGGGTCCCAATGGGTTGAGGCATACACACAATAGGTGACTATGTTGGAAGATTGTGGATGTCTGTTCTTTAATCTGTTTGCTGTATGATGACATATCGCAACATCTTGTTCTCACAAGGTGTCACATGGATCCTTCAATTTTGCATGACATGTTCTAGAGGTGCAGAGAGTGAAAAGTATCAAGGATGGTATTTTGATATGATGTCAATAAACGTCGGAGCTGATTCAGCTCTCTAAACAATGAGGGATATAAGTGACTCGTGCTTGACTCAGCATTCAAATGGCATTTGTTTATTTAAAGAAATTGTCATTTTGAGATGCATGGTGTACACCAATCAAATGATCTGTTCCTCATTATCAACAAGCTGATACCAATATGACGTATGTTTCAAAGTTTTAAAGCAAATTTATTATTTGTACTAATCATGTTCCTACTATTACACAAGAGTTGCTCAAGGGATTTAACAGAAGTCATGACATCTATTAGTTACATAAGTAAACACACACAGCATTGTTTCGGTTTCAAAAATGAATGTCTTGTACTAATTTTCAATTTTACTTCTTATAATGAATTACCACAGAAGTCACAACGTAGATGTTATGACTCCAACGATTGTACCAAAGATTCAAAAGTGAAGTAGAAAGGGGAAGTGAAAACTTGTTGACTTCTAGTATACATAACTGTATAATCTGTGTTTTGTAGCCTGTAACATTTCACTTATATTGCTGTCAAAAGATGTATTTTCACGGGATCCAATTTTCATGGTTTCTCAAAAGAAAACTAATTTGTTGGCACATGATATAACCATGGATAAACTATACTCATGAAATCCACTTTTATTAAAAAGTTCATATTGATTTTTTAACCTTATTATTTAATGGACATGCATAATTTTGCGATTTAAGCTAATCTACAAAATCAATGAAAATACAGCACACACAAAAATGAATGATTTGATACTGTAACAAGAAATCGGTGTCTGAATAATCATCATGAAGTGTGATGATTTTGCTGTCATAGGGTATATTGTATACATTGTATAAAGTAAACACCTGAAGATGACCGTAAGTCCTAAAAACATTAACAATAATCAACTGCATTTATGTTTGTAGTATATATATATTGAGACTGGTACATACATCCATAATTGTTATGGTAAAACTTGTACAAATTCTTTATATTGTAGAAAAGATGGATGGTATTATGGAGATGCTGAGAGGGTTGCAAGAATCCTTAAACCAACAACAAATGCTGCTTCAGAAAAATAGCCAAAATATCAAAAGTATTAGTAATAGGGTAAAAAGAATTGAACGTCAGATTTATGATAATCAAAAAGCAACATCAACAGCACTAGATTATGTTCAGGAAGATTGCCAAACTATTTTGGACCATACAGCTGATTTACAGTCCCAATCAAGGCGATCCAGCCGCCAATTGAAGAATCTCAGTAGTGGATTAAAGTTACCGATGGAAAAATATGTGTCTGACTCTGACAATGGTTTTGCCAGGAATAATCCAACTTTTCTAGGGAATCGTCGCAATAAAAAGTTTCGAAGAAGTCTAGATCAAAGTAAGTATCAATATTAAGGAAGTATTTGATTTTGGTTCATTATTATTAAAGATCAACTTTGCAGGATTTTTGGCAAGATGACAACACCCAAAACACAATAGCAAATAATTGTTGAAAAGGAAGGTATCCTGTATATTTCACAAAGTTGTAAGGTAGTTGTATGTATACCGGTAATTTGACGCGTGTACATGTGAGTTACATATGAAAATTTGATGTGTGAAAGTTTTTGCAATGAAAACTGTGTAGTAAATAATTTGATATGTGAAAAATATTTGTAGTTGATACGTTGATGCTTGAAAGTTGTACAGTTGAGAATTTGATGCAGGAAAGAAAGAAATTTGAATCGATCTCCTGGTATAATGTTAAGCAAGTTCATTACCTGCTGTTGGATTGGTTCTGGTGTCATTTATCATAGAGGAATGGTTAAAAAAAAAAAAGGAAATGTCAACATAATTGTAATCAAAACTCATATTCAGCAAATCTAGGGCAAAATTTGAACACAATAAAATTTCTGGAAGAGTAAGCGCTTTCCTCTTCATTGACAACACCTATCGTGTGAATCTTGATCAATCCAAGTAAGTCAGGTTCTAATGAGAACAAGGTATGCAACAACTGAGCTAATCGACAAACTCACGAGTACAGGAAGAAATAGAATATATTTCAACGAGATCGCTTTGACTATGGTAAAACTTCTCTATAATTTTCATCATCCTGCATTTTAAAGTTAGAATTTGTTTCAGAACAATGGATCAGATTAAGAAAAAAAATTTACTGATATTTATGAACATAACCATTGTGGAAATAAACCTATTTCATTGTTACTGTTAGATACTTGGAATATTGTATATTTCAGTGAGTAAGCAGTTTAGTACCCCAGGATCAGACAGTGATAGTGGTAGTGACGAGGATGTAATGTTGAATGTTAATGGACCACAGGTCGGAGATCACCACCTGATACCCAGTGGCCATAACAGTCACTTACGGGGCGAACCACAGTCTCTGAGGAACTCAAATGTAATAGAGGAGGTTCCAACCACAGTGCCACCCATGAATGATTTAGAAGGTGACATCAAGGCACTTCAATCTGCAACGAACATATCACTTAATCAACCGAGCCTCAACCAGTTACCAAACATGTCCGGAGAAACCCTAGTAACTCCAGCTTCCACATCAAACTTATTTATGTCACCAACAGAACAACCCTCTTCTAGTACCAGGCATAAAGACCTTGCCAGCTCCCAAAGTTCCAATGGTTCAGCCAATCTGAATATCCCAACGCCATTGCAATCAAATATGTAAGTCACAATATATTAACACTTTTCTTACTTAGTAACATAATGATTTATAAAGGGATAGGATAATGATATGGAAGATGCTTGCTTAAACGTGTTAGTGAAAAACACAATCTTAAGAGTCAGATTTAGTGACACATGTGAACACTAAGGCAGTGCATGAGTTCATTAGAGTACAAATTTTGCAGTATTCCCTACTTGCGATGGTTGTTTTTCTCAGGAAGATTAGAAATGGGCTAGTCTGTACTGTAATTGTTGTGTCCATATGAAGTTCTGCCCTGAAATACTCATGTTAATTATGTAGGATTTATTGAGTTGTAAGACAGGCTTTTCTCCACTGTCACTCTTAAGGATTTTTAAGTTCCCAGTTCAAATATCTAAATATCTGTTTTCTAAGAAAAGAGTTAAATAATTGGGGCCAAAATATTACTTTTGAGTTAAACTGAAACTTATTATCTGAGTTTGAATAATTAGTGAAGTTTGATGGCAGGAGTAAATTTAAAGAATAACATCTGTTTATAGTAGGGGTGTAACGATTCGCTGTTAAACCACAGTATGTGGAGCTAAGATACGCTGTTATATGTAACAGTTGTAAATGATACAATCATTCATTTAGCTGCTATTAAAAGCTTATGTACTCATTGCAACAATTCAGTTTTTAAAAAATGCATTCATTACTTCAATTTTTCGGAGTGTTAATGTATTGCCCTGATTAATTTCAAATTTGGAAATCTCTTTTGCGAGAGATGAACTCATCAATTATAGTCACTTATATGCTTTGCAAAAATGGCAGACGCAGAAGTTTTGCCAGCACCAGCATCATTTCGGTCAAATGTTTTGTCCAAGATTGGATTCAAAGTATTGATAGAAAACAACAAATGAGTATTGTCAAAAGATATTGTGTTATATAGAATGTGTTGTATGACTGGTGAGATGACAAATGTCCTTTCATTGGAAACATAAACAGTGAAAAGGAGAAATCCAGCAGGGGTGCCAAAAGTTTATGTTTATAGTGTTAACTTGTATGTGATTTTACAATCAGAATAAATTTACAAAGTTAATTGCCACTACTGTCAGGTAATACCTTGTATGCCTGTATTGATTAATGGGTAATGTAATTATAGTATGTTTTGTAAATGTTAATCACTAAGGGTCAGAGCTTGTGATAATCAGGAAGAGAAAGCCATGGAAGGAGGTTGCATTACAGTATATATGTTAATTCACAAATATCAGCATCATATTTTCTTTTTAAATGTTACAGACCCCTTCAAACCAGAAATCCTCTACTACCTTCAGGTAAGTAAACATTACTGGGTGCTTTAGTTTTCTGATCATTGTCTGCTGTTTAATGGTAAAGGTCAACAACAACATTACTAGAACACATTTAAAGTAGGAGAATGGTTATAACAGAAACAAAGAAGAAAGTAGATAGAGAACTCTTATTAACAGAAAAGAATTCACCCAGCATAGAAACATAGGATACGCTCCAGATAGACCTTGTCCACTGTGTAAAATAGACAGGATTTTGACATCGTTGAGGATGTGTTACGTACAGTACTTTTTTCTGCGACTGCGCCGTCATTGTCAGAATACACCTGCCACATATATTTTCGATGTCATCAGCAGTGACTGAAATCAGCTGTATTTTAGCATGTGCATTTATTCTGCAGAATTACTTCCTCATTTACCTCAATATTTTATTTGAAAATATGAATGACTGTTTATATAAGTGATCCTGTTTGTTGTAACAAACAAGGTTATTTACGAAAATTCATAAAATTGTTTTTATAACCAATAAAGTGTGCAACTTGTCACGTCAACCTGGAAGCTACCAACAGATAACTAACAAATTTGTAAACTTAACAATTTATTTAGAAAATAACAGTTATAAACACTCAACAAAACAGTATTTACGCACCATATAACATTAATCTCACTATACAGTGGTACAGGGGTACAGTGGTACCGTGGAACAGTGGGGATCCCTCACACAGTAAACACTTCGTATCATCAAGGAATTACATGATTTCCTTCAAATGACTAAAACAATTCCCTTTCAGAACGATTTATCCCATTTTATAATTCATAACTAAATTTCACTGGAAAAATCAATTAAAATATGAAATTCCTTTAGACAATTAGAAAATCAATCAGTACTATTAATAGTAATTCAAAGTTCAGTTCATTCTAGATTATTACAGTCATTACAGGCTCCAAATAATCATAAAATGACTCCAATTGTTAAATCAGCTGATAATGTAAACAATACAACAGTTCGGCAAAGCCGCTACTTCCAGTACACTTGCACTATGTTCACGACTCAAAATAGACAGTTCACAGTTCGGTATTTACATCACATTGGTACTGTACAATATAACACATTTCTAGCAGGATGACACGGCCCAAGGTAGTCTCTACAACACCTATCTAAAGCGTTGGTATGCGTTGACGTCTGTCCTGATGCTGTCCAGTTGTTTAAGAACAAGTCATGTGCGATACGAGCTGGCGACGAGGGATTACACATAGGCACTCTGGAACACTGCTGGTCACTGGATGGGAAAGTGTCTATTCCCATATCTAGGCGTCAAGGCTATACCAACCAGCCTGAGCCCCTTCTCTACTTTACATAAAACACGAAACAATACAAAGTCTCACTACTGGCATACTGTACCACGACCTAGACAATACAGCACACCGCAGTTTGGCAAAGTTCGTAAACAATGCGGTAACTTTCTATTAATCAGTAATAATCACTTAGATAACAAAACTGTCTGCTGACATACCTTGCCTAGATATAAAAACCCTGAGTTCTAAAAATTACCCCTATGGCCATTTAATAGAAGCAACATTGCATTAAAACTGTGTCAACACACATTTACTAGATGTCCTATCATTAAATTTACGTTTCTGTTTCACAAAGTCACATTATGCAAAAATATGCAAAAATACACGCAAAAATATGCAGAAATACACACAAAAATATGCAAAAATATGGAATGACAGCCTGAAAAATTACTCCCAATAAAAAGGGTTATAGATTTGGACTCGCCCCTGGGAACGTTTTGAACTCCTTCTATCTACTCATTTTTGACAAAGATTTGGCCCCAAAAATCTGGCTGTCCTGTCTCGCCATTTCTTTTCTATGTGCTTCACCCATGGAGCGCAGGTCTGCTCTGATTGGCTTAACTTCCAATAACTTACCAATCAGTGATAAGTAAACAAGCCCTGCTGAAGTACACTTAAACCCCAAAACATATTGCAATATAGAACAACCAGTCTGGTCATGAATTACTGTAAATAACCTAATTACTAGAAAAATAGAACTATTTAACTTTACACTTAAAAAAAATACTTCATTACAAAACTATAACGACTTTGTAACACAACTATAGTTGCACAGAGTAATTATTTTTAGACACATCATCAGGCACAGTTGAGTGTAATGTCAACATTAGGTTAAAAATTTTGATAGTCTGATATTTTAACGAGTGTTGGAGGATAAACAGAATACATGATCAGTGTTTTAAGATATACGTTACATTTTGGCTCAGGACAAAAAGACAAAAAAGGCTCACCACTTTTATCTTTCTAACCTTACTAAAATCCAGCTTATATTTTAAAGACACTTATTGTTTAACCTTATCTGATTCAATGATCAATTGTAATTTTTCATAAGTGATCATTGGAACCTTAGTATTTCTGGTGTTTTATCAAATACAGAATTCATATTATACATAACAGAATGCCATTTGCCAATGATATTCATTCTTATGCAAATTCTAGATAAATAAAGTATTTTAGGTTAAAAGTTACAAAAAATAGAAACTATCACCTTGATAAAGAATTCATGAACTTTGAACTCACAGTCAGCTGATTATGTAATTGATTAACTACTTCCAAAAGCCTATCTGATTACAATGGATAATCCATTATGGATTTCATTCGATTTCCCATCACTTTCCAAACTGTTCCATTGTTTACTCCACATATCAAATACATTATATTTATTTACACTGTCACTTACCTGTTATACATTATATACTGTATTAACTGATGCTGATTCTGTCAGAAATAAAGATAACATTATCAGTGTTATAAATCACTAAAGGAATTCATCATGTCGAATGAAGAAATCTTTTGGTTCTATCTGTTTATATTTGTTGATTACAGGTTCTGATTGTGAAGGTGAGACAAAGCAGAAAATGTGTGTGTGTGGTTGGATGTGGGTGTGTGAGACAGTACATTTATGCACAACCTCCCCTGTCACTATTAAAAACCATATGCGACAGTGACATATAAAGGCTACTTTAATTGACATTGTCTCTAATTGCTTAAAGCTACAAGTACTACCCGATGATTTTTGTCTTTATTAAGATAATTCAAAAGAAATTCTCCCAATAAAGCTGGCTAATTTCAAACCTTTCTTACTTATCTTATACAAAAATTTCAGCTTAAAATATCACTTGTATGTAATGTCATCTGTAAAGACTTCCCTGCCTGCCAACCTGTCTAAAATTATCACTGTATAAAAAGACTTCCCCGCCTGCCAACCTGTCTAAAATGATCAGTTGAAAAAGACTTCCCCGCCTGCCAACCTGTCTAAAATGATCAGTTGTATAAAAAGACTTCCCTGTCTGCCAACCTGTCTAAAATGATCAGTTGTATAAAAAGACTTCCCTGTCTGCCAACCTGTCTATAAAGATCAAGTATATAAAAGGATTTCCCTTCCTGCAAACCTTTCTAGAAAGATCAGTTGCATATAAAGATTTCCCTGCCTGCCAACCTGTCTAGAAAAGTCATCTATATATCATAACTGTCTTACTAGACAACCTGTGCATAAAGGTCATCTGTATATAAAGAGTTTCCGGCCAGACAACCTGTCTATAAAGGTCATTCATATATAAAGACTTTCCTGCCAGGTAGCCTTTGTATAAAGCTCTTCTGTATATAAAAAATTGTGTGGCAACACTATGTGTCTATTAAGGTCATTTGCTATAAATATTGCCTGACCAAGCTATGTGTCTATAACAACCATCTGTATATATAAAATGTAAATAGTCCTTGGCCAGACTACCTGTCTATAACAACCATCTGTATATACAAAATGTAAATAGTCCATGGCCAGACTACCTGTCTATAACAACCATCTGTATATACAAAATGTAAATAGTCTATGGTCAGACTACCTGTCTATAACAACCATCTGTATATACAAAATGTAAATAGTCCATGGTCAGACTACCTGTCTATAACAACCATCTGTATATACAAAATGTAAATAGTCCATGGTCAGACTACCTGTCTATAACAACCATCTGTATATACAAAATGTAAATAGTCCATGGTCAGACTACCTGTCTATAACAACCATCTGTATATACAAAATGTAAATAGTCTATGGCCAGACTACCTGTCTATAACAACCATCTGTATATACAAAATGTAAATAGTCCATGGTCAGACTACCTGTCTATAACAACCATCTGTATATACAAAAATGTAAATAGTCCATGGTCAGACTACCTGTCTATAACAACCATCTGTATATACAAAATGTAAATAGTCCATGGTCAGACTACCTGTCTATAACAACCATCTGTATATACAAAATGTAAATAGTCCATGGTCAGACTACCTGTCTATAACAACCATCTGTATATACAAAAATGTAAATAGTCCATGGCCAGACTACCTGTCTATAAACATCATCTGTTTACAAATAGTGCCTAGTCTGACCACCTATCTATAAAGTCTATCTGCTTATGAATAAAGACTATGTGTCATTCATATAGCCATGAAAATCAGCTTATTATAAAGGCAGCTTGTCACTTCTTAAATCTATTTAGCCTTTTTGCCTAGACTGCATTTGGCTTTTTGTTTTACATGTCATTAAATAAAGATTGGCCTGGTCCAACTTGTCTGTGTAATGTAAAGTGTGGTGATTTAAACCTCTCTACATTAGATGTATTGTAGATATATAGATCACATGTCACTGATTGCAAGGGCAATTAAAAAAATACCAAGAAATAAACTGTCTCAAAGGATAAAAATCCAAGTGAAGCTGGTTTCAACATTTGAAAGCAAGTTACTCTAAAAGTGACAAGAATTTACACAGTTCATGTAAGACATTAGAGAATGCTATTAATGTTAAGTTTAGTTTTACTGAAATTAATTCTAAAATTAATTCTATGTATGTGTTTAAAATCAATCAAAATATACTTTGATTTTGAATTTTATTGTAAATGAATTGTTACTTTTTGTACAGATTGAAAGCCGTGCATGTAGTTCAGTGAAACATGCATATATGCACCATTCCTTTCACATTTCTCAATTCTTTATCCCCATCCAGCATTTTTACTTCACTTTTATATCTCCGACCACTGCATCCTCTACTGAGGATCATCCATTGGGGGCCATATATCCAGACTTTAGGGCCAAGTAGGCTGATTTCTGTAAGATAAAGGTGAAAGTTCATTATATGTATACTCAAGGAAAAAGAAACCCACAATTCAATTATGCAGTCAATAGCCTTTGATTTTTTCAGAAATTTGTACAAAATTTTATATAAATGTGAAGGGACAAGTCTACTCTTTACAATACTGTAGAAAAGTCTGTGTGACATCACTCGTGTTGTCAGTTACTCAAAGTGGGATACCTGCGAAAACAAAATGACACTTCAGCACCTGATGTGGGCACCTCTCGCACAAATCTCTGCACGGATTCTCCTATGCATTGAATTCATGAGAACATTATTTCACTTTAAGGGACTGTTGTTCCATTCTGATGTAAATGCTGCGATCAACTGGGCGAGGTTAGTTGAGGGGTTTTGATGTTTCCTATTACACCTGTCCAGATCATCCAACAGATGCTCATTGGTTGGGGGTATATGGGGGCCATTCCAGAGGCTGAACATTGTTTGCCATGAATAAATAACGTCAGACTCTGGCAAGAAAAGTGAAAGTACATATGCCTGAAGGATCTGGTCTCTGCATCAAATGGCATTGAGGTTTGGATTCAGGACCACTAAGGGGGTTTCCTCCATGGGAGATGCTTTCTCAATCTATTACATAAGCCCCCCTGAATCTATCGCATTCAACCACGCATGCATTGGAGAAATGCTCTTCTTCTGTCTAAATGATATGGACAGAATCCAGACTTGTCGTTGAACATCACACTCCTCCACCAACGCATCCCAGTCAAGATGCACATGCCACCTCCATGGTGTCAGAGGTGGCCCAACATAAGGTCAGCGTGCAATGATTCATCTTGGCACACATGCGGCTCCTGGCAGGTTGAGCGTTAATAGGTCTGCCATGGGTATGCGATGCAGTCAAACTGCTGTGCGACAGTGGTTTTGCTATGACCATCCACCAACACTGCGAATGCTCTACCCCTCTGAATTTGCGTTAAGCGTGGCATCTCAGTCAATGGCGAAATGCCAGTGGGGAAAATTAATGTTCCTGAGATAGAGTATTCGTTGAAATTATATTTTGAAAAAATCTGGCTTGTCTTGATCACGCCACGTGATTTGGTCTAAAGAAGCTCACAAAATCAGACAATGACATCTTCATGCTTGGCTGATTTTAGGGTAGATTGTCGAGAAGGGAGATAATTCTTCATGTAATATCTGACCAAATATTTCATTATTTCCTTACAGCAAAGGTGTACTGCAGGGGGAAACTTTGTGCGTTTGTTTTCTTGTTGAGTATATATCATTGTTGAAACTTTTTATTGCTTTACAAAGACAAGACTTACAGAATCATACTTATTGAATGAGTTTGAGTATTTGAAATCAAAGTTAAGAGCAACTAGTAAAAAAAAAATATATATAAGTAAAGAGGAATAGAATGATTATCTCTTGCAAGAAAAAGTCACAAAAATAAGGTATGTTTCCTTTGTTGGCATTGTTAAAATTTTTCTTTAAGATTTAAAAAAAATGATCTATACTGGGTAAAGATTAGGGATACTGAAAATGTAGGGTTTAACATTTACACCTGTGCTAGTTTACATTTGTTGTATTGACATCTGAACTCGCCAAATATATTATGTGGGCTTTAATTTTTTGGTATATTTTGAGGGCAAAATCTGCAGATTTTGAGAAGTTGGTTTAATTGGTTAGATGTTAGATGGGTTGATCAGTTTGTTTCAAAATTAATTTACTGTCATATTGAAACAAAAACAGCGTTATTTTTGGCAGGATTTGTTCTTGTTTTAGCCAACCATCTGATATGGTGGGCTATTCAAATCACTCTGCATTTGTGGTCTGTCCGTCGTCCATCTGTCTGTAAACAATTTTTGTTATCACTATTTCTTAAGAAATACTTGATGGATCTTTTGTAAATTTCATCTGGAGGTTCCCCTTGATCCCTAGTTGTGCCAGTTTGATTTTGGGTCTGATCAGAAAAACAAAATGGCAGACAGACGGACATCTTAGATTTTGATTTTGAAAGTTTGTTATTGCTATTTCTTGAGAACTACAGCATAGATCTTTCTCAAATTTCATGTATATGCTTTCCTTGATCCCTAGTTATGCCTGTATGATTTTGGTACTGATCAGAAAAAACAACATGGCCCACAAGCACCCATCTTTGATTTTGACTTTGAAAGTTTGCTATCACTATTTCTTGAGAACTACTTTATAAATCTTTCTCAAATTTCGTATATAGGTTCCTTTAGATCCCTAGTTGTGCCTGTTTGAGTCGGGGACTGATCAGAAGAATAAATATTTGACAGGCAGCCATCTTGGGTTTTGCCATATAAAGATTGTTATTGCTATTTCTTCAAAGGAATGTTCAAATTATCATTAAGAGCAAAAACAGGAAAATATCCAACTTTCAAAGAGCATATAAAGATCAAACAGGGGGGGACGCCAAGATCATTCTGGTTAAAGCATGTATTTTAATATGTTAGACCGAGCTTTTCTTCTCTGGAAAGAGATAAATATTTGGAGGCAAGATGTAGCATTTAGATGACAAAGGTAAGGGAACTAATTATTTAGTCTTTGAAAATCTAACTGATGCATTTACATTCTGTCTAATGGTGTATATACTTCTCAACTCCATGGTAATTGCATTGATCAATTTTCTCCTTCAGGTGGTGCCAGTTCAACCAATTCAATGTTTCTGGATCAAAGACTACATGTAGATAGCAATTCTCATATACAACCTGAAGATTCATCTTCATCGATGACCCCATCAACCACTCAAAATACCACACCCATTCGGTCTTCACCTATTATGCATAACACTACCTCGACCTCATTATCAGCGACAACACCCACAACTGTACTGGCCACATCCCCAACTGAACAGGCTATGCCTACCTCTATACAAACCACACCCACATCTATACAGACCACACCTACACACACCATACCAACAGCTCAAACATCACCATCAGTGCCAAATATACCATTAACACAACCCCAGACGAATGCCAATACGGCATCGCCTGCATTACCAGTTCCTACAAACATACAGGTTACTCCCTCATCAACAAGTTGGTCAGGTGAAATGGGTTTATTCCTGGAGCCAGACTTCAGTAGTGTTGAGAAAGTGATTGAGTCTCTGGGATTGCCAGCCAATAAAGATACCATGAAAGCTATAGGCACAGCTTTTACAAGTAAGAAAAAGTCCTCTTATCTCTGATGTTGAATAATGAAGATTTCCAAATGTTTGGAAATAAATACCATGTTGCAATGTTTTAATTTTTTAAAAAGTGAACTTTTTTGTACGTTTTGTTTAACTCTGTTTCTAAGGTGATATTGAACCTCCGATGGAACGTCCAAAGGGTCTGTACACAGTGTTACTGGTGGATACCTCCAATAGTACTAGTAATCACGCTGTAAAGGCTACCATCAAATCTTTCATGGAGGACTTTATGGATGGTGAGTTTTTGATGACCAAACTTTCCAATTGAAGACCAAATGAATTTATGTTAACTGAAAGTGACTACATGTATAACTATTATATTAACATCTTGTAATCAAGGACACAACAGACATCTTAATCAGTTACTTACTGTGATTTTAAGTTGAATATGCACTAAACAAGTGCAGCTTTCCTCCAAGTTGAATAACTTGCATGTCAATTCAATTCCCCTGTTGTTAATTTCCTGTTTCTAGATTTAGGTATGGTGTTTACATGTCACAGTTAGTTTAATATTCTTTGGTTTGTTCCTAATATCATGATTTCCATGATAAATGTTGACCGCTGATGGAAAATTAACTAGACAAGCCTGTAGTGAAGCTTTATTCTTATAATCTCATTTGAAAATTAACTTGTTCGAAACTCTCCAAGCAGGAGATACCAATGACGCTGTCTTCTTGTTGGTCGAAGAAGTGGAAACTTGGTTTATTGTTTATAGTACCCGGTTAGAATTTAATTCCGAATCTCTATGTTTTAACAGAGGTTGAAGATTCAGCAGCCAATGAAACGCTAGAGGAGAATGTTGCTCTGGTAACATTTGGAATGAACACTGGTGTTCAACAAGGTTTTACAAATGACTTCTCTCTCATAAGGGATGCATTCGGTAAGCACTGGCTTTTCATTTTTCGCATTTTATAAACAAATATGAATTGTTAGATTTAAAAGAAATCGTGCTCAAGACTAACATGAGTTGCCATTTATAGTCTCTTGCACATTCATTAAAACTGATGTTGCAGATGATATGCCACATTTCTGTAGAATGGGAATCTCTCTCATCACACAGTTTCAGTATTTGTGATTGATATTTCATGTGATTTGGAAACCCTCCGTAGCTCACCTGATTTGTGCAATGTCCATTCACTGAGAGGGCACCCTTAACATGGTCCATTCCTAGTTCTTGGTCACAAGTCTCATTAACCTTATTTTCCCATTTTCCTCTCTTTGTAACAGGATCTAAAAAGTGTTTGCAATCCAAGGTGATGGTTGGAGTTGGTCTTGGTCTGTTATTGTAGGTTACCTCCCTTTCCATAGAAATGCGATGTTACCTACTATGTCACCATTATGGATAGTAAAGGTTGTTTATTGGGTTGATGGGGGTCAAGGGGAGAGAGGGGAGTGGGTGGTGGTCTGTAAGAAAGATGGGTATATAGTTTTACTCTAATTTGTGGCATTTCTTTCCTGTTTTATTCCTGATCAGTGTCTTATCCCTAATCCCAGGAACCTCTCAACAGACTTGTTTATATTTACCCTATAGTGTCATAACATTAAGTTCTACACTTAGGGTTGCGTGGGGATGGAGACTGGAGCGATTGCCCATCTTTAATGCAGTACTAACACAAATGGATCAGATCATTTTAGTTCAGCCATGATGAAAACAGAGTGAAACTGCTGAAGCCTTTACATGCATATTGTGTTTATTAATCCTTTATGACTGGCTTTTTCAGATTATCTGCCATACAGAGGAAGATCACCCTTAGCTACTGGTCTGGCTGTTTGCCTAACCTACATGGAGAAATCAAGTCAGTTCAGTTTTTCTATTAAGCTTTTTAAGCTTTTTCTGTCCTCCATCTATATACAAATCATAAATGATATCTACAGTTATGTTGTACTGCATTGAAAGTATGGCTATATATATATATATAAATATATACATATTGAATAGAGTATTTTAATTTTATCAATAATTATGAAATTATATTGAGAAGGAAAGTAAATATACTTTTGAAAACTAAACAAGAGATTTTTGTTCACACAAGTACCTGTAAGTAAATATTGCGGAGGAAATTAGATATACTGTTTAAAACTAAACAAGAGATTTTTGTTCACACAAGTACCTAGAAGTAAATATTGTAAATACAAAACTAAACAAGGGATTTTTGTTCACACAAGTACCTAGAAGTAAATACAGTCGAAACTTGCTCAAGGGAGCGTGGAATATAGTTTGACTTATCCGAAGTTCGACTCAACCAGAGTGTCCAAAATAAGGTTGACTCTTGATGTTAATTACTGATGGATGGAATAATGGTTACAACAGAACGCTACACTGTGGTACAAACAGTGGAATTCAGTCTGTTATTTGAAATGGTAGTAAATAAACAGAAAAAAATAGGTTTCTGTTTTATTGTTTATTCTTCCAAATGACAAAACATGTAACAACAATATAAACAGCATATGAACTCACCGTCCCGCACACATGTGTACACTCAAAGTGCAAATAGATTATATATTTTACGGAATGACAATAAAACAAAACTAAAATTTGCTTTATTAAGAATGAAAAGCGGCACTTTGTACTAAACATAATACGATCTGGCATCGATTTCTTCAGAAGTTGTAACAAAAATTAATTTTGAGTCAACAAAAAACATTTCTATTGATTTACAACTGAAGGGACTGAAAAATCACTCTGACTCAATAAAATTTAAGTCATCCGACCTAAAGTTACAAAGATATAAAAGGGAAAAAATCAGGACTTGAAAATTATTTTGACCCCAAGCATAATTTCGACTTGAGCAATTTCGAGACAAGTTTCAACTGTATTGAGAAGGAAATAAATTATACTGTTTAAAACTTAACAAGCGATTTGTATCGACACATGTACCTATATGTAAATCTCTACATATAGTAAGGAGAATATTTCTCTGTGTAAGAAGCTGTTCCTTATAGAGTTTTTGGACTAAAACAAGGCATTTTATGAGGCTATTGTAAACACCTGTTTTCACTTTTTGTGTTATTCAGGTAAACAGTTACAACAGAATGGCATGGAAATCTATCCTCGACTGATCATTCTGACAGACGGCTTTGCAACAGAAGATGTGTCATTTGGTGATGATAATGACCAACCCGATCCAACTGCTGTTAATGTATGTATTGATCCCAGGAAATAACAAACAATAACCCCCATGCCTTGTTATAAACCCATCTATTAATTCCAGATAACAACAATAAGTGTTACCGTAGTTAAGTAGCAATAACCCCATGCCTTGTTAATAATAACAACAACAATAAAGTGTTACCATAGTTAACTAGCAGTAACCCCATGCCTTGTTAATAATAACAACAACAATAAAGTGTTACCATAGTTAACTAGCAGTAACCCCATGCCTTGTTATAAACCATCCACATCTACCTCATGTGTACAATATTAACATAACTCACATTTCTATTATATCATAATTTTCAATTCATTATGTGTACAGTTATTTTGAATTTTAATAATCTTTGCACCCTTGAACATTTTGATTTTTCCTGATGCAGCCTTAACAGGGGAAACCAGGCAACAATGAAAAACTCGCGGAAAGTGCAAAGTCTTGTAATCAGCTTGTTTACGATATTACTCCTACTAAGATTCCGATCTCCTCTCATACATCTCCCTGCATAACGTGAGGTACTCACACAAACGATAACCTTCAATATCAACATGTATTTCCCTGTTAGACTTTCTGATAGCATTGACTCTGCCTTCTTCTGCTTGATGATATTGACTGGTAATATAAGTCAGAAAAATAATTCTTTAAAACCACACAATATTCTGTACAACATCCTGACAGTATTACCTGCAAGATCTGAAAGTGTCAAAAACTAACCTACCATCAGTATTCAAAACATTGCCTGTAGCACTGATTTGAACATTTTTCATGACACCTTTTATTATCTACTTCTGTACAATGATTTATTGTTCTTTGGTATTGTTTTGTAGGTGAAAGCCCGTGTGGTACAGATAGTGCGAACCTTCCATGCAAGAAAATATCCTGTGTCTTGTGGATCCGTTAATCAACAAAACAATGATGATGTAAGATGATCGTTCCCTCCGGAGTGAAATTGCTTCCTAAATCAAATCATAAAACCCTATTATATCCAGCCATTTTGTCACTGCCTTAATTTGAATTCGTATTAAATGTCTCTCCTGATTCTAAAATGAGGAGAAAAATAACCTTGCCAATAAGATTTACGGTGATCACTGAGGATTTCTTTCCCTTATTTGAATCTTGTGTTTACAGGAAACTTAGATTTTCAGGACAGTTGACTAAGTATAGCTGTGTAACATGTGTGAAAGAAGAAATATCAATTCATTTTACAAACACTTTCCTTTTTACAAATATCTACAAGTATTCTCATAACGCAAAGGTATATATCTAATACTATCAGAAAGTTTTAAGTTTGAAAGACATTCCAAACTTAACTAAAAAAAAACACTTTATCAAACATCTTTCACCTCCTTGTTTTCTTTAATTATGCAGTAATGAGGGATTATCAGCTTAAATTTCCATTTATAGAAACTTTCCTTACTTAAATCTGATACAGTTGAAGATGATAATGCTGAGACCTTAGAACAGCACCAATGTTTAAACTGTAAAGTCTGATACAGTTGAAGATGATAATGCTGGGACCTTAGAACAGCACCAATGTTTAAACCGTAGTTTGATATTTGCTACCATGTTTTATTGTTTGTCTCAGTATCATGTCTGAAAACACATTCATTTCAAAAGAGCTGCTGATTGTGACAGCTGCTATTATTCGTAGCTAGTGATCTGAAGTCCTCCATTCTGCCAAAGCAGGATTCGACATTTTGTAGTTATGTGAAGTACAGTTTATATTTACTTAGTCCTTTCATTTCAAGATTGCATTTGATAGTTTGCACTACCAGAAATTGAGAAATTTGATTTGATTGTGGCATTGATGAAACCTTACAGTTCAAGTATTAACCCTTTCGGCGCCAATTATCTCTACAATGTACAGCTCAGGGCCAAATATTTTCTGGAAAATATCCGAAAATGTCAGAAAAATTGTCAACCAAAGTTGCCTAAGGCGGCCTGTCTGCATGTCAACCAAAGTCGCCTATGGTGCCAAAAGGGTTAATATAATTTACTAAGCCATGCCTTCATCGAAAGCAGTGTCCTTATGTCTACCAGTTGTTGTGCAAGATATTGCCCTTCACTATTATATGGCAGGAATAGTATATACTCGACAATAAGCCCATGCTTGGTTATAAGCCTTAATTTTCATTGCTCTTTGGAAGAACTCAATTTTTTTTTGTTTTTTTTTTCATGATGACGATTTAATCCTTGACTCTGAGTCCGAATTAATATGTTGACCTCTCCAGGCTTATTGAAGGATAAATATGATGATCCATCATATACAAGGCTCCCATTTTACCCTTGTTAGAAGTGAAGTGCCTAAGAACCATCAATCTTTCGTGCATAATTAAGGAGTTATTGTCCTTTGTTATTTTTCATACTTAAATTTTGTCAGGAGCATTACACTAAATCTATGAGAGGTATCAACGTGAAACTTAGATAGGTCTCAACGAGTAGGAGGACAGTGCATAAGAATCATATCTTTCAAATTGCCCTTTAATATTTTTCATGCTTAAATTTTGTCCCAATTGGGGAGCATAACCCGTCTCTGACGACCCTTGTATTCATGGCAAATATAGGTTTATGAAAGTACAAATCATAGGCTTATTTCATGATCAACTTATTTCTGAAGTTGGCTTATTTTCATGTTTTTATTTTCTTTCTTATTTTGACAATTTGCAGGGTATGATTGATGATATTGCGGCAATCGGAGGAGGCACAAAGATTGAACTGTTCCAGCAACCATATGGGAAAGATCAAGCAAAGATTCTGGGGCGATATTACTTCTATAAAGTATGGCATTACACAGATATTACTAGCTGAATTGAACTGAAAGAATATTAGTCTTATTAACACAAAAGTATAAAATAATGTTAACAAAGTTAAGTCTCCTTGTAGATATCAGGTATAGCAGTTCTAAATTTGTAACAAGTATTATTTATATTTTTTCAGTCCACTGTTATGGTTGACTGCTCAAGTCACCCTGCTTCCATGGGCTATATCCATCCATTCGTGGTTCGACGTCAGTTCTGAAAAATTCTTGTGACTGTAAACCAACTTATTTGTAAATCTAAATATTAACCGTTTTCCTTTCTACACATTGCGTGCAATCAGCCATTATCGATCTGGAAGTTGGCAACTTACACTAAAATTGAACAGACAGAACTGGAAACTGGTCCTAAATATTCATATATATGACTGTAAATTGCTGCAGTCAAATTGTCACGATAAGTCTTTAAACTTGGAAAATATGCAATTATGTTGCTGCAATAAGTTGGTTTTCAGTATTGCTTTCTCTTGTGAAATAGTAGATGAATTTTTCTCAGATTTTATTAAATTTTGTTGGATCCCTGTAGTCCCTAGTTTCACCATTATTGACTTTCTGACTGAACAAAAAATTCATCTCACAGCCATCTTAGACTTACCTCTCACATTTTGTTAAGTGCCTAATGAATCTCCATATATAGGCTGTCTTACTCCCTTGTGGTGTCCTTTGGACTTTTAGATAGAAAAACAAAATGGCTGACAGGTGATGTTGGTATGGACAGTTAAAAGATTGTTATCTCTAATGTTCAAATTTTATATAATTCAGAAGAAAAACAGAGGAAGTAAGAAAAAATAAGGGAAAAGTTCAAATTAAGAGCAAAAAGGTCATGGGTGCCAAGATCCTTCAGGGAACTCTTGTTAGCAAAAAGTGTAACAATTTTTTTTTTCAAATATGAAATTAATAGATTCTTTTGGTGGTATTTTTTATTTACAGTTTTTTTTATTGTTTTGTTTTGTCTTCATTATGTCTCAAAATATTGATCACCTTGTTCTGGCAAGAAAAATTGAAGTCTTTCATGTTTCCTTAACAGACAATTGTGGCCCAGGTGAAACTTGAATTTGAAGAAAGTGGAGGTAGAAGGGATGCCAGTAAAATCCTGAATGATGCAACCATGAACAAGATTCTCAATCAAGGAGACAAGGTAGGATGAAGGGGCTTAGTCATTCTTAACGAGGCTCTCAATCAAACATGGGTGTTTAGTCATCCTTAACTGTGATCTCATGCAGACCAAGGAGCTAGTCATTTAACTAGGCTCTTACTCAGACATAATAGCTTAGTCACACTTAACTATGATCTCAATCATAGGGGCTTAGTCACACTTAACTATGATCTCAATCATAGGAGTTAAGGTACACTTAACTGTGATCTCAGTCATAGGGGCTAAGTTACACATAACTATGATCTCAATCATAGGGGCTTAGTTACACTTAACTATGATCTCAATCATAGGGGCTAAGTTACACTTAACTATGATCTCAATCATAGGGGCTTAGTCACACTTAACTATGATCTCAATCATAGGAGTTAAGTTACACTTAACTGTGATCTCAGTCATAGGGGCTAAGTTACACATAACTATGATCTCAATCATAGGGGCTTAGTTACACTTAACTATGATCTCAATCATAGGGGCTAAGTTACACTTAACTATGATCTCAATCATAGGGGCTTAGTCACACTTAACTATGATCTCACTCAGACATAACAGCTTAGTCACAATTATCAATTGAAAATAGGGACTCTGTTTCACTCCATTAGGCTCTTAATCAAACATAGGTGGTTAGTACCTAAGTAGGCTCTCATTCAAACATAAGGGCTCAGTCTCACTTAAGTAGGCTCTCAATCAGATATAGGGAAACAGTCTCACTTAAGTAGGCTCTCAATCAGATACAGGGAATCAGTCTCACTTAAGTAGGCTCTCAATCAGATGTAAGGACTCAGTCTCACTTAAGTAGGCTCTCAATCAGATATAGGGAATCAGTCTCACTTAAGTAGGCTCTCAATCAGATATAGGGAAACAGTCTCACTTAAGTAGGCTCTCAATCAGATATAGGGAATCAGTCTCACTTAAGTAGGCTCTCAATCAGATATAGGGAATCAGTCTCACTTATGTAGGCTCTCAATCAGATATAGGGAAACAGTCTCACTTAAGTAGGCTCTCAATCAGATATAGGTAGGCTCTCAATCAGATATAGGGAATCAGTCTCACTTAAGTAGGCTCTCAATCAGATATAGGGAATCAGTCTCACTTAAGTAGGCTCTCAATCAGATATAGGGAATCAGTCTCTCAATCAGATATAAAACAGTACTTAAGCTCTCAATCAGATACAGGGAATCAGTCTCACTTAACTAGGCTCTCAATCAGGTATAGGGAAACAGTCTCACTTAAGTAGTCTCTCAATCAGATATAGGGAATCAGTCTCACTTAAGTAGGCTCTCAATCAGATGTACTTAAGGAATCAGATCTCACTTAATATAGGGAATCAGTCTAAAGTAGGCTCTCAATCAGATATAGGGAAACAGTCTCACTTAAGTATGCTCTCAATCAGATATAGGGAAACAGTCTCACTTAAGTAGGCTCTCAATCAGATATAGGGAAACAGTCTCACTTAAGTAGGCTCTCAATCAGATATAGGGAATCAGTCTCACTTAAGTAGGCTCTCAATCAGATATAGGGAATCAGTCTCACTTAACTAGGCTCTCAATCAGATATAGGGAAACAGTCTCACTTAAGTAGGCTCTCAATCAGATATAGGGAAACAGTCTCACTTAAGTAGGCTCTCAATCAGATATAGGGAAACAGTCTCACTTAACTAAGCTCTCAATCAGATATAGGGAATCAGTCTCACTTAAGTAGGCTCTCAATCAGATATAGGGAAACAGTCTCACTTAACTAAGCTCTCAATCAGATATAGGGAAACAGTCTCACTTAAGTAGGCTCTCAATTAGATATAGGGAAACAGTCTGACTTAAATAGGCTCTCATTCAGAAAAACAATGTGGGTAAAGGGGCTTATTCATAATCAAATATGATCTCGCACAGAAATTTTAGTCAGGAATATGGTGGTTTGTCATACTTTGAAATGCTACTTGGAGGTCATATTGGAAATAGATGCTCAATGATATTTTAATCAAAACGTCTATTTCAATATGTTTTACCATATATCAGTGCTAACTCATCGATGCGTGAATGTTACCTTAAGATGGGTTTTTTGTTACCTTGACAACAGGACGAACTGATTAACATGCTGCGAACACACGGCATTGAAGCAAAATTTAATGACCCGCTACCAGGTATAAAAAATTCAGATGAATCGGACAATGAAATGTTAAAGAGTTATACATTTCAAGAATTGGCACACATGCCAACAATTGGTAGCCGTGTAAAGAAAGGACCACAGTGGCGACATGGCACCTCTGATCCAGGCGGACTAGGAACAGTGGTGGCACACGCCAGTGAAGGTATAATGTCCCTAATCTCATTTAACCTTTTACACTTAACTAGTGGATGTAAACAAAATTATCGTGATATTGTAGTTACGTGAAAAATAAAAATCACATCAGATGTAAATTTTGTAATAGATTTGGTGGAATTTACAACCCTATAAACTGCCACACATTGCTTAATATATGTACTCTCTCAGATACCACCCTTCTATTCATTGTAACTGAACCTATTTATATCTGTTGATGCATCACAGAGAAATTTAAACAGTCCATAACTGATCTCGAGAAGGTGGTAAAGATTGAAAACATGTCAGTGTTAACCTTGTCAGTCTGATTTCGTACTGTTTTTGAGATGGAATGAAGATTGGTTTTTGTTTTGTTTTTGTGTTGTAGATATCGTGTTGGAGTTTTCTGATATGCTGTAGAGTGTATTAAATTTCTGTGTTCTTTAGATATTGTGGTAGTGTTTTGAAGATAAACTGTAGATTTTGTTAAATTCTCTTTTTCTGTAGGTGTTGTTGTGGTCAAGTGGGATAGGGGCACGGTTGACCGTTATCAATATCGATCAGACTTCCAGGAGGTGACATTTCCAGGTGGTCCTAGCCAGCCACGCCAGATGCAGTCAGGGGAGAACATAAACGTTGGATGCTGGGTAAAGCGAGGTATGTTATATAAGAAATTGTAACAGGGGTAACAGTGAGAGAAAAGCTTTAGGTAGCAACCACCTGAATTAAGTGACTTCCTGTCATATTTGATCCCATTGTAATTTACTATACAAATGACCTCAGTTAAGTAACTACATGTCTTACATGACTGGCAACCATCATTTCTGTATCACAAAAAATCAAAAGGGAACTTTTTTAGTGATTTTATGAAAGTTACTTGATTTCCATTAACCTTGGTATAATTTTGCCGCATGAAATGCTATGATGATTGGGTGACAGTCAATCTAACTGGATTTTCGACAGAATAACGGTATTTGTATGGTTATTAAGACAAATCACTTGCTGAAAAGGAGAGTTCTTATCTAGTATACCACAGCATTTACATATGTATCGTAATCGTGGAATAGAAACTGGTCATTTAAAAATCTGTAGGCAGTGTACACTTACCCAGGGTATATTAATTTTTTCAGTATGTTGTAATAGTGTTAGAGCCTTATTGTGAGTCTTACTTATGTAATTGCGCTGAAGTTTTTGTTGTACAATGAATGGCACATGTAGGTAACTTGATCTCTATTGTTACTGACGGAGAGAGGTGAAATTAACATGTACTGTACCTGAAACAGACCTAGGTAGATTGGTTGCTTCCGAGCCCCTAGGGTAATAATTACGGGATTATTAATGTCACAAGGAACAGTCCTATTACCAAATACAGACACTTGAGGTTATTACTTATGGAATCAATTCTGGACAAAGAAATACCATAATAAGCTATATTTCTTTTTTGATTTCATCAAATATTTCAGCCATGATACAGGAATTTCATTTGCATGTTTTTTGTGGATGTTTTTCTTTGAACCTGTATCAAGAGACCACCTGTCTGTCAAATGTGACCTTATTTATTGCATCATTTCAAAGGTCACATTACATAGGATCCTGTAATAAATCTGCCCTTAATTTGGGGCAGTCATCCTGTGATGAAGTTAACCCTATTACTTTGGGTCAGTCATCCTGTAATAAATTTAACCCCATTACTTTGGGTCAGTCATCCTGTGATGAAGTTAACCCTATGAATTTGGGGCAGTCATCCTATGATGAAGTTAACCCTATTACTTTGGGTTAGTCATCCTGTAATAAATTTAACCCCATTACTTTGGGTCAGTCATCCTGTGATGAAGTTAACCCTATGAATTTGGGGCAGTCATCCTATGATGAAGTTAACCCTATTACTTTGGGTTAGTCATCCTGTAATAAATTTAACCCCATTACTTTGGGTCATTGATCCTGTAATAAATTCAACCCATTACTTTTGGGCAGTCATCCTGTAATGAAGTAAACCCCATTACTTTGGGGCAGTCATCCTGTAATAAATTTAACCCAATTACTTTGGGTCAGTGATCCTGTAATAAATTTAACTCCATTACTTTGGGGCAGTCATCCTATGATTTTAATTATCTACCCAACTAAACAAAGTTTGGGAATTACTAAGGAAAATAACAAAAGACACTAATACAACTCTTTGTTTTTATTTTATGAAAGGACCTCACTGGAGTAAAGGTGATGAGGATGGTCAAGCTTCCCATGGAGTGGTCATTAGGCGCCACAGAAATATGTCTGTCACAGTGAGTTCATATGTTGTTAAACATCATTCAGATTTAGTGGAAAGTAAGTGTCATGCTGATGATAATGTGTATATGAGTAAGTAATATTTTTATTGGAATGAAGGTGTCTTCTCCATTTGGATAGTAAAGACAGGCATATTTAAATATTTGTTTTCATGTTATTATAAACACCATGAGGAAAACAATGAGGCTTTTGACTTCCTTCTTGGATTGTTATATGTCTGATGTTGTCTATTTTGTACTTATTGAATTGTCGATATAAAATTTCTGATTACATTTTTAGTTTTTGGTGGATGTCCTTCGTGAAAAATGAAGCATTATTCAGATTCCGAAATCAGTTCAAATGTCACTGTGAGAAAAGGTGTGATATAATGTGTTGACAGGTGTGACGTGCCGTCTAACCCCTGTAAACCATTTTTCCTTCACGGTTTCTCATTATCATGATTTCACAATACAACAAATTTACATCAATTTACTTTTGCAACTTCTGAACCACAATTATAAATTTGGAAATGTATTGTCTTCATTAAAACTCTGTAGTGAGCCCTATTTCTGGTCACTTTTTTGGCAACAACAGGTAAGCTTCCCATTCTATCATTAACAGGGAAATGTTGTACATTACCCTAATGAATAAACGGCCTGTTAAACTTCCAACATCAGTTGATGTCTCATGCCTTCATTTCAGTAGCAATTTGAAGGAAGGTAATTACAGTTAGTCAAAGGCTTGAATGGCTTCATGTGCAGATCGTTGAATTCAAACAAGGCAGCATTCTCCACTTTATCAAACTCAAATCCTGAGAATCCATCAGAAGAAAATAACAGGACTAGTGTATCCCCTCAATTAGATATTGATATTTTTTACGATCAATTTTTGTTTACCTTAGTAGCCTCCTAGGTTTCAAACTTCAGGCCCCTAACATCACTAATAAGTCATAGAAGGACAAAAAAGCTGTATGATGCAGTTTCATTCATTATTTGGCTGTACTGTATGTAAATCTGCACTTAATGTGCTATTCATTTGTGTGTCTTTTGTACATGTATTCCTTGAAGTTGTTTGGTAGAAGGCACTGCTGGTGGACTTTGAAGTCCTAAAGGTTTACCTTGCCCTGCATGCTTCCATTTCAATTTACATGAATAGTGGCCCAGTTTAGAATATACAGAACTGATGTACTTCTTTCTTGACGTATCAGATACTTGAAAATTGTGAAAATCTGTTGTTTCCTACGTTCTAAATTTAGGTCCTTAGCATCAGTTACAAGTCCTAGAAGGACAAAACAGCTGTATGATTTAGTTTGATTCAGTATGTTCCTTTACTTTTTTTTTTGTTCTAAATTTCACTTATGTGTCTTTAGTCCACTACTCAAAGAATCGATTGTTTCAGACAACAAAATTAATGGCAGAAGAAAACGCATGTGTATCTGTATGTACTGTATACATAGGTTCATGCTTAAGGTGAATGGACATTTATCATAAGTCTGCAATGTCTGACGACAGAAATCAGTGTTTGTTATTTGTGATGCTAAATTTTCACAATTTTGAGTTTATTGTGAAAATTGAAAAAGTGAATTGCATGTGAAAGAAAGTTGATGTACAGTATGTTGAATGCCACTAGGCAGTTTTTATGCTCCTGTCATACATGGCCGAGGGCATGTAGTGTTGAATCTTTCCTTAATTCTGTCATTTCATCATTCTGTCAATTTCCTTTTACTTTGTCTTCGCAACTCCTCCTAAACCCTTTGGAGGATTGTAATCAAACTTGGTTCAAAGTAAACTCACGATGTGTAGATGTAAGAGGCCATTCAAATATTTTATTATATGAGTTATGGCCCTTGGACTCAGATTTTTCTATGCAAAATACCTTGTCTTCGTAACTCCTCCTAAACCTTTAGGAGGATTTTAATGAAACTTGGTACATAGTACCACATTGTGTAGAATGTCGTCAGTCTTTCAACAAATTATTGAACATTTTAAAAACATTTGGTATTCTCAACATATTCATCAAGCGAAATAGATCAAGTAAATGTATGTATATCTGCTAACTATTACACTGACCACTATGCAGTTGTGGTTAAAGTTTAATTTGAGGTAAAAATATCATTCTTTTGTATGTAGATTAAATGTAATGTCCGTTTAGAAATAAATATTTGAAAAGCTTTGCTGCCAGCAGTGGCATTAGTGGCACATCTACGGTAGTTAAAATAATTTTTTATTGCCAATGCCATTTTGTTGATTGATGCGGGAGGGAAGCATAAATTAATCTATCTTTAGGAACTGTCTGATTTTTACATCATGCCCTTCCAGTTCTGTCATGCCCCAAATCAATATTGTCACTCTTATGACTTAATTTCTGTGGGGATTTTAATCATGCGTTATACAAAGGTCATCTATTACAATATCTAGAATGCATTTATATTCATAGGCTCTAAAGTCACTCCGATGTTTGCAGTTATTACAGCATGTCATTAAATTTTTCGTTGCTCTCTTCTGGTTTGAATTAAATAATGTTACATGATAGAGGTGGTAAAATTTCATCCTATGTGTATGAAATAATGGTAACTAAATGCAAACAGATTTCAATTTCAATTTTAATAAATTTGGAGACAAAGTTGAAACAATCGAGTCCCTAGATTTGCTAGACTCATTCTTAAAATTCAAGATTGCCACAATCTTTTAAATCTAATATATCATTTCCAGAGATTTTGTTGACCTCATGTAGTTCAAACATAAAAGCAAATAATGATTATTAACTAACGTAATGATAAAAATATAGTGTGTATAATCAGAATCCCAATATCTAAGGTGGCAGACAAGGCCCTTGATTTACTACAAGCTTTCGGGTATCAAGAATTATTTCTATTGTAATTTCATTGTCAGGTCACTGTTCTTGAAAAGTAGCTGAGATTGTGTAAACCATTGTGATTTACAGGTGAAGTGGCCAATCGGCATTGTGGAGAGATATAAGTGTGGACAGGATGGTGTTATAGAGGTGGAAGTTGTGTAAGTATTGTCTTGATAATAATCTGTATTTGGATTACACCTGTGAAATTTCAATATGAAATATGAATTGTTGTACATTTTACTTGTTAAAAGGATATTCAGATTAACCTTAAAATTCTCCAAAACCATGAAGATTTGCATGTGAACACTGATATGATATTCTTTTTGCTCTTTCCTGTGATTTTTAAGAGTAAATTTTGTATAGATTATTCCTGTATCTATTTGGTAGTGGATTCATATCTGGTAATTAACCCACCCATATCTATTAAAATCATAGTTAATTGTGACTTTTATTTTTTGATTTGATTGATGTCTTACTGTTACTTAACAACAATTCTGTGAGTTTGATGGCATTTCTTCGATTATCGTACAGATAATTAAGATGTTTTCACAGTTTGTCTTCAACAGAGGTTTACTGTACTTATTTCCTCTTGCAGAAGCCATGTTCCTGCGTCAGAATTACAAACTCAGTCCTACGATCAACAATTACCTGTCTCCGAGAGTGGGACTGCAGCTGCATCAGGTACATCACAAACAGCCAAGGTCATAAGACATTAGTGTCTCCTAGTAATGGTGTAGCTGAACCCACCTAAGTCACATGACATTGACTTCTTTAAGAAGTTGAGTGTCTGTGTATGATAGGGGTATAACAATATTTGTTTTAAAGTCTGTCACTCATATGCAGTAAATAAAATCATGAAATGTAGTTAGTGAATTCAAATATAGTAGATGATATTGTATAAACTGATATTGGTTGTGATATTGTTTCTAGCGATGAGAGAGGGTGGTTTGGTGTCCTGCTGGCAGTTCAAGGATGGACTCGACCAGTGGCGAACTTTGACTCTGGAAGAGAGTGCCAAGGTGGACAATCATCGCGATAACAGCAAACCAGGATTGATCACAATCACTCACAAAGGAACACAGTCAGTATTAAAGGCTATCAGACTATGTATGAGGCAGGGGCTATAGTGAAGAGTGGGGAAATTTTGTAGCTTCTGTTGCATGTAGTTTCATGTTTAAATTGAAGTATTTGGTTAATTTCATTATCAGATGGTAGGCTGTTCATATATGTTCCCCTTGGTCTCTTGTTGTGCCTGTTTGATTTTAAAACTGATCAGAGAACCAATATGGGTAACAGGTGGCCATTTTGAATTTCAAATTAAAAGATTTTACCTTTGTCACGTGTTGTTGGCAGTGTAAGTGTATTTGTTGGCAATGTCACATGCTGTTGCTACTGTCACATTTATTGTGGACAATGTCACATGCTGTTGGTACTGTCACATTTATTGTGGACAATGTCACATGCTGTTGGTACTGTCACATTTATTGTGGACAATGTCACATGCTGTTGGTACTGTCACATTTATTGTGGACAATGTCACATGCTGTTGGTATTGTCACATTTATTGTGGACAGAGTCACATGCTGTTGGTACTGTCACATTTATTGTGGACAATGTCACATGCTGTTGGTACTGTCACATTTATTGTGGACAATGTCACATGCTGTTGGTACTGTCACATTTATTGTGGACAATGTCACATGCTGTTGGTACTGTCACATTTATTGTGGACAATGTCACATGCTGTTGGTACTGTCACATTTATTGTGGACAGCGTCACATGCTGTTGGTACTGTCACATTTATTGTGGACAATTTCACATGCTGTTGGTACTGTCACATTTATTGTGGACAATGTCACATGCTGTTGGTATTGTCACATTTATTGTGGACAATGTCACATGCTGTTGGTATTGTCACATTTATTGTGGACAGCGTCACATGCTGTTGGTACTGTCACATTTATTGTGGACAATGCCACATGCTGTTGGTACTGACACATTTATTGTGGACAGTGTCACATGCTGTTGGTACTGTCACATTTATTGTGGACAGCGTCACATGCTGTTGGTATTGTCACATTTATTGTGGACAATGTCACATGCTGTTGGTACTGTCACATTTATTGTGGACAATGTCACATGCTGTTGGTACTGTCACATTTATTGTGGACAATGTCACATGCTGTTGGTACTGTCACATTTATTATGGACAGCGTCACATCCTGTTGGTACTGTCACATTTATTGTGGACAATGTCACATGCTGTTTGCAATGTCACATGTGTTGTTGACAATGCCACATGTGTTGTTGACAATGCCACATGTGTTGTTGACAATGCTACATGTGTTGTTGACAATGCCACATGTGTTGTTGACAATGCCACATGTGTTGTTGACAATGTCACATGTGTTGTTGATAATGCCACATGTGTTGTTGACAATGTCACATGTGTTGTTGATAATGTCTCTTGTGTTGTTTGTAGTGTTACATGTGTGTATGACAATGTTACATTTATTTTTGACAATGGCATACTGAGTAATGATTTCAGCTTAATCTATAGTCATACTATATAACTCATTCAATATATGTGAACATTGCTGATGTCAAAAATTTGTCTTGTATGACCCTTCTGTATTTCAGACACAAACAGTGCTATAAATATGTTATACTTACCCATATTTAAGAGCATATATATAAAAAATGAAGTTGTGTGGTTACTTTGACTTTATCCCACTCAGGTATCATTTTGAGCTTCGCAACATGAGGTACAGAGAGCAAGGAGGGCAGACTCATGGACCGATACAGCAGACGTGTTAGTAGTATTTAATGTATTCGTAACCTTTCAACTTTGAGCTGAGTGTAGTACTGTAATAAATCTTTAACCTTTCAACTTTAACCTTTGTTATATCACATCACCAAGTGACTCTTCAAATTCTGAATAAATTAAAATATTGTTATATGTGTATGCAAAAAATGGATTTAAAATACCTTTATAATGAGTCTTTATGTAGTATTGCAGACAAAATTTTAAGTAGAATGATGAAATTGAATGAATTAGATGAAATAAGTGATACATATGTGTATGTGTGTTTGGGGCTAGGCTAGTGGGGGAAGGCACAGATCAGGAGCATAACATTAGTAAGATCTTAAAGGGTTTTGTAAGTGTGTGACATGTAATGTTAGGTTGATATTTCAAAGTTTAATTCTGAAGAAATATTTTTGTGATTTATAGTTGTAACTCAAGAAGATTACCAGACCAGAATGATGATAGAAGACATTGGGGCTATGTAACAAGAAAATGATGTTGATGGATATACCAGGTAGGTAAAAACCGAGGGCCTAGTTACTTCTTATAGCATGTACAAGATATATATACCACATTTTCTGGATTATAAGCCGCATCTTATTTCCTTGTGAGTCGGGCATGTAGCTTATATACTAGTGTGGCTTATACGTGGACTAAAACAGATCACCAGGATGAAAATAAAATTATAAAAAAGGAAGCGTACCAGTACACCAGTATGAGACACTACTGAGGTTTTTAACGAGAGTTTGTCCCTCACGTGTTTGTGATTGAAACAGATCTTCGTGAAACGCCATTTGCAATCGTATACAAGATGATTTGAAAATTGAAATAAAAACAACATTCTCAGTGATTTAATTAATCATACCTTTTATAAATTACGAGGATATCTTCTTGACTTATAACCAGGAAAATACGAAATGATGCACTTTACTCCAAATTTTGATAAAAAAAGATATGAAACAGAGGCTGTCATCTTATTAGTTACTAAATGCTTTTCATATCTTCATCAATATAAAGTAAGAAATATCAGTCACAACAGTATCAGAGTAATTCATTAAGTACAGTCTACTGGTTTTGCCCTCTTTGGGCTTCATCAGGTCCTCCATCAATATGATATATACTTTTATGACAAACCTCAAAATGTATCATACTGCTTGTTCAAATTTGCTATGGAAAACTATAATGTCTGTAAGGAATGACATGGAGAAAATGGGTTTTCTTCAATAATTGCTGAAAAAAAACCCAAAACATCACCATCATTTCCCCCTACAGTATATACAGTATACCTATACATCTGTGACACCATCATTTGCCCCCCTCCCCCTACAGTATATACAGTATACCTACACATCTGTGACACCATCATTTCCCCCCTACAGTATATACAGTATACCTACACATCTGTGACACCATCATTCCCCCCATCCTACAGTATATACAGTATACCTACACATCTGTGACACCATCATTCCCCCCCCCCTACAGTATATACAGTATACCTACACATCTGTGACACCATCATTCCCCCCATCCTACAGTATATACAGTATACCTACATATCTGTGGCACCATCATTTCCCCCCCCCCTACAGTATATACAGTATACCTACACATCTGTGGCACCATCATTCCCCCCCCACAGTATATACAGTATACCTACACATCTGTGACACCATATATACAGTATACCTACACATCCACCATCATTCCCCCCTACAGTATATACAGTATACCTACACATCTGTGACACCATCATTTCCCCCCTACAGTATATACAGTATACCTACACATCTGTGGCACCATCATTTCCCCCCCTACAGTATATACAGTATACCTACACATCTGTGACACCATCATTCCCCCCTACAGTATTTACAGTATACCTACACATCTGTGACACCATCATTTCCCCCCTACAGTATATACAGTATACCTACACATCTGTGACACCATCATTCCCCCCTACAGTATATACAGTATACCTACACATCTGTGACACCATCATTCCCCCCTACAGTATATACAGTATACCTACACATCTGTGACACCATCATTTCCCCCCTACAGTATATACAGTATACCTACACATCTGTGACACCATCATTCCCCCCATCCTACAGTATATACAGTATACCTATACATCTGTGACACCATCATTTCCCCTCTTCCCCTACAGTATATACAGTATACCTACACATCTGTGACACCATCATTCCCCCCCTACAGTATTTACAGTATACCATTTCCCCCTTCAGTGTATTTGAAAGTAATGGAACCATTCTGTGTTGCAGTGATTGGGATGAAGATTCTGAGAGAGATATCTAAAGTAGCTAGTTTGAGAATAGACACCTTGCTACAGTGAAAAATCTGCAGTGCCACTCATACAGATATGTTCCTCTGCAGTACACATCAAGACAGAATTCTGGATTAGTCCATGCAATGTGAAGAAGATTAAAACAAATAAGGTGTATCTTTATGACCTGCAGGAGAGTTCGTATCAGTAACACATGAACAAGTAACTTACAAATTGATGTCTGAGTGATGGTATTAAAATTCAGTATTATTTGAATTTAAATCTTTTAATCCTAATTTTGTTTTATTTGTGTTATACCTACCTAAGTAAGTAAAGCAGTATTCCTGAGCTTTAACAGAAGTTAGAGGAGTTTGCTGATGTGATGTTTTTACTTTGGTATGGTACAGAATTTTGGTATTAGTTTTTGGTTAATTATCTTGACATAGGTATTTGTTTCTAACTCCACTGATCATAACTGACTAATGATGAATTGTGAAATTCATGAACTATGTGAAAGGAGAAAGTGAAGGTAAAATTTTAAGAAAATTGTAAATGATCAACCCTGGTATGCATATTCTGTAATAAGTCGAGGGGGACGCCTCTTTACCTCAGATTCATACTCTGAGGGAGGGCTCCTACACTCAGTGAATCATGTAAGTTTGGCTTCTGCCAAAAATTAACAGGGTCACCGCAGTAAATTCAGCTCAGTCTGTTATAGGGCCGGAGTGATTGAATCTAGTAGCAGTTGATCCAGTTGATGTGACAGTATAAAGTCGTACACTAATATCATGACATCATTAATTGTGAGTCAGGTGTTATAAAGTTGAATTATACATTTATCCAATATTAATGTTGTATATGCCTAATATATTGATTTTGATAGTCATCAGTCAAGGTTAAAGTCTTACTTGTTAAAACTGATTGAGAAACGGTCAGATTAATTATGAAAGTATGGCTGACAGATTGGCCTAAAACACGAATGGTATGTATACGCCTCCAGCAATAATATGGTTGAAGTATTACCAGTATATTGAGTAAATTGATATGAATGCAGTAATAGTGAAAAAGTTTGAAGAGAATATTAAGTGACTGAGGGATGTTTATAACAGAGTAATATGGTGAATTAATACATCACTCTTGTGTGATGTAGACAGAAAACTTTTAACATTTGGGATAAGATGTTTGAAGATCAGTACAACGTTTGATAGAGAGCTGATCCTCTAAAATCTTATTCCATTGTGTGCCTTACTGCATATAGGGCTTAAACTGCTTACATGCTGTTGACATTCATGTACATATGAATGCCAACAGCATAAGGGCAAGTTCAATGAAGCATATTATGTCTTTAACTATTTGGCATTTACAATGCACATGAATACTAAAACCAGTTCAACACTTGTATTGCATTGATCTTACGCTGTTGGCAGTTTATGAGTTGGTAATACAAATATATTTGATAAGGTTAAGCTGTAGCAATGACATCTAATTGTGTAGTGTTTAATTTTGATCATCTTTCTGTGAAGTGGTGATGTTTCAAGAAAAAAAAAGATATGACCTGTCTTTAATGCAGTGAAATATAGTAGAATTTATAGAATATGTTTCTCCTTGGTGATGTGGACACAGAAACACAAGATTGGTAATGATGAGTGTAAATTTTCTTAAAATATATTCTTAGATATTAAACATCCTCAGTCTTTCATTGTACAAGGTTGATTATAGTTTCCCACACTAAGCTTTAGTATTAAACCAATTATGTCATACCACCATCAATAATAATGCACAAATTATCTTTTGTTTAATTTATGTTAATTTGCTGTTGTATGATTTGTGAAATGATAACTTGATCCAATTGTAAACTAGTTATTTTTTCAAAATTTAAGAGCAGGAATGCTGGCCAAACATCTAAAAACCGATATTTTGTCCATGTTGATATGGAATGTGCCTGTCAATGTACAGCGAACTTGGTGGTGTTTTTTCCTGGTATTATGGCAGAAAATGGGCTGTTTTCCTCAGTCAGAATGTGTTGTTTTCTTAAATGTCAGAAAATGTCAATATCTTCACAAATTTGCAGGAAATACTTTTGTTTTATTTTTGTTTTTGTTTTTTTTTTTTGTTTTCTTTTTCAATCAATTAAGGCAGAAACTGTTGTGTAATTTAAGTAAAATCACATTTTAAATATTATTGAAGGTTTGGATAATACCCAGGTAGACAACCGTTTTAGATACAGGTATCACTTTTACTATTGTAATCATGAAATTGATTTTATCCTTGTTTGGTTTAATGTGATGTTGATAGTCTGTTTTTGTATGCATGTAATCGTGTCCATAAAATATTGTAAAGTATATAAAGTATTGTAAATAATTTGTTGTCTTTTTACTTCCCTTACTAGTATTTCTTGAGAATGTTTCTTTCAGTACAGCTGAGTTTTTTACAGTGTGTTAACAGGCTAAAGTGTGTCTGCAATGAATGTATTGATTATCTATAGTTATATATGAATTTGGGTGGTTGCTCACAGTCCGATGAAAATCCTATTATTTCACTGTACACTATATGACGATACCTGCAAAGAACAAAATCTTTGTGTCAGGAAAGTTTTAGTCCTCTGTAAATTCTTCTCTACATTTTATTCTTATCCTTATTGAAATGCAAGGATAATTCATGTTTGGATATTTCTTCTTGTGTGAATTTTGAAACCATATTTATGTACAAGTACCGTGAAGAAAAAGTATTTCCTGAAAAATTATGGAACTATGTATATATAGTTTAAACTGTATGTAACCAACCTCGCAGATACTTAGATACTGTTTGGTTGATATTTCATGTATTTTGACCACTTCTAAAATGTTATGCAATAATTTTGTTCATAACTCTTGTTAATTTGCTGGCTGAGGATAGGTTTATGTAATTATACATGAAATTACATGCTTGTTATTTAACAATGAAATCTCCTTTTTATTTTTGTGAATATGGGGGTGAAAATAATGAGGATTTGTTCAGTTATTTAGCTGAGTGTGATGAATGGTAATTATATTTTTGTTGTAACACAGTGCCTTCCTCACATTACCAACTTCTTTTTTTACCTGGACATCATTGAACTTTACACATCCTCACATCCTCTCATGTGAGTGTGTGCCTCAACCTCCTAGGGTCAAAAAAGAGGTCACAGTTACTATAAATAGGATTATAGGATTTACGTTATGGACATGATCCTAGTCTATAATCAGTTTCCTTGGTCATCACTTGCCTTCTTCACAGATTTCTTTTAAGTGATAAAGCTCAAGAATGTTTCTATTTTTCTTCTTTTTTTTTTGTTTCTGAAAGAAGTGACCATTCACTCAATGATTAGCAAGGAAGAACATGTTTACATTTGGTACAATCAAGGTGGGATTTTGACTATTCCATTTTACATTCCATAATTTTCCAACAAAAGAACAGACATGCCTGGAAATAAGCCCACCCATAGATATTGCTGTTCAGTGAAGTTATGAACCAATGGTACTCCACCCCTACCATTCATTGATTGATTCATTGATCATGTATCTATTCCAGTAATACACAGCCAACCAACATTTGTTTGTTAAGATCCAGTACCAATATTTGACCATACCGTCAATATTACTTACTAGATTCTATACATGTATATATGTATATATATGTATATATGGTAACTTCCCCTAATTGTGCAGCTGACTACTTTTCCAATACAGGCTCATGACTGAACACAGTAATTAAGTTAAAGATTCAACCAAGTTGATGAAGTCAGTGCCATTTCTACCTTTTTTAGAAAATCGTCATCATCATCAAGCCCAGTGACTAGATTCTATTTAAATTTATGAATCTTCATACAATTAGTGTCATCGTGTAAAATCTCACAGATGATGTTTCTGTGACATCAGGATAAGATAAAGAAATTGATGTATGTCTCACATCTGTATGTTACATTAGGATGTAATAATGGAGACTAATAGTTTGAAATAACACTTGGAAGTTCGGCCTGGAATTATCTATTTTCTGCAGTATTTTTCTGAATAATTGATGATGTGATTGATGAAACATGTCACTAATTGAATTTGTTCTTTTTAGCCTGTCAAGGGCTTAAAAAATTAATAATGTGAAGACTTGTCTCGTACATCACATATCAGATGGAAAACAATGTTCTAGGTCCTGTATGTATTCCACAAAGGATTTGACATGAACTACATTGTATACAGGTTTGTCACCTTTGTGTAGATTTGCCATATTTAATTAACAATCATGTGTATATGATTGATGAAAATATAAATGAAGGCCTACTGGTATGTACATATGAAATACATTTATCATATGATACATATTTATTGATTATGTATGTTTGTAAATAACAATACTTGCTTTTGTATCATTAATGATTTTTAACATGTAAAAAAAAATCTTAATTTTTTTCAAGTTGTAAGTAATATTGACAATTTGAGGAAATGTTGATTGATATCTTATTTTTGTGAACTTGTTCCTGTTATAAAGTTTGTTGATATTATGTGTGCCTATATATAAGGTGAGCAGTGCATGTCTACATTAAACAAATTACATATATTTTACGTATTTACAGGTAATGTAAAACAAAATATGCTGTTAGTCAGGCTATGTGTATGCACATTGTATGTGCTTATAAAGTCCTTATTCTTGCAATTTTGCTGCAGAACTTTCTTACTAAAGGTATTTGTTTCACAATCAACTTTACTATATTTCAAGATTATGCATACTGTATAAATTTCGTCTGTTTTTATTTTCTTTACTATATATTTTATGTTATATGTTAGCATGTGGTGGCTTCTAGCTTATTCTAGGTAGCAGGCATATTGAATTTATAGCTTGAGCTGTAGTTGAGGAATGGAAAGAGTTATAAGCTTATATAAACTTTTATACAAATTTTTATCATATATGTGTTATGTGATTTTATATAAATATAGGACACCATGATGGAGAAATGTTTAATGTTTGTACCTTGAGTGTTGAAAGATAGGTAGATCAAAATGTCACTCTGCATTGCTTGCTTTTTTGGGGACAGCCCTGTCATAAAATTTTCTTATATTATTAGCTTCGTTTTATATGAATCTACCGTAATTTTCAATGTCTGCAAGGAATTTTGTACTGTTTTGTTTAAGAAAAAATTATAAAACATTTTCTAAGAAGTAAAAATTTTATTTAGTATAAGAAAAAGTGAGGGCAGACAAGTTTCATTTACTTTCATTAGCCATATTTTCTGTATACATACATACATACATATATACATACATACTTGCTTCTTTTGTTTGCTTCGGTTACTGTTATAAAGAAGCAGTTTAATACCATGTATGGTAAATATCATTACGATGTTAGCCAGTTTCATTAAAAGCAAATGACATATTTCGTTTTCAGTTTCTCTCATTATTTGACCTTAAAAGGAGCTTAGGACAGACACATCCTAGCTCATCTGATCTGACAGAAACAAAAAACTGGAGGGTAAATAGGAATTTTCCTGTCTTCGTTGTCTCTACATCTGTCTGTCACAAAAAGGTGCCCTGATAATTTCCAAAGTGCTGGGGCAATTTCAACAAACCTCAACTTGTAGCATCATTATTATGTCAATTGGATAGCTCTGCTTCATCTCTCAAATTTTTTGCCTGCCATCATTAGATGGAGAGCTGTTCAACAAATCGCCCTACATTTTTAGTCTGTCATCCATCTATCGATTTGTGATTCTTGGAATTCCTTGATGGATCCTCTCTGAGTGCACATCTAAATAAGGGACTGGTTGGGATTGTATGACAGTTAAAGTTTATTAGCCCATGTGCTCGAGGATTAAGGAAGCATATGCCATGGCATTTATTGTCTGTTGGTCAGACATGTTTTTTCCTGAAATGACTTCTCATAGGCTAAGGGTAGTGATTTTGGGGATGTAGCATTTGTATATGAAGGGCATTTAAGTTTGTTTAACTTTAACACACTCTCAAGGTCCATGAGACTATTTAAAGTGTGTTAAATCTTTTTATCTCAAGTACCAAAGGGCCAAATGTCAAAATGTAATGTATTTGGCCAATCAGTAGGGCATTTTCAAGGTCAGAAGGGTCAGATATGTTAAAATCTACTAACAATTTCTTCTCCACAACCAAAAGGCCCAGGTGGATTGTATGTTACCAGTTGTGGTCATAGGGGCTAAATGTGTAATAATTTTAAACTAGCATCTTATTAACCAAAAAACCAACAAAAGGTCATGATATTAGGCCAGGCATATTTATGTGAAAGGCTTTCAGGTTTGTTCAAATGAATAACCTTGACTTGCTGGCTCTGGGACCAAATTTGCTTAAACTTGTTAAAACTTAATTTCTTCTACAAGAACCATGAATTTCACAACAATTTCAAAGCAGGTTATAATTATTCCAACTTACACATGTATATTAACCTGTTCACTTGGATTGAAGTGTATAAGGGTCTTAATGTTGGAAGAAACAGGAGTTCTGAAGGAAAATCCATATGGTTGGACACTGGAACTCTGTCACTTTTCGTGTTTGTTTGAGGTGTCAAACCCCTGCGTCTCTAATCAAATAAAAAACAATGTTTTCTTGATAAATTCTGTCACCTGTATAAAGGTAACCTTCACATAAACACAAAAAAAAAAAATAAAACCAGAAATGCAGATTTAATGGATAATTTTATTTACAAAAATATTATCCATCACTGTATCTATTTCACAGTCTGATCCTTATTGAATGTTGTGTTTCACAGATATTTTGTATTCATATCAAAATCAGATTATTTCACCTCAAACTTATAATTGGATAGATACTAAATATGATGAATATGTAATCTATAAATGAAACAAACAAAACATGTGTAATCTAGAGGGTACAACTACTTTTAACTCTATTTAAAACCTTATACTAAAAAAAGTATACAAAGCTCATAGAAAACTACCAAGGTCAGACAAACAGAGAGTTGTACATAAGACAATGACAGATTTGTACAATAACACAGCATCAGAGAGTTGTACAATAAGACAATGACAGATTTGTACAATAACACAGCATCAGAGAGTTGTACAATAAGACAATGACAGATTTGTACAATATGACCACATCAGAGAGTTGTACATCAGATTTGAGCATCAGAGAGTTGTGCATAAGACCACATCAGAGAGTTGTACATAAGACAATAACAGATTTGTACAATAACACAGCATCAGAGAATTGTGCATAAAACAATGACAGACTTGTACAATAACACCACATCAGAGATTTGTACATAAGACAATGACAGATTTGTACAATAACACAGCATCAGAGAGTTGTACAATAAGACAATGACAGATTTGTACAATATGACCACATCAGAGAGTTGTACATAAGACAATGACAGATTTGTACAATAACACAGCATCAGAGAGTTGTGCATAAGACCACATCAGAGAGTTGTACATAAGACAATGACAGATTTGTACAATAACTCAGCATCAGAGAATTGTGCATAAAACAATGACAGACTTGTACAATAACACCACAGCAGAGATTTGTACGTAAGACAATGACAGATTTGTACAATAAGTCAGCATCAGACAGAAGTACATTAAGACTCCATCATAGAGTTAAACAATGATGTAGACAGATTTGTACAATAAGACACCAAAACAGAGATGTGATATCAATACTTAAGATATTTCACTTTAGCAACATGAAGTACTAACTCCTTCAAAGGTGGATTTCTTATTCAGTAGAGTGTACACAAAAAACAAACCTTTTGAAGTCATTCCCTAATGAAGGAAAATCAAAACTTCACTCCCATTGTCCTTAGTATAGGGACAGCTAGGACCTATTGATAAAAAATCTTGCCCTCACAAGCAAATCACTAGTAAGCAAGTAAGCATTTTAATTTTCAACTTGGTCATGTATTTTACTGTAGAGAGAGAGAATGTCAATCTGATAAGATTCTTACAAATTTTAACAGACTCAGCTCGATCAGCAAGGCATCAGGCCTTTGGTGGTTTCAATATATATTGGAAACATTTAAACAGTATGCCTGTTACACAAATGTATTTATCACATCACTGCCGTACTATTCAGTGCATATGTACCCATGTAAATTAATTGCATAAGAACTCACGACTTAATTGAAATATTGTGACATGATAGAAAGACAATGAATTGACACCAATTACTTGTCAAATGCTTTAGGACATTACAATGAAAATCAAAACAATTAAAAGGGCTCCAAACTTGACATGAAGAAGCATGTTTGCTGTGATATTTGAAAATTGATATAATTGTGTGATAGAATGGAATCTTAATTCTTGCTTAAATGAAAAATTTGTGGAGTTGTTTCGTAAGTCTCATATTAAACTTAAACTTGATGAAGATACGATATGTGTATGATATGGAGGGAGAGAATACCTGGATAAAGGTCTGATTGTGAAGTTAACAAGCAAAGTTATTGGGAAATAATTTACTTCACAATATATATCGGTTCATATAATCCAATTCTGTACTTTGAAAAATAAGAATTTAACAGATTCTTTTATGCAGATAAAATGAAATAAAATATGTTAAAATTAAAATAAAATGCTAATGACTTCAATATTTAAAAGCAATAACTTCATGTTATGATTTCTATGTAGTCAATATATTGCCAATAGTATCTTAATGTGTTATAGTAGAGTTATGGGATGTATGCATATGGACATGTAAGCCACTTTTGAAGTCTTTAAAGACTGAATTAAGTGTTCAGACATGATGCTGCAATCCCGAAACTGATGCAGGGGAAACAGGATATAACTCATTTACGAAAGACTTATGCATTTATAAATTGCATTATATTAAATTTCAAGCATATACATTTATGTACATGGTAAATAAATTTAATTACCAAACAGATTCTACAGTGCCACCTTTACTCAATGCTAAAAGTAGCTGGTCATGCATGGTGCACTGCCTGGATTGTGGTACACTCTACTGAGATACACATATCAGGAATATGTCAATCTGTGCTTGCCTGGGTACAAGACACTTACGACTAGTGATCACTGGATTCACATACAACCAGTTACATCAGAAAAAACGAAATAATATTTCGAAAAAACGAAATAAAATAAGTATGGAGCATGTCAGTTAACGGGCTCCGTATGATTCAGTATACCCCTCCCTAACTTTGTTGCAGGGAGTTTAATACATTTCTGTCTATTATGACCATACACTACAGTAAACATACATAGTTACGCACTGAAAATATATATTATACTAAAATATATCATTTGCACTTTCTGTTTATGTCTAGACAGCCAATATTGTAGTCTGAAGGTTCTCAATATTTATATCCAAAATTTGTTTACACTGAACGAAGTATGCAGTTTACATATTAATTAAATTCAAAATAGAATGCAATTCTTAATGAATAAAGGTAGAGTCATTTAATACAACATCAATTAATCTTTATGTCGATCACAAATTTCTGTTCAAAGAAGTTCAACCTTCGAAATAACTTGTCACTATCAAAACTGGTTCCAGAGCCACTGGTTGTTGTTATGTTTGTGGTATTTCTGAAAAAGGAAAATTAGAGAGATTTTATTTTTTAAATCCAAGGTTATGATGATTGAAATCTTTGTAACTGTTTGTAATGTGTAAAATGATATTGAAAATACAGTCTACTCCACATTTACTTACTGACCTGGTGGACAGAATTCTTTTGACCTTCCCCTTGATACCTGAAGGTATGCAGGTTTTTAGCCCATTCTTCACATTTGAATAGATGTGTGTCCATCAGAGAATATATTTTTAGTTCATCTGGGATAAAGTTTACTACATGGTTGTCATGACAAAAACTTGATACTGATTTAAACACATATAATGAAGTGTAAACCAGCCTCATATCTGTTGTGACAGATTCACTGCCTTTGATAAACAAATAACATTTTACAAAGAAATGAGAAAAAAATTTGCTAATAATCCAATTATTTGTTTTTTCACTTGCATTATATATATGCAAATTTGATTTAGTTACAAATCTGTATTGGATACATAGAATAACCAACCTTGTCTCCGTATAGTATTTTCTACTCCAGATGACGTGTTTCGCTGTTTACGGTTCTGGATGACAACTCGGTACCTACAAAAAAAATATTTTCTGTTTTCAAAATCTTAAATTTCTTAATCAATTGATACTTGCAAAAGCAAGAAAAATGACAGCTTTTTATTAAGTCAAAATCTCTAAATACTCTGGCCGATGAAATAGCTTTGTATTCAATATACATGTACTGCATTTTTCTGTTCTGATCATTTTAATGTCATTAATGTTTTTGTCTGTATGCCAACTTTTACATAAAAAAATGTTGCATGAAATTATTTTTAAATCCAGAATTATTACCAGTGTAGAAAACACATGTCTAGGCCTAGTTCAACAACTGTCATTCATTCTAAGTGTACTTACGATTGGCCATCAATCTCCACCAGAGTCGTGCCCCGGCCTCTTTTTTGGTAAAGATCCTCTATCCGGCTGGAAGCCTGATTACTATGGTGAATCCATGTCCCTGGTTCTATCTCCCACTGCCATTGTGGCCGAGTTTTGGTCACTACAACACATGGTCACTGACTTAATCCATACAACACTACAACATTAACTGGTCACTGACTCAATCACACAACACTACAACACCAACTGGTCACTGACTCAATCACACAACACTACAACACCAACTGGTCACTGACTCAATCCACATAACACGACAACATCAACTGGTCACTGACTCAACCCACATAACACTACAACACATAATGGTCACTGACTCAGTCCACACAACACTACAACACATAATGGTCACTGACTCAGTCCACACAACACTACAACACATAATGGTCACTGACTCAATCCACACAACACTACAACACATAATGGTCACTGACTCAATCCACACAACACTACAACACATAATGGTCATTGACTCAATCACACAACACTACAACACATAATGGTCACTGACTCAATCACACAACACTACAACACATAATGGTCACTGACTCAATCCACACAACACTACAACACATAATGGTCATTGACTCAATCACACAACACTACAACACATAATGGTCACTGACTCAAACCTTACAATAATTAACACCAAAACAATGCTAATTACAGCACCAAATTTTTATTTGAAATCCAAGTTACATCCTCACCTTGGATGGAAGCTGAGCCTTGTGCATCACTTGAAGCTCCACTTTGAGCTGGTCTTCTTCCTGGGCTGTTGAAAAAGGGTTCAACATTGAAACTTATAGCAGATTCATTTGGTAGAATTTCAACTACAAGAGATTCAATATGCTTGTAGGCTTGTATAAGTCATCTTTTTGTCCATAATTTTGGAAAATCCATCTCACATCCATGACCTTCGAATTGGATCAAGGTCAAGTTGTTTCAATTTTTAACACATTTGAACTACATTCATGTATACTTTTAATAAAATTGAATCAAACTGATTTATTCTAGTGAACTAGCCCTCCACTGCAGTGTCACCAATCAAATATCATATTACAAGGCTTTCTAGATCTTCAAAGATTTCTCAAAGGATGAATTCATCTGTCTTGCCAGCTCTGTTACCATGGACTGGTGGGTTGACATATACACTGGAACTCATGCACCCAACATGTACCAATTAAGACTCTCTGTAATTACATACAGTTCTTCTGATACACTATATTATTTTCTTTACTTTCTTATTGCTGTATTTAAAAAAACTTACCACATTTCTATGTCAAATTTTCCGTGTATTCCATATCTGTAGTTTCCTCTTTTACCATTTTGCCATCTTACCTATAATCATAATCCAAAAAAATCAATAAATTTCTATTCAAACAGTACACTTATCTAAAATTTCTACATTATTCAATTATTTTCAAAAATATTTCTGTATGTATCTAAAGCACTACAAACCAATATTATTTCAGTGTCCTGTAATAAGCCCACCCTTGTTATTCTAAAGCACTACAAACCAATATTATTTCAGTGTCATGTAATAAGCCCACCTTTGTTATTCTAAAGCACTACAAACCAATATTATTTCAGTGTCCTGTAATAAGCCCACCTTTGTTATTCTAAAGCACTACAAACCAATATTATTTCAGTGTCATGTAATAAGGACACACATATCTCTTGCTGTTCTAAAGCATTATGAATCAATATTATCTTTCTGTCTTGTAATTTGCCCATCACTGATGTTAAGTTAAAGGTAATGTCTGTTGGCCCCCTGGCCTTATTCAATGATATTATAGGATAGTACCTTATGAAATGTTTCTATGACAACCATCAATGGTTATCTATAATGATCAGCCTGACATTTAACTTGCCTTCCATCCCTACATATGAAACACATGGATTCATTGCACTTAATAGGAATAAATCAATAGTGATGCCTTTATCTTTCTGTCATGACAATCAGTTGATAATACAAGAGTTCCTCGGAACTGTATGTGTTGCCTGCATAAAGTGTCATGGTCACCCAGAAATTGAACTGGATGTGCAACGTTCAACCATAAAGTTGTAATACCAAATTTCATTTCTAAAACTCGAAGCATAAAGTTTGGCATCTGAGATCTGTCTGTGTGTCATGTCATCAGCACTTATAGCCACAAGTTTGACATCTGATATCTGTCTGTGTGTCATGTCATCAGCACTTATAGCCACAATTTTGACATCTGAGATCTGTCTGTGTGTCATGTCATCAGCACTTATAGCCACAAGTTTGACATCTGAGATCTGTCTGTGTGTCATGTCATCAGCACTTATAGCCACAAGTTTGACATCTGAGATCTGTCTGTGTGTCATGTCATCAGCCCTAATAGCCACAAGTTTGACATCTGAGATCTGTCTGTGTGTCATGTCATCAGCCCTAATAGCCACAAGTTTGACATCTGATATCTGTCTGTGTGTCATGTCATCAGCACTTATAGCCACAAGTTTGGCATCTGAGATCTGTCTGTTACATAGGTGTCATGTCATCAGCCCTAATAGCCACAAGTTTGACATCTGAGATCTGTCTGTGTGTCATGTCATCAGCACTTATAGCCACAAGTTTGACATCTGAGATCTGTCTGTGTGTCATGTCATCAGCACTTATAGCCACAAGTTTGACATCTGAGATCTGTCTGTGTGTCATGTCATCAGCACTTATAGCCACAAGTTTGGCATCTGAGATCTGTCTGTGTGTCATGTCATCAGCACTTATAGCCACAAGTTTGACATCTGAGATCTGTCTGTGTGTCATGTCATCAGCACTTATAGCCACAAGTTTGGCATCTGAGATCTGTCTGTGTGTCATGTCATCAGCACTTATAGCCACAAGTTTGGCATCTGAGATCTGTCTGTTACATAGGTGTCATGTCATCAGCCCTAATAGCCACAAGTTTGACATTTGAGATCTGTCTGTGTGTCATGTCATCAGCACTTATAGCCACAAGTTTGACATCTGAGATCTGTCTGTGTGTCATGTCATCAGCACTTATAGCCACAAGTTTGACATCTGAGATCTGTCTGTTACATAGGTGCCATGTCATCAGCACTTATAGCCACAAGTTTGGCATCTGAGATCTGTCTGTGTGTCATGTCATCAGCACTTATAGCCACAAGTTTGACATCTGAGATCTGTCTGTGTGTCATGTCATCAGCACTTATAGCCACAAGTTTGACATCTGAGATCTGTCTGTTACATAGGTGCCATGTCATCAGCACTTATAGCCACAAGTTTGGCATCTGAGATCTGTCTGTTACAAAGATGGCATGTCATCTGTTAGTAATCTGTCCTTAACACTACACTTTTTGATTATAAAGGTTTAGTTAATGTGTAACTTTTCTAAGCAGGTTTGCTGATTTGGAGTTACATTCAAATTGTGGAAGATGTATTTTATAAAAAAAAATGATTAGATAAAAGGACCAAAAGAAAAAGAATCTGTGGCTAAGGTGGTTAGTAGAATTTATATTCTGTCACAGAGTGTAGAATTTGGATTCAGAATCACAGCCTGGACCAGCAAATGCTGAAGAAACATAATCATTAAAGGATACATGATACCTAAGATCATTACACCCCTCTTGTTCTGCCACTGGTGGCTTTAATTCATTATTGTTTCAAAAATCAATGACCATTATTAATTTTACACCTGCCATGAATCACTCTTCAAAGGAACAGATATCGCCTTTCACCTAGCCGACCGGGGTTCGATTCCCAGAACGGACATGAAAAGGTAAGGGGTCACCTGCCCGACCACATGGGTTTTCCCCGGGTACTTCGGTTTCCTCCCACAATAAGACCCCTCACGTGCTTACATCCGGGCCAACAAGAGTGATTAGTATAAGTTGACATAACTTGTTTCGCAATTGTTGTAAAATAAATAAAGTTTATGTTTTTTTAACAGATATCTATTTCATCAACAACATACATGTATGACCCCATTATCTTCTATCTTGAAAACAACTCCAACTTGATCTTCGCCACCATCCTGGTTATCCCATTCCCAGTCGGGCCCTGACAAAATCAAAATAGAAATAACAAAAAACATCAAAATGTTGATTTCATCAATCTAAATTGTAAGCATATACATAGTTTCTCTTACTGGTATATACCACTATAAAAAAAATGCTGTAAATATTTCAGATGCCTTAACGGTTAAAGATTTTGTACTTGGTTAATGAATCATCTCATTTGATTTATCAATTCTATAACAGGTCACAACGAAAAACCAGCTACAGATTTGTATATTTAGAAATACTTAAAATTTTTACCTCGTCTACAACAAACCCCAACAGCTCCCAGCATGCCTTCTGGCAGGAAACGTGGTTCATCTACACTTCTGAGGTCGAAGGAGTCTTCTGCACCCATTCGGTATTTTCCCTTCCTCCCACTGTCCCATTCCACAGAAACAAATCCTGGTGGAAAATTTGGAAAGGTTACCAAAGTTCATACAAAGCACCAGATATTAAAACACATCAGAAATACAGAAATCCATGAAAATAACACAAAGTTGTTATAAACATAAAAAATATTTATTTCCTTTATAACATACACCTAAAACCAACTTTAACCCCTTTTTGTGGGGACAGGGATACCTTTGAGCCTTGGCCTGAAAAACCTGAATCTCTTAAATCACAAAGTATCTACTAATAATTTTATAAAAATCAACCCTTTTCAGTCCCATTATCAGCCCCATCCCCTTAGGAGGCTGAGATTTGGGTCCCCTATTTTATTGTCACAAAATCTGACCTATCCAAGACTTTAAAACAAAAATTCTAAGTTCAATATTTTTCATTTCTTAACTCCAATTATGTACTTTCAGTACAATATTTCCCCTACCTCACTCTTTATATACAATTATCTACTTTTCTTACCTCTTTGTTTATGTCCGATAATGGTACCAGCCATGTTGTCATCCTGATCATCCCAGACCCAGTCTCGACCTCTCCGTACCCTTGTCCCCACAGGGAGAGGTCCCTCTTCTCCACCGGCTCCATCTCGACCACCAGGATTGTCCTTCAACTCTGTCATTACCTTGTCAAACACAACATTCTGCAAAAAAAGTATAAGCCATAAAGTTAACAAATTGATCAGGAATACAGTTAATGATGTGCTTCATTGTAAAACTAGCCATTGATTATACACTGACTCAGTAAGATGGAAAACTGCTGGTAACTGTGGATTCCCTAGAGACCCACTGGTAAGTGGTAATCTTTTTGTAGTGGTTTTACATCTCAAGATTATATTTGTACTTTTTTTTTCTTAAGACATTCACTGGTAAGATGTAATATTACTCACTGTTTCAATTTGGAGATTCTTGTTCACTGTAGTTTTCACTGTTTCACTGTTTAGATGTAATACTTCAGGAATTTTTAGATATTATATGTACAATGTTCACTTTAGGTTTAACTGATGAAATTTCAGTGTTTAGATGTATCAAGGAGAAAGATGAAACTTTGTTCATTTTAGTTTTCGTCGAAGGGATTTTAGTGTTCATATGTGATGCTGTTTACTGTAGAGTTCACTAAAGGGATTTCAACGTTTACCTGGAAAATGTACAGTAATACTGTTCACTTCAGATTTCAATGTAGGGATTTAAGTGATAAGATTTCAATGTAGGGATTTAAGTGATAAGATTTCAATGTAGGGATTTAAGTGATAAGATTTCAATGTAGGGATTTAAGAGATAAGATTTCAATGTAGGGATTTAAGTGATAAGATTTCAATGTAGGGATTTAAGTGATAAGATTTCAATGTAGGGATTTAAGAGATAAGATAATATTGTTCACTTTAGAGTTCAATGTAGGGATTTCAGTATGAAAATGTTATCATGTTCACTGTCTTTGATTGTAGAAATTTTTAATGCAAAGAAATGTTATTGTTTCTTGCAATATTACTTCACAGATTTCTGCATTAAAATGAAAGCTTTACATTTTACATGTGGTTTTCACGTTACAGAATTTAGAATTTAAACCTAGTTCACTGCATTATTATTGTTTTCTGAATATTGAATACTGGCACTTACACAGTTGCTGTGGTTTCCATAGGTTGGTGATTCTATAGGGGTTGGTATTTTAACTTACCATTTCCTCTGTAGAAAGGTCTTTGCCTGTAGTACTGTCTCGGACAATTCTCTCCATTGTCTGTCGACCAAAGTCTGGTTTACCAATAGCTTCATCTGTCATCACACGGGCAACTATCGTCTGTTGATTACAGATCAAATAAAGAATTGAAAACATTATTAAAGAATTTATCAACTCTTAAATCTTTCATAGTCATCAACTGAAGATTGTTTCATTGTTACTGGGTTTATCATCCTATGAACAGCTAAAATCAATTAAAGGTGGTGGCTACCTCACTGAACAACATGCATGAGGCCCATCACGTTAAGCTATCCAGAGCAATTGCAGTAAAGTGTCTTGCCCGAGGACACAGCCGAGGTAATATAAGACTGTCTGTGATCTCAGTTAGCTGCATGAGCAACACAAATATTTCTGATCTTTACCTGTGTAAAGTTGCCAAGTCTGATGCCTAATTGACTGGGTTATCCTGGCACTCTATTACCTAGGTATATTTTTCAAGTTCTATGTCTTATCCATGTAATGATTACATGCCTATTCTTCATTATACATTGATAACATTGGTTACTCATTAACAAGATGAAAACTGGTTTGCTAAAAGAAAGAGAAAACAGTTTGCTAGAAAAAGACAAAAAAATGGTTTTCCTCTAGAATAACCATGTTTTAATATTGTTTTACAGCCAAGAACATTTTTTTTAATGTAATACAGAAAACCAATACCACTCCAGAGTACATTTGAGATTCTGCTTTACCTGAGAATTATTTAAGTGAATTAAAAAAAAAAAAATACTTAACACGAAATTGCATATCCCTGATAACAGGGCTATAGCAAAATTAAAACTGATCCCTTTTTATTTTCAGTTAAACGTGCATAACTTTTGTATAAGGATGTCCATTTTATACCATCATGATAATAATTCATATAAGTACATAGTGACACTTTGTACCAGATTTTGTACATATTTATTTGTGTGAAATTAAATTTCAAATAAAGGTTAAGTGTGTATTCTTTGTGTAGAGGATTTGTGTATTACATTGCATATGTTTGTTTGTTTGCTAGGACCCCTTCAAGCCCTGTCGCTCAGCCCCTAGGGGTCAGCCAGGGTCAATATGCCCATACCATCAAAATGTCTAATCTACCAACTTATCTCATACACAGGACATTGTAAGTACATATTATTGTATCATTGTCAATAATTCTAGAATAAATTCACATTGCCATGATAATAAATTATTTTCTCCATCAATATAAAATTTATTACAAAAAAAACAAAAACAAAAACAGAAGACTTGTCCTGTAAACGAAATACGCAAAATTGAAGAATTCTCATGAGGAAGTAAACATCAACCACTATGAGGTTAGGCCTACACTGATTGACTCAAGTGGACACATCCTTATGACATGCATTAAATCTAAAATTATCAGTATTAACCACAAACAGTACATGTGCCACTATGACACATTAAGAGAATTACACACGAGACAGGTCACTACAATAGAGTAATGAAAGGCAATCAAACAATACATTGTCTATAACTTTACAAAACTCACATTTTGGTCCTGTATACATCTATACTTACTTTCTTGTCATAATGAAATGTAATCAAAACAAAAGGCTCGTGGGGATTGTATTACTCAATCGGAACTTTCACCTCTCAAATCTAAACACTTCTATTCACAATTACATTGTAAGGTTTTTCCCTGAAGACAATGAATTTTAAAACTGTACTCAATACCAAATTTTGCCAAAATATCTTCATCCAAAGAGAAAAAGTATGATTTTAAACTCTTATCTCTATTATCAAAACTTGTCCTGAATGCCCTCAGTCCTCAGAAAGGTTAGACCTACTGTGTATATGCAAAATTCTGTCATATTTGTAAAATTTACCCTATTTGGCCCCTGCCCTCAGGTCCAAGAGTACAAAAACCAACAAGCAAATTGTTTCCCTTTCCCCAAATACATTTCCAACTGCCTCCAAACTTAGTTAAAATACCTTCATCCCCATAGAAGAAGTATTTTAAAGCTATTCCTCAATCCATATTGGGCCCAGCCACTGTACCTGCAGACTGGTCACATTCACAGTACAAAATTCTGTCCCTTTTGAACATGGTTCAAGCTGAATTTGAACATGATACTTTTTTTGTTCTTTTTCTGTTTCTACAGAAGAAAAGATATTTCAAAGAATTTGTCAAAATTCCCCTTTTGCGCCCTGCCCATCAAGTCTTAGGACTGAGAACCACCATTTACATAAAGTTGGTTGTCCTTCCCTACAGGATGTTTCTGACGGAACATCCAAACAGAAGAAGGTTTTTAAACAATTGCTCCATTTCCCATATTGGGCCCCACCCCTATGTTACCTAGGGGTAAGACTAACTTTATGTACAAAATTTGATCAAAATCTCCTCAGTCATTCACAACTATTCACCATTTATAGAAACAAGAGATTTTAAAGGGACCTTGGTGCTCATCATTATTTTATCTTTATTTGCTCTCTAAAAGATGATAAGTAACTTTCACTGTCAAAATCCATGATGACCACCTGTCAGCAATTTCATATTTTTACAGTCAAAATATGGGACAATGCAAAACAAGGGGCAAATATCAAATTTGAGAAATATCTATCCCATGTTTCTTATGAAATTGTGTTAACGAACTTTTAATGTCAAAAATCAATGATGGCAACGTTGCAGCCATTTTGTTCTTCTGATCACTCACAGAATCTAAAAAGCACAACTAGGCACAAAGGGTAATCTTGATTATGAAATTTGAGAACAAGAGTACTGCAAAGCGGAACAAAATACGCCTGTGAATATCCAAAACTGCAAAGGGGCATAACTCTTATTCAAATCGTCTAATCAAAACCCTGTTCAGGAAAACACAATTTCATATCATGGTGATTAAGCCTACCAAGTTTCATAAATATCGGCTAAAAAATGTTGGAGGAGATCTCCAGACAAGATTTCTATTGTGAAATAAACACAGGGGCATAACTCTTATTCAATTCACCAAATCAAAACCCCGTTCAGGAAAACAACTTCATATCATGGTGATTAAGCCTACCAAGTTTCATAAAGATCGGCTGAAATATGTAGGAGGAGATCACTGGACAAATAAAAGTTTACGCCCGACGCCGGACGGAGAGCGCCATACCTTAATACGTCCGTCTTTCGACAGGCGTATAAAAATCCATCAAATAATTCTCAAGAAATAGCCTTAGCAAACATTTATTGTCAAAATCCAAGAGGGTCACCTGAGGTTAAGGAGGCAAATGCTTTAATGACTCAATTATCCCATTTATTTCAAAATGTTGCCAAACACCAATTTGTTACAGTGCTTGTCTTGTCTCATGGAATATATGTACCAGGTTATGGAATTATGACAGCGCTTTTTTAATGAAAAATCTTATCAAATACACTATTATAATGTTGTCTCAATGGAATATCACATTACAAATTTCATAAGATTGATTTTTTTTAAAATGAAATATCAAATCCTGAATTATAGTGTCATCTTAATGATATATTACAGCACAAATTTTATAAACGTTTTGTCTCAATGAAAAATCACATCAAAATTTTATTACAGTGTTGTCTCAATGAAATTTCATATCACAAATTTTGGAGCAGAACTCTCCCTTGAATGTCACATCCAATACTTTACTATAGTGTTTCCCACTGAAATGTAATAATACAAATTTCCTTTTTATAATGTTGTCTCTCTGAAACATTGCACACCAATATTATTACTGTGCTATCTGTCTGAAACATCAAGGAACTTTTATGATCATAAGGAGAATTTTTCAACTTACATCTAACAGGAACTGTTTACTAAGTCGCCCTGCTTCCTCCACCTTGGCTACCTCACCTCCCGTTGTGTGGGCTATGTGCTCCAGCACCGTCTGAAAATCATAAGTTGATGTTGATAGTGTATCCAATATACCTATGAATTACTACTTATTCTTAAACTCTCCAAAGATCAAAGAAAGAAGGCTTTTGTCGAAACAAATACTTGATCATCTGTGTTCTGTTTCAATTTCAGCCTTGCTAAAGTATAAATATTGTTTAATACTGCTCTCCAGGAGGAAACCTTGTGATTGTGAGTAGGAAATTAATACAGGGAATTCCTTTTCAAAAAATTTCAAATTGAGATTCCTGATTGAAGAAATGTCTAGTCAGTCTCATTTTAAGTGGAACTAGTCTTCCTTTACCAAATCATCTTTTGATTAATAACTGATTCTTGCATTTCTGTATGTATTTGTCAAATCTGAGACAAATGAGGGTGGTTTTGCTTAATTAAAAGCTCAAAGGAAAAGTAAATATTTAAGTATAATAAAAGAGAGGAATAAAACCAACTTACCATATCTGCATCCCCGACAGGTATACAGGTGACTTTACGATGTTCACTCTTAAGTCTATCAGTAAATTCTATCAGCTGTTGCTTAGCCTTTAAACATCAAAAAAAAAATTCAGGTTGCAGAAAAAGGCAAATTTACTGTCCCTAAAGCAAAAGATTTCTTTATAAAACTGACGAAGAGAACTCTCTGCCAGGTAAGTGTAATTAATGATACACTGTGCGGAATTTCTACCAACAAATCAAATTCCCTTTTATGCCAGTTACTGCTATGAAATATTATATTTTATCACAAAGTTAAGAAAAATCATGAATGCTGATTTTTCATTTAGTTATGCTTGGTTTTTGGCTGGGTTTCAGAAATCCTATCATATCTACAAGAAAAAAAATTGAGTGGAACGATTTGAATTTCAAGGGAGGTAATTCCCATTCAAGTATAATGTTTTGAAAAATGACACCATTAGCCAATCATAAAGTTAATCATGTTTGATATTTGTTAGCTCATCTAGCTTGAAGGGCCAAGTGAGCTTATGCTGTCGTTGACCGAAAATTTCTGTCTCAAATGTAGGAATGAGAATAGTCAACAAAATGTAAATATCAGTAATAACATAATAAATGAGAGTATTGACATTGAATTATTATTTTCTGTTCCTTTGGCATCAACTTATTAAGACAACTTCTTCTCAATAACCAACAGACCAAATATCATGGTATTCCTTTTGTTGGTTGTTGGGACCATAATATCTTTAAAAATTCAAATCATGTATTGCCGGTAATTGCACTCGTAGTTTCTCCAATATGTACCTAAAGTCATGTCAAAGGTGAAAGCACGTGCATCTGAAGGTCTTGCCGTTCCGCTCTAGTTAACTATGGTGGTGTGAAAAACTGACTGGTCTATTACTACAGAGGAATCTTGCAGGTTTTGATTCTGTTACTTCTAAGCTAAAAAAAGTTGAATTTGGAAACATTTAATCAATTTGTAACGAAAACTTGAAAAAATGGAGCCCACCAAAGTTTGTGAAAAGAACTGACTTTGACTTATATTCAAGGTCACTGAAGTCAAATTTCTTAAAACTTCAACACAACATCTTCTGACTAACCATAACAGGCCAAAGCATGATGGTTGGCTGATAGGTTTGTGAAAAGAAATGATCTTGAAAAAAAATGACCTTGGCCTATATTCAAGGTCACAGGGGTAAATCTAAATTTCGGAAACAAGTGAAAAGGTGTTTCTAGGTCAAAGCCCAACAAATTTTAATAACAAAAGAAATGACATTTACCTATAATCAAGGTTATAACTGTCACGGTTAATAGTTGAGTATTAAAATCTATTTATTTTGGAAATCAGTTGAAATTGTTTGGATGTGCCAGCTTTCAATTCCAATGATGTACATGTTAAAGAGAGATTCTGCACAAGATAGGATTGCATGGGGTGTTTCTGTTCTTATGGAAATCGTACACCTCAATTTACCATATAAATATGACGTATTTAATTTGTGGAAATACTTTATAGATCTAACCACTTTGATTTGCAAAAGTCTGCACAGCCCTGATTGCGTCATAACAGGTTTGCGTTGATATAAGCCAATTGGAATGAAATATTTGTGTAAATTATAAGATTAACACAAAAAAGCCTAATGAAGTAATAAAACCCCAGCAAAACTTTCAGCGACCAGTATACACACTTGTGTATTTACTGAATAATCTGAATGAAATCTATGATCCAGTAATGCTTTAGTGCCCAATATCCTGATGTACTAGATTTAGATGGCTAGATTTATATTGGCTGAAATTATTTCCACCAATTCTGCCTGTCCAAACTGACCACAGTATAGATATTTTGTTGCTAACAATAAAACAAAAAAGTCATTAGAATGATTTTAGAAAAGGTACAGAATAGCCAGAAATTTTGCATCTTGGGCAGAATATCCCTTTAATGTATTTGTGAAGAACAACTTTTCTATTTTTTATGAAGATGAAATACCAGGTGAGTGATGCAGGCCTATTGGGCCTCTTTATATTATATCTTGGTTCTCTTGTTGTGTACCATGTTCTCATTTGGAAGCAGGACATTGCATGCTTGTATTGTCCCAAGTTTTACATGGGGGTCATCAACGAAGCAAAAGATGCTTATTCTTCTGGAACACCTGGTCTTATCATCCTTGTACATTTTCAAGAATCACTGTGTAAATTTTTCCTTTGTTCATATTTTGCCCTAGTTTGATTGACTTTGAGTTTGGATTATAACCCTGTTAACATGTTGGTATTTTCTTCGTTGTTTTTGTACATTTGGTAATATTTTTTATCATCATATTCATATATCACGGTATTATGATTCCTATAAAGATCTATGTGCCCTGAATGGAAGGACCAAATACCCTGCCAGAGTCCTTTTTAAAGTCAGTATGTGTTTGCAGTGACAAAACCAAGCAGGCAGAAAACACATTCTGTTTTCCTAATACAACACAATACAAAGTTTAAAAGAATTATCAAGTTTTAGAAAGTGGAAAAACACCACAGATTGGAGTTATTTTGATCCAATCCAGATACATTAATATCTGTATAATGTAAATTTTATTTTTGACAGTTCTAGCTAATTTGTGTTATTTTCGAAAAGTAATAAAATCACGGAAAAAAGATAAATTGAAAAAATGGAATAAGCAAAGAAAACATATACCATATCATATCATCCTTGAAAAATGACACCTTTCTGCTTAACGCTTCAGGTAAAAAAATTGTAAAAATATGAAGCATTAAAAACTCAACCTTCATGTTTTCACTGATATAAGTTTTCTGTCATGGTTATGATTCAGCACTGGAGATTATGGAAACTATCTAACACATTTACAGTGAATAATAAATCAATTGTGTATAGATCTTACCTCTTCTTCACTCATACCCTGAGGGTGAATTACATCTGGACCATCCATGATCCGAGCATCTGTCACATGACCATCCGATACTAATAAAATACGAGGCATGATTTTCCTATTGCGAAAGGAAACCACCCCACCTAAATAAAAGACATCATTTCAAATTAATCAAATTTGAAAATTTGAAGAAAAAAAACGGAGAAAAAAATGTGATGTACTTCCCGTACAAATGAAACCACAAAAACATGGCGAAATAATACGAAAAGTTTCATAAATCTCAAATGAAATGGAAACAAAATTAAGGTTCTATTCATTTCATAACTTGGATACAAATATTTGTGAAAACATTATTTTGTATGACTAACAAAAAATTCAAATAGACAATATTCTCCATCTATGTTACTTTCTTTGTGACAAGATGCATATGATGCCATGAAGCTATGATGTCATCATGTAAAGAGTATGAACCTTCAGCTAATCACATTTCAGATAGGTCATATTACACATGTGTTACAACAATGATTTATGTAAGGGGTGAAATTACATCTGTAATAATGGTACACTAATCTCTACACTATTTACGGGTAAGTTGGGTGAGATCATAAACAATTACGTTGTCTTTTCCCAAGGCCTGTAAAACAATATGTTGTGATAGTATATTTATATATATATATATGTGTGTGTGTGTGTGTATTTATTTAGCAGAAAAACAGGAAATACATAAACTCTATAATTGTTTTGAAAGGTTAAAATTACCTCTAATGTAGATAGCACTCATACAGAGCACAAGGCCGGTCATGATAGGACTTGCTCCCTCAATCTCCATTTCATCTTAATTCAAAACACAAGTAAGATTAATATAAATTAACAGGACGAGCTTCCTTATGAATTCAAAATATATGTAAAGTTTATACAGATTAAAAGGACTAGCTTCCTCAATCTCAAGATCATATGAAGAAAAAACACTGGATTTTTGAGACATTTTTTTCTAAATGAGGACATCCTGGATTTTCAAAAAAAAAAGTTTATTGTGAAAACTCCCGACTTTCCAGAAGCATACTTACCGACAATTTCTCTGATTTTGGAGTAGTCATTTGTAAGATGCTGCATCACTGCTGTAGTTTTACCAAAGGTAACTATGGCAATGTTCTCCTCCAACGCATGATCAACTGCACATTCCTCAATACCTGGTTACCATAGCAACAGTAAGTTTATTCCACAATTCCACAATACCATGCATCAATATACAATTTATTAAAAACTACGTTGACAAATTAGTTCCATTTTTATGTTTTCAGATTTAACTTTCATTTGAATTATTTGATGTATTTTGTAAGTTAAGTTTTTTAACAGTAATTGTAATACCGTCTAAGAAATTGTTGATGAAGTCTCTGGCTTGCTGTATAGGGGCACCTTTCATGCTATCGGATGTGTCTACACATATGATTGTATCTGCTCCATCAGATTTAGGATCCCGACAATCAGCAGCTGAAAAATTATCACATCATATAAGGAATAATTGAAAATTGAAATTAAAGCTTTTTTAAAAACAATATACTGAAAATTGATATAAACAAGAGGCCCATGGGCCTTAATGTTCACTTGAAATCCAAAAATTCTGATGTTGTTCTTGTAACACATATCGTAGAAATCATCTTGTTAACAAAGTAGGATGAGGTGAACAATGTTCAGTATATAATGCCAATGTAAAATTAGCATAATATCTACTTGCATCCCTTGTTTAGGATTCTTAACAAGTTTAAAATAAAAAAAAAATCATGTATAAAACTGTAGTTTTCCAGTATAAATTGTACTAAATTGTACCCCTCTCCATCAGGAAATGAGACCTTGAGGTCATCAAGTCAATAATTTTGGTTAATAATCTAAAGTCTTTCCAACAATGATGAGTATTGATTCTCCCATACTTGGGCCTGAGAATATTTTTGAAACTTTTAAGTCATTATACACTTTTTGGCCTTATAGTTCTGAGGGTCAGTCCAGGTCAATACAAGCATACTATCCAACTGTCATCCTACTATAATTAACTTTACCCTTAAGATGAAATATTTGACCTGGTGATCATGAAATTCACATTTTGTTAAAGCACCCTTTATTCTATCATATCTGGATGCTGAGAAAGAGATTTTTTAAAATTTCAGACAATTTGACCCCTTTAGGCCCCAATCTATATCCCATGGGGTAAACAAAGTCACTATGTACATATCATCATCTTGTAATTTTCCTATATAAACCTCAAAAGGGAAAGTGAGAGACCTTGAGGTCATGTAATTTATTATTTTTGTAAAGGACCTTAAGACATCTTTGATTCGTACTTAATACTCAATACATGTGTTTAACTGAGATGAAGATTTTGAAATTTTCATTAATTTGACACCCTCTGCCCCTCAGGTCCTTAATTATGATAAGGACCATATAATCTACACATTTTTACACCTTTGACCACAGAAGATTTCCACAAAATGACATAGAAATTGGTTCAAAGATTTTGAGAAGAAATAAAAATGTAAAAAATTTACTGACAAATGACACATGTTGCCAAACATAAGGAGATCACCATACATTGTAGGTCACCATGACATTAAGCCTCAGGTGACCCAAATATACACCACACACCTTAGAAACTGAAGGAAAGATAAAAATATTTGTGTGACCATTCCTCACTAAGATCTTTGTTGGATTTTAAAAAGGCATTACTTGTATTACCTCTCTGAGCCTCTTTCAGTGTTAAACTCTCCAAAAACTGCCTCTCTTTGGGTAGGGGACCACTGGTAGAGTCTGTAAAATAAACCCCATATTCTATGATAAACACTCTTCCTGAATTATTCTATCATTTGATGATATTTAAGAAAAGCTGAATTTACATAACAGTGAACATTCAACACTCCTCCAGATCAGTCAATATTTTTTATCTTACCATATTATTATTATCAAAGTATAAACATATGTGTGTTGGTTTTTTTTTTTCATTTCTCCATGAATAATATATCTACCTTAGACATCCTGTACTGAAAAAATCATGTGACAAATTAAAAAGTGCGAAGTTTTGTATAGAGATAAATATAGAATTTTTCATTTTTGTTTACATTATCAAAATAAAATTAGATTTATTTCATTACCATCTGTATCCCCTTCTTCAGCTGTTTCACTGAAAAAAAACAAAATAAAAATGTTAATCTGACAAAAAGAATTATTACAAAACTAGACATTATATTTATATATTCGATTTTATTGGAAATTCAGAAATTAACTGTAAGACATGAATGCCCCCTCCCATTCATTAAAGTATTGTTTAAATGTGTTTGATAAATTTGCTGAACATGTCAAATGTGACCTTTTTATTATAGAATGTAACATGCTTTGACATTACAATTATAACTATGACAATTAGATATATTCTTGACAGATGTTTTGAATTATACTCACATATTGCAAATATTTTTTTCAAAATAATGACAGTCCCTTTGACTGACAGGTAATAAACAAATATTTTTTTACTACAAAGTGTGAACATGAAAGTCACCTGGGAGTGGCGATAATAGGTGATACTGTGGCTATTGTTTCTGTAACTTTGACTGGTGTTTCCATGGTGACTGTTTCTTCTAAAGGCAACCCAGGCTCTGTACCTTGGGAAGAACTTTCAGTTTCTACTTGCACTGGTTCTGGACTTGGTGTTGGCTGAACTGTTTCTGTTAAAGATCTTTCTTGCTCAGGATCTTGATCAAGTGTTTCTTCTTCCTCTTTTTGTGACTGTGAAGAGGTCACAGGGTCAATGACATCTACAGTAACTGGCTCTTCTGTTTCTACTTCTATCACAGAAGCTTCCTCTACTTCTCCTACATGTATCTTATGGTAAGTGAACCTATTGTCTTCTTTCCTTGGTGTAACATTTACCTTGAAACCATCAAAATCGACAGACTTTGATTCCAAGCTTGTATTACCATTGGATGGTGTTTTCAGCTGCCTGTCACTGCCCTCATTGTCTGCCTTGTGTCCCGTCGCATGCCTTAAGCCTTCAGCGGATGGTGATTGGTATTCCACTGTCGTACTTGTCCTGGAGTTTGACCTTCCCACAGTTGATGGGGAGTTGATGTGAGAGTTCCTCTGCAGTGATTCTGTACTAGGTGATACAGACCCCATTGTACTTTCTTCAGTGGTTGTGGTATCTTGTCTTGATGATCTATGTCTGGGAGATGTTCCATTAAGTGATCCTTGCGATATTTGACTTTCCAAAGAAAAGCTAGTCTCCTGAGATGGTGTACGTGTTTCTGTCACAACACCTTCAGACTGTCTTTCTCTGTTTTCACTGTTTCTTTTATATCCACTTGGTAATACTTCTGTATCCGGAAGACCATTTTCAACCTTGGAATTTGACCTTGAATATTGTACAGGAGATGATGGTACCTCAGAAACTGGACTTCTCACAGCATGCAATGACTTGTGGTCCAGGGAAGCCTTCTTCAATTGATTATCCAGTTTTCTAGATTGTTCCTGATTTCCCTCTTCCAGTTGTCTCCCCTGTCGGTTGTTGTTAACTTGTTCATATGCTGGTGACAGGACAGTTGAAAATTGTTCTACCCTTTCGTTGAGGCTACCCAGACCCTGCTGTACACTGAGGATTGTAGTTTGAAGATGGTCTATCTTACGTAATGACTGCTTGATATCTCGTACCTGAAACAACAGGTTTATATAAAATACACTCATATCAAAACTGCTCACTTGGTACCCACCATTGTTTGATCGTCATTTGATCATTAAAAGTCAGTTATATTCTCTTTGTCCCTCTTATTTACTCTTGATTATATAGGTTGGTGGTGTAGTGGTAATGCACTTGCTTTTCACCTAGCCATCCGGGGTTTGATTCCCAGAACACTTGTGAAAAGGTAGAAGGTCATCTGTCTGACCATGTGGGTTTTCCCTGGGTACTCTGGTTTCCTCTCATAATAAGACCCATGACATGCTTACATCCGAGCCAACAAGAAAGATTAGTAAAATTTCCCAAAACTTATTTCGCAATGTAAAATAAATGTTTTTCTGAAAGTCTCAAAATCAAAAGGGCAGAACACAGGAAACCTACATACAAAGTCTGATACAGATCCATCCAGTATCTTTATAGACATAGCAATAACAAATTTACAATGTCAAAATCTAAGACGGCAATGTGGTGGCCATTTTGTTTGTGATCAAACTGAAATTTAAACCATAACAAGTAAGGACTAAGTAATTGACAAAATGGAATAATCACATGAAGTTTCAGACAGATCCATCCAGTTTTTTTTAAGATAGAGATTAAAATAATTCATTGTCAACTTTTGAAAGTTGGATCTTTTCCCTTCTTTCTTTTCAATTTTCTATTTGTACTTTTAGTTGTAGGATATGTGAAAGAATATTTCCCGTCAGAATTTTGTTACAGCGATCAGTCAACAAAATTAAAACAGAACAACTTGGATTCATGGGGAACCCTAGTATGAAATTTGTGGAAGATCCATCAAGTTTTCCACTTGCAATAGTCAAAGCAAGCTTTCCTTGTAAAAATCCAAAATGGCTGCCTTTCAGCCATTTTTTTTTTATCTGTTTCAGAAGGGCAAAACCAGCAACCATAGGGAACCTACATTGATCAATATAGTACTTCTAAAAAATAGTGGTAACAAAGTGTCTTTGTCAAAATTCAACTAGAGACAAAAGGAAACTGATATTTTGAGAAAAATCCATCAGGTACTTCTGGCCCCACTTGTATAAAACATCTCAACTTGAGATTTCCTCAAGCCCAGATTTTCCTCAGCTAATATCTCCTTGAAAATATCTTGTATGAAAATTCCTCAAGGAATTTCAGGACATCCTAGCCAAGGACTTCCTCCTGTTCCTTGAGAAAATTTTATACAAGCCGTTTTTGAGGAGATATCAGCTGAGGAAAATCTCGACTTGAGAAAATCTCAAGTTGAGATGTTTTATACAAGTGGGGCCTGAACAAATAGCAATATCACATTTTCATTGTCAAAATATAAAACAGCATTTTAAACAATGCTGCAGAGACCAACAGGTTCCTATATATGAAATTTGAAAAAGATACATAAATATTTTTTGCATATGTCACTAGTGTAAAATACCCTGGAGTATGTGTGTTTCACTGGCTTGTCAGTCAGAAGTCAATTTTGATGTCATACTGTGTTCTGGACAATGACAATATGTCATGAATTTCAAATCATGCAACAAAATGGTTGCCTCCATTTGATTTTGTCCTTCACATTGTGATTTTAAAATCTACCAAAATGTAACTTTTCTGAATTATGTGATTGAGCAGAGAAAATACTTCAATGATTGCTATACTGTATATACATTTATACTTTCTTCAAACAGTTACCTCTTTTAATATTGTTGTCAAGATGGTGTCTGTATCAGCCCCAGCGGGACTGGACACTAAGGTTTGACTATAATCCATTCCTCCTCGATCAGACTGACTCCGGTTCACTTTAAAACAAATAAAACAGAATCAACAAAGTAGAAATATTGTATCTGTGTGTAGTCAAAGTGATTAATCTTATCAAAGAAAACATGTGCTATATGACACATGCACAGAAATCAAAAGAAAAACCTGCTTTGTGAAACACCTGAACAGAGAGGAATATCCGTTCTATGTTATGCTTGAACAACCAGGAACATCTTGTAATATGTTATGTTTGAACACACACCAACACCTGAACTATATTGAAAGGAGAGGACAAAGTTGATCTTGTTAAGCTGGTCGATGTTGAGTTCACTCGTCTATGATATTTGCTGAATTATATTGCTTACAGTTAAGTCATAACGATAAGTTACAATATATTATTTACTAGTAAACAATACTTTATTACCTACAAATGAATGGTTGATAATATTGAGTCTGAGATCATGATTAAAAAGAAAATTTTTTCGCACGAAAAATTGTACAAGTAATGGTATTTTTCTAACTTGGAATCAAACAAAGAATTTTACACATGAGACCACAGGGCCTTAATAGTCATCTGATTTCTATTAAGCTACCATTTTTGCTGTTGAAACATATTGAGTGACATCTACACTGTTTTAACATGTTTTATTCTTGTTACGTAATTTAAGAATGAGCATTTGACTCAAGTTACATGTATGTCAAATTCATCATGTGACCTAAAACTGGAGAATTTTTGGTATAGGTACCTACCTTCATCTAATCCATTTGCGGCCTGATAAAATGTCATACTTGCATACCAATATTGTCTCCTTCTCAATTAATACTTCTCTAAATAACAAAAAGAAGACAGACTTTTATGGACAAAATAGAATATAAATATTACTCTAATGACAAATCCATGAACACAACATGGTCAACAAGTGAATACATCATGTACCTATATATTGGCCCATGAAAGTCATATGATCAGTCCTTCTAATATTCAACAATAACAAGTAGTAACTTTTGTACATTTTTCTGTTTTGTTTTTAATTCACTTCCTTGTCACATGTAAAAATGCCAATATATTTTATTAGAAGGATTCACTTACTGAAGACAAAATATTAGTAACAATAGTATAAACTTGTGAACATTTATTTCCAAATTACAAAAAAAAAAATGGGCTCAAAGCCAAAAGATGCATTTAATTGCTATTTAATACATCTCTCAGTTACATTTAAATTTTGTTGTAATTATGGGTATATGGGTGTTTCTTTTCTCTATTTCAGATTAAATATCAGTTTAACTTTGTCACCTTTTTAATGTAAGTCATGGCAATAGAACCAGTTGTTTACAGAGTTTTCCATAAGAGCCGGTCACCGGCCAATTTGACTGGCTACTTTGATCATTTGACCGCCTACACCAATCCAGTTCTGTAATAATGTTCCGTACACGACTACACGTAGACGGCAGGCCAGCCTCCTACTTTCACTACACAGCCTACTACTAACAAAATTATGGAAAACCCTGTGTTTATAAAGAAATATATCTGTAAATTTAGATACACGGCCTTTGCAGAATGGATAATGGGTTATTTTGGTAGGAAGACTCTTAGGATGAAGCATCTGTATTGTTTGGTGTGGTAGTGACCATATATCTCTAACATAGACCTATCAACTAAGTCCGAATTCTTCTGACATTCATCGACTCTAAGATGATATATATGATGTATACGTCGATAGAACGTCATAATGGTTCAGACTACTATCGATCAGTTAAGATGTGGACATGAAACTTTTTAACAAACTGAAAGTACAAAATACTTAACTCCGAAACATGTACAGATTTACTCATCACTTGTGTATCAATACTATCTCTGCTGTAAATATCATTTTCAAAACCATTGTGAGGTACTGAAATTGCAAACAAGTATGCCTATATTAATTTTAGACTTACGCCATTTTCAACATGGTTTTTATTTCCTCTTTGAAATACAGTATTTCCCTTCAAACATTTGTTTATTGGGTAAAATGTTAGCGTTTTATCAGCGATATTTTGGCTAGTTCACAATTCATATATGTTCATATACAAAATTAGTAAGAAACATCTGGGCATAGTTAAGAAATACTTCTCTTTTTAAACTCACCATTATTGAATACTCTTGTCTTTTTCCGTCTTGAAACTGAAAGCAGAATGGGGTTTTCCTTTGGTATTTCTCTATGCTATTAATAGTATTCTTAATGTATTTTGACCAATCAAAACACAGGAGACGACCCCTGACACTGGATCCGGTTTGTGCGAAGTTATCGTTCATTATTTACGTGATGGCGTCTTGACTACGGTGGATGCAGGTAAAACGTTTGCAAATATGACGAGGATGATGATGATGATGACAATTACCAGATGAAGCAGATATCATAATATGTCAACAGAGTATAATTTCTGGGGGCTTACTATTGATAAGATTTATGACTCAATGTGACCGGATTATAGCATTGCCTAGAATTGAATAAAATGATAGAATAAATATAGATATAAGCAGGGACGTATCTGTATTATACGTCCCTGATATAAGAATAGAAAATATATTACTTCACGTGCCCATTGAAATGAATGTGTTTTTTGTAACTAAATATGATTTATTACTGCAGAATAAACCATTTTATGCTGTGCAGATGCTTAATCTTAGGAGCACAAAAATGACAGCCTGCAAAATTATATTTTCCATTAACTTAACATATGTAATAATGAAAAAAAACCACATTAATGGCTGTAAGCACCTGTGGAAATTATGAAAGGATGTTGCATTGTTATTTATCTGATATTTAGTACATTTACAGTGTACATCTGTAACAACAGACCATTTGGTTCTAATTAGGCTGCAGTTTTAACAAATAATGAGTTTTCACATGGGTGTAGTTTCTGAATTGGCTTCAAGATACCAAAAGGAAAATCTGTTTACAATCTTCATTTCATCTTGATTTTCATGGTATAAATTGTAGTGTTGATAAATTATTCACTCCAGAGGCAAGAGAAGCCAGAAAATTGCTCTTACATTGTATATAAACACTTGACTACATACATAACTCTAGTGAAGCTGGGGCCCACCAAGCTTACCTTAGGCCTAAGTTGATATCAATCCTGGAATAGCTTGAACAAGCCATATCTCTTACAGAATTAAACCTAGTGCTACCGAGGAGTTTAATATAGAGGTATATGAAACTTGCCTCAGTATAGACATATCTACTGTTAGAATTTGTTCCCTCAAGTTGTCTCAATATTGAGGTGGTCTCAATTTTTAGGTGCATGGTCATTAAACAAAGTATCACTAGCAGCTGGTTCAAGGTAGAAGGGACCAGAAGACAAAAAGGTTTTTTTTTAAATGAGATACATGTACAAAAATATGAGTTATGGCAATTGTTCAAATTTTGTGTGTACAACATAACTTTGCTTGCATGTTATAAAAAATAAAGATTTGTGATGCTGTATACATCAGTCATACAAAAACAAAGGTGCATTGTGGCAAAGTCAGGGCCCATGACCACTCATGATCAGTTACAGAGTTATTGCCCTTTGTTAAAGTTTCGTGTAAGTTGAGCATAACTTTGCTTGCATTAAACAAGGATAATGAAACATTGTGTATACATTGGTCATTCAAAGAGGATGCACAGTATCCTAAATTCAAGGCCTGCAACCCCTTAATTACACAATTATTGTCTTTATAATTTTCTGTCGGATAAAGTAGTTTTCGTGGAGCATTGATCACTCTTACTGATACCCTTGTTTCTCTGAAGAAATTTGTCAGGAATCTGATTTTTAATGTTCTAATGTATCATTACATTTTGTTTACCTCTGTCTTAATGTGCATTCTTTATGATTACTTTACTGTGTTGTCATTCTGTTTCAACCAGCAATTAATTTAACAACAGCAGTGAAAAGTGCTTATTCTTGATTCATTGCAAAATATTAAAATCAGTTATATTAATTAATTTTTTGCTGGAAAGACCTTGAAAATGTTATTACTAAATAGGAAATTGTATATTTTATAGATTTAAAATTCAGTAAGATTTGTTACAAAATATGACCTCATTTAGGTGTGTTCCAGATACGTTATAGTTTAGCTGGTAAATGATTGATTTTAATACTGATATCGTCTTGAAATTAAGTCAAACAACTACATTTTGAGTAGACAAAGATTCTATCTGATAGCCTACTGGTTTTCATTTGAACAAACTTTGCCTTTGAAAATGCAGCTGCTCATAACAAAGAGATAGAGAGTAGAATAATGAAGTAAAAAAAGAGAGAACATAGTTCTGGGACAGGTCTAGTCGCGGTCAAGTCTGGAGCACAAAGATCTCGCAGTAAATATCTCCAGAGTTATTTTACATATATAACACAGTCAGTGTTTACTAGGTAGAGACCCTGCTAGACACAGTGACAAATGAGGGTAGAGGTTTTTTTTTTTTCAGTGTTCGAGACAGATTTGCATACTTTAAATCAATGATCCATTTCGGATAATTTGGTTTCTTCCAGACACTATTTACACCTTTATAGCCAAAGTTGTAATGTAAGGTTACAATGTACATGCACATAGTAAAAAGTATTCAAAAGCTACTGATACTTATTTCAAGTCATTACATTTCTAACATGAGTACACTTATACACATATTTATTTCACGGAGATGAGATAGCTCTTGGTTACAGTGTTAGCCAACATAAGCTGAAGGTCCAACAGGATTTGGAAATAAAGTATTCTATTTATTTGATATTGGGTGGCAGCTTAATTGTTGCTTGTTTGTTTAAAATATAAATAATTTTGGCGGAAATCTCTTGTTTCCGGAATTTTACCAAGACAGCTCAGTCAGTTATAGAATTGGCTACATAACCTCAGGTGTAGATCTGATGTTAGTAGATCAATGATGACTACCCATGGTAGTCAGGAAGCTAAGAATCAGGCCAGTCTTTGTTGATGTTGTTGTGTCCTGGGCAATGCTGACTACCCATGGTAGTTTGTGTTTCTCAGGAAGCTGAGAAACAGGCTGGTCTTTGTTGATGTTGTTGTATCCTGGACAATGCTGACTACCCATGGTAGTTTGTGTTTCTCAAGAAGCTAAGAAACAGGCCAGTCTTTGTTGATGTTGTTGTATCCTGGGCAATGCTGACTACCCATGGTAGTTTGTGTTTCTCAGGAAGCTGAGAAACAGGCCAGTCTTTGTTGATGTTGTTGTATCCTGGGCAATGCTGTCTACCCATGGTAGTTTGTGTTTCTCAGGAAGCTAAGAAACAGGCCAGTCTTTGTTGATGTTGTTGTATCCTGGTCAATGCTGACTACCCATGGTAGTTTGTGTTTCTCAGGATGCTGAGAAACAGGCCAGGTTTTGTTGATGTTGTTGTGTCCTTGGGCAAGACAATTTACCTTGATTGATATGGCTGGCACGTGGTGGGCCTTCTGCTTGTTGTTCAGTGAGGTAGCCACCAGCTACTACAAGGACCTCCAAATGACCTATCAATTTCACACTGTCTTTTATTTACAGAGTTAGGTTCCTGTTCCAAAGTTGTGAAGATGGACAACGAAATGGAATATGAAGATGAAATGATGGAAGAAAATGATTCAGAAACATCTCTCTTTGGAGATGCTCAGTTTGGTGAAATTAATGCAAGTAATGCATCTGAAAGAAATAACCTGACTGAAAATGACTTTTTACTAACACCTCAAAAATCTTCTGTGTTTGACAATCCAAGTAAGGAAGGTCTAGGTTTTGAAGAAGAAAAGCAAAGACTCAGAACTTCTCCTCTGTTCGGTGGTCCCAGTGAAGAAAGTTTTAAGCTTGATGAGGGCAAGCAGGCACCCCAGAAATCATCTCCATTTAAACTCCGTAAAGGAGATTTAAGGTTTGGGAAAAGTAAAGTCAGTGAAAACATAACTAAGGCAAAATTCGCAAGTGATGATGATGATAATTCATATACTGAAAGTATACACAAGAATTTATTTGTGCCCAATGTCGAGGGTAAACGAAAGCAAAGGATGGATTTGCAGAACCGCATGACAGTAGCAGGTAGATATGTACATTTATTTTTTAAAATTCTGTACTGTTCACTGATAAATCTTTTCCTATAAAAACTGTTAATCATTAGGTTGATGTGTTTATTATAATCTATTGTTTGTTGATTATGTGATTGTGCTCTAAAAAGTGGAAATTGATATAGTGCATCAAAATTGCTTTAAGTATGAAAGCCTGAAAAAACTGCAAAAAGTTGTATTTACACTGCCTCTGAACTTTGTAGTATAAAACTGCTAACCTTATCACTTTAGTTACCTTGGATAACAAGAACCTTGTGGAAGAAAATGTAACAGACCACTTCAGTTTGTCATTTGCCATGGTAAATATCTA